AGACAAGTTTGTGAGTTTAGACGTCGTTGACATTGATAAGTTTGGCAGAAACATCCTGAGGGGGATGTGAGAGGGGTGGCAACGACACCTGCTGAGAGCGAGGCCAAGAAGGACAAGTAAAATAGAAAAGTTTGCGTTGTTTGAGAATGGATGGAAGGAGAAAATGGAAGATAACTCAGTAGTGACGACAATGGATTTATTAATATATATATATATATATATATATATATATATATATATATATATATATATATATATATATATATATATATATATATATATATATATATATATATATTCTCAACAAGACTTATAAGACTGTATAAGACTGATAAAAACAAATTCTTCGCATGTACACCTCAACGTTAACAGTTTCGGTAAGTCGTGGACATCGTGAGAACATATTGAACACAGACAAACTCTAATATCATAATGGTTTAGTTAAATTGAAATAACATAACTCCGTCAAAAGCACTTGAAAATTTGAATTTTATATTTTATTAAACTATATAGTTACATCATTTACATCAGGTCTAAAATTCCTGAAAATAAACTTTAAGATGCGAATCTTTTTCTCTTACGTATGATGATTATTGTGACCTATTACTTACGCTGATTTCTGGGACCTGCAGACCTCAGCCAATGGTGACCTCAAGCAAGATCCTCACAAGCCAATCATGGCAACAGCAGAAATATTAGATAAGTAAAATATACACAAATTACTAACACTCGGCACAAGTTTGTTACTCTAACGACTACGAGGATGGACATCGTAAGGAAAACTCGCGAGACAGAATCACAGGAGGTCAGGGTAGGCACCACCGGCAGGGCCCCTTCAAGCGGTGGCGTTAAAAAAAATTATTTTCACAAGTGTTCACAATAAAGGATGCAAAGAATCTTCCTGTGTTTGCGGAAAAATGGTCTGACAGAGCGCTAACGCACATTATGTTCTCAGAAGAGTGTATCAGGAATAGATTGTCAAAGCTAAAGGTTTATGAGAGCCCTGACAACGTGCATCCCAGAGTGCTAAGAGAGTTGCGCAACGAACGTGCTGTTCTGCTGATGCATGAACGGGCAAAATGTCCCAACGACCGGAAAATGGCATATGTGAGTTCTAAATTCAAGCAAGGAGAGCACCACTGTGCGAATAATAATAGGTCGGTGACCTTGCCCAGCATAGTGTGTAAAGTAGTAGAGAGCATTTTACGAAATGTCATGATGGAACATCTACTACGAAACAACCTAACAAAGGAATGCCAACATGGTTTTATGCCTTGATGCTCCTGCTTGACGCAAATACTCAAGGTGTTGGATGTTTGGACCCAGATCCTGGAGCATGGTGGTAATATCGACAATATATATCTGGACTTTGTCAAGGATTTCGACAGCGTACTCGATGAAAGATTGGAAATTAAACTGGAAGGGTACAGGATTCGGGGGGGGGGAGTCCTACCATGAATCAGAAACTTTCTTCGTGACCGCAAGAACTGTGTGGTGATTAATGGTACGAAATCGTCATGTGTACCCGTGATAAGCGGGGTACCACAGGGCGGTGTATTGGGCCCGTTGTTTGTTTGTTTCATAAATGTTATGACAGAAGCTATACACTCCTCCATAGAAATATTCGGGGACGATGCCACGTTATTTAGTGAAATTAAGGAACAAAAGACCTTGAAGAGCTACAGAAAGATCTCTGACAGCTCCAAGGGTGTTTAAAAGAATGGTTGTTAAAATTTCAGTATCATGGTATGCAAGAGGATGCACCCAGGTCGAACCAACAATAAGGAATCGTATCACATGTCCCAACGGGACCAAGAAACAGCTTTAACGGAGACCAAACGTGAAAAGGGCCTGAGAGTGTATGTTGACAACGAACAGTTCTCGGACCAATGTGAGAAGAAGGTGAATCAAACAACTAAGCTAATGAGTGTTATAAGAAGGGCGTTCAAATACCAACTCTTAAAAAATGTGGTACTTCCCCATTTGGATTACTGCCATCCCGCCTTGTTCCCAAGATATGTTAGACTGTCAGTTTACTGAAAACATCCAAAGGAGAGCCACCAGACTGGTGCCTTCACTACGGCACCTCAGGTACCCAAAGAGATTAGAACGCCTGCAGTTACCTTGCTTATACTATTGGTGGGCAAGGGGCAGTGGTGGGCACAGCTAAGCGAAAAGTTAGCTTCGCTAACCGCTAATCTGCTAACTTAAAAAGTTAACTTCGCTAACGCTAAACCGCTAAACAGCTAAAAAATAGCGGAAGCGAACGCTTACCGCTAACTTTAATTATATGAATTATTCTTCGGTTTTTTTTTTTTGGGGGGAGGGCTCTAAACCCCTCATAAACAGACCTATTAGAGCTGAAATTTTCATATGTTGTCTTGTAGCTTAGACATAAAGCTTTCCAAAACGGTATAGCATGCTAAGATCAGATGATGATCAAGGTGTACACAAATAATTAAATGAACAAATGAAATTAAACATTAGTTTACATTCAAGTTTCAACATACACTTTATAATCTTTATTTACTGTACGAAAAGACAGAAAGTATTAAACGAATCCAAAAACTATAGTACTGTATAGCATAGGTAGCAAATAGCATCATGCCAAGATCAGATGATGATCAACTTATCAAGGTGTACACTGTACACAATTTCACAAATAATTATTTTGCATTCTCATACAACCTATCGGCCTTATTCATTATTCATGTAAATATGCAATACCAACCACATACACATTATACCAGTGGATTTGTATATAACTCATTGTTGGTCTTAATCATGTAAATAAACAGAACACTCTAAACTTTAATGAAAAGTAAGTTTTCTAAAATTTTGTTTGGCGCACACCTTGGATGTTTACATGTACTAACACACAGTCAGCCAAGCGTGCCTGACTGGCTGTTGGAGACACGCGTCGCAGCGTCACACTCTTACAACAGACAGAAACAAACATGTATAAATTTGGTTAGCGGACTTAAAGTTACCGGAACTAAATTTAGCGGAAGCTAAATGGACGGCTAATGGTTTACAAAGTTAGCAAAAACGCTAATCCGCTAACGAGAAAGTTAGCTTCACTAATTAGCGGTTAGCGGATTAGCGAAACCGTGCCCACCACTGGCAAGGGGTGACTTACTGTGTAGACGTGTATAAACACCTCAGAAGATATTATTCAATAGAGTGCTCATACCTAGAGCTGGCAGATGCCCGCCCCACTAGGAGATCACAGCTTAAGGTTGAAGAAACCACGAACTAAGAAAACTGTCAGGGAAAACTTTTTCGGAGTGAGGGTTGTGAACTCTTGGAACAATCTGCCAGAGAGCGTTGTGACAGCACCTAGTGTGAGCTTATTCAAGACCAAACTTGACCACTTGACCAACACTGGTGAAGGTACAGATACATTCTGCAGCCAGTACATGTCCAGTACTTGCCAACAGGGCGCAACAGAGACGTGACCGACTGCCCAAGCGGCTAACGAGCCGATCAGTGACCGTCCAAAGGAAAAAAGAGACGCCGCCAGATGTTGGTTTGTCTGAGCCAGGCTCGCAGTTAAACAGTGAGTGTACACAATAGATTCAATTGGTTCATTGGTTATAAGTGGATGGTGTCATTCCACTTGGACGATTGTCTGTTTAATGCGATTTTTACCATCTTAGTTAAATGAACAGGTTAGGTTAGATTACGTTACGTTACGTTATATTACGTTAACTCACATAAAACAAATGATCGACCAAGTGGAATGTAATCAAGTGAACAAAGCAGCCAATACATAAATTGTCTTAAATGAATAACCAAATCTGGACCACAACAACGTGTTTTGATATCAAGGAATTCTACCTTGTCTTGCCATGAAACTTTGTGTTGTTTAGATACTGTACATATATAATGGATCCTTTTATGTTGATTTATATTACTAATTTTTAATGACCAGTTATAACTCTCTCTCTCTCTCTCTCATGGCAAACAGCTAATGCACACATTAGCAAAACCTGGAGCTATTTATTTCCCCACTAATTGTTTTGGCTAAGTAAGCTGTTCACCCCGTGCCGCAGTTATTGGTCATACGTTAAACTAGTTTGGTTGTTATGGCCTGTATAATTGCCCCCTTGTTTAGGCTGTTAGTAGCAGTTTGTTATAGTTCGGGATATTCTCGTATTTTGTACAAGTTGGCAACATACTATATCGAGCACTATATTTATATTTTACAGTATATGATAATGACTTCATAACCTGTGTGTGTGTGTATGTGTAATAATAATAATAATAATAATAATAATAATAATAATAATAATAATAATAATAATAATTATAATAATGATAATAATAATAATTAACAGTTTATTGAGAAGTTCTACAGCTCGAAGGCTGAAAATATACATTAGAGAAAAATGATTTATTACATGCAAAGCCATGGGGTGGGTGGGTCATTTAACAAAAGCTTTCATTACTAAAAGGAGAAGGAACATGAATTCAACATACAAATTATTATAGTTTACAGTTGATGGCCGGGGCTGGTCTCTTGCCATACTGTGTGAGGTCACGTAGGCCACGTGGTTCAGTAACTCGTCCGTTGATGTTGACATGAAGGACCTCACGAGGTCATGGAGACATCGGGTGGTGTGGTGTTCACGTGGTGCAGTAACTCGTCCTCGGGTGTTGACATGGAGGACCTCACGTGGTCATGGAGACATCGGGTGGGGTGGTGTTCACGTGGTGCAGTAACTCGTCCTCGGGTGTTGACATGGAGGACCTCACGTGGTCATGGAGACATCGGGTGGGGTGGTGTTCACGTGGTGCTACGAGTCCTATCCTGCTCAGATATTATAAGAACTTTATCTATATTTCCTTAATTGATTCCTTTCACCCACTTAAATACTTCTGTCATATCTCCCCACACTCTTCGTTTTTCTAGGGAATGCAAGATTAGTTTCTTTAATCTATCTTGATACGGAAGGTTTCTAAGTCCCGGAATTATTTTCGTCATTCAATGGCTTAAACACTGTTCATCACTGTTCGACACTGATACCACTTCTTTCCGAAACGAAATTGTCACTTTTGATTATGTTGATATCCCGGTGGTGTGGGTGGGTCGGGGAGCGGGACTTGGGGAATAGGCCGAACATTGGCCAAGAGGGGCCGCTGCACGGCAGGAGCAGCGTCTGATAGTTCGTGACCCTCCGGTGGTCAAGGATGTAGTGTGTGTGTGTGTGTGTGTGTGTGTGTGTGTGTGTGTGTGCGCGCTTACGTACGTGTGTGTGTGTATGCATGTGGGTGTGTATGTGTGTGTGTAACATGATTACGATATAAGTACTTTAAAAGCGATGCTAGATGCTTGAATGAATGAGTAAAGGAATAAGGGAGAATACCAAATACACTATTATATTAATTAATACACTAAAACCATCTCACTCATAGTAAGAAATACACAGCTACAGTAATAATTAGGAAACAATAAAAGATATAGTATACACAATGATTAATTAAGTCCTCACTATCTAATGATTTATATTTGTTCTTCAATAGTAAGAAGAGTTTGGTAACTACGAGATGACGCCATAGTTGATCATCTCATCGATTATTGCGATGAAACGAGGACGGAAAATGGGATTATTTTTCAACTCATTCAGAGATGTTTCCTTGTAATCCTCCCTGAATTTCTCCATATTGCTTGTTTCATTAAAATCAAATTTATGTGTGCCTTCATTGAGCACAATGGGGATAATAAGAAGTGACATCAACAGCCCATATATATTCTTCTTATGAAACTCTTGGTGACAGTAATAATTAGGAAACAATAAAAGATATAGTATACACAATGATTAATTAAGTCCTCACTATCTAATGATTTATATTTGTTCTTCAATAGTAAGAAGAGTTTGGTAACTACGAGATGACGCCATAGTTGATCATCTCATCGATTATTGCGATGAAACGAGGACGGAAAATGGGATTATTTTTCAACTCATTCAGAGATGTTTCCTTGTAATCCTCCCTGAATTTCTCCATATTGCTTGTTTCATTAAAATCAAATTTATGTGTGCCTTCATTGAGCACAATGGGGATAATAAGAAGTGACATCAACAGCCCATATATATTCTTCTTATGAAACTCTTGGTGAAGTTCTTCAACACTGAATGGGACTGGAGTACCAGCCTCCTCCAACACCTTCCTAAAGGAGTCGTAATAAGTGTTTAAATATGCTTGTAAGTTTTCCTTCCTATCAGAGCCGTTGAAACTGTTGAACATGAAGTAGTTGAGGTCTGTGGCGGGCGAGGCTACGGAACAAAACTGGAAGTCCAAGAGCTTCACATCTACAGGAGCACCTTCCTCGTTGTACCTGCAGTGTAAAATTTTTTGTTATAATTTTTTAACGATAAAACATACATACAAGATGATGGTGTAACAATGAGTCCACTTGAACCAACATTTGCCAATTACCACTCTTTACTACCACGAAACAAAATGGCTCACTGATTATCCTCCAAGTCTAAACCCTTTGTGTACACATAATAACTTAAAGACACCTATTTTTATCACTTTGAATCTTCTGAGCATATTCCCTTATTCTTATAATGCAGGAATTCCAGACATAGCAATTTCCAATTCACTTCAGAAGAGATCGAAAAAATTATATATACTCTTACACCTAGAATTATAGGAAATCTTCGTTAACAAGATTAACTACTAAAATCTTCTCCTTAATACCTGTCCAGTACAAAAGGAAATTAATATACACCTTAGTCACAAGGGCCTATGACATCTATCCACACTATCACAGACATCACTATACTAAAGCTCAGTGGCTTCCGTCTTCACCTGGTTGATGGTCACATGGAAAAATCTGACCAAACTATTCCAGCCACACATTGATCCAGATGCTGCTGGTACATCTGTTGTTTGTTTTCCATTTCTCGTTCAAGGCTCATACTCCGATGCCAAGATAATAAGGAAACTTTAACTGTGGATTTCACTAAGAGTTGTGTTCAGATCATAGAAAAGTTTTCAAAAATAAGTACAAAGATTGAATTCGTGATGTTTCCTTCCCTCGGCCATTTATTTGTTCAAGTGTGACCGTTGCTGAACAATGGAGTCACTCATTCAGAGAAAGTGAATAATTAACCAAACCAACATATTCAGCTATTAGAGACCATCAATAGGAATGAGATCACCCTTTACAGCTGTTACCGCTTACCCCACAGCCTAGTCGCCCCTCTCCTGCTTCTTAGTCCAGTCAGTCACGAGTACCACGACTCTATTGTTTTAAGGTTTTCATTGGTCAGTGATGTATTTAGTCAACCATAATATATTCGTCATTAGTATTGGTTCTGAGTTTCTACTATTACTCGTAACTTTTCTCTGTGTTGACTACATTAATTTCAGTAACTAATATTTTCATTTCTTCGAGTTAATTTTTATCATTTCTTGGCGAAATGTATCCAATAATGTTGCTGATTTAATTTGTCAATTGGAGTTTTGAAGTCAAAGCTATTGTACCTCATTTCATGACAAAATGTACTGTATTGTTCTAACGTCACTAATTTAATTATATATATATATATATATATATATATATATATATATATATATATATATATATATATATATATATATATATATATATATATATATATATATATATATATATAACGCAACTGTCTTATAGATATTTACTGTACCGTCTTATCTCAACTCGTGTGTAATACGTGACACAAGCCCTTGTGACTAACGACCTGGGTTGACTCGTAATGCACTGTGTTGTATTAAGCAAGACTAATATTCTGTGGTAACTATGCTGAGTGAGAAATATGTATATTAATAAATTCAACAGCTTAAATAAACAGATTTTTCTCTTACTTGAATAAAATGTTGTTGTTCCAGCAGTCGCCATGACACAAGACTTCAAACGGTGGAACCTTCTTCAATTGTTCACGGAACACATTTATTACGTCTCTTGCAAACTCATTGAGCCAGACGACAACTTTATCATAATCACCAATATTGTCTAGCATTGCCGCTCCATTGGTGACCATCGAAGCTAACATTTCCTGACCCCATTCTTCAAGAGTTTTATTGTAGTAAGTAAAGTCCTTTTCAATCACTTTATACTTTTCACCTAAAGCTGGCTGAATTTTTGACTGAATTAAGATGGATGCGGCATGGAGTCTGCCCAGCTCCTTCAATACGAGGATGGCGTGGGCCTTGTCCATACCTTTCATGCGATCAAACATCTTAAAGCCGTCTGGGCGTAAGTCTTCCATCACTATTAATTCCTCGCCTTTTATTTCGTGAGACGAGAAATATGTAGGTATATGTAGTTGCTCTTGCCCAAGATTATTCAGCTCGGCATTGAGCAGTGGCACTAAATATTTGTAAAATCCTGACTCCTTCTCAAAACTACAGGAAACCATATCCTTAACACTTTCTGCCTGTGAAAGTGTGGCGCACTTGGCTACATATGTGACTCTCTTCTCGGTTCCTTCTTGACGATACTGTACTCGTATACTCGTCACAACACACATGTAATTGTCACCTTTTCTGGTGAAGTCCTCAATATCCCATGAAACCAGCTGAGCATTGCTGCCCTTGTCCGCCGTCAGCGCCACCTTCACCTGTGCCTCCGTGATAACACTGTGTGGCGTCCTGGAGGTCTCCTTGCTCACTGACACCTCTGTTGGTTGGTCTGCCACTGTAACATAAGAAATAGAAATCTTCATTCTACTATTAAGTTGCCGTTTCCATTTTCTTGTTTAGTGTCATACAAATAACACCTTCAGAAATTTTGGTGCAATTATATAAACTCCTTCGGATGCTGAGTTTAATTTTGGTGTAATGGTGAAGGAGACGGTTAGCACCCGAAGGCGTTTATAGAATTGCACCTAAATTTCTGGAGATGTTATTTGCATGATACTAAACAAGAAAATGTAAACGACAATGCACAGCACTTAACCGAACCTACCTAACCTTACCTAACTTCCTATCTGGGGCGGAGTATATTAAGCAGATACTGTATATCTAGTAACATATACAATTGTTAATATGTTTTTGGGTTCACGGCTGAATAGCCTGGATGTCAATGTTGCCGTCCCGGCTGCGTATGCACACTACCAGGTTATTCAACGGTGACGGAGTAATAGCCATGGAGTTACATATCAACTACTTTTTATGAAATTCATCTCTCTGAATTCTTACAGGTCATGGAAAAAATGCAAAATGCACGGGACCTCATGCCCATGTGTTTCCTGGATCCAAACAAGAAGACTCAAGTAAACTATTGTATCTTCTTAAAAATCCATTTGCACGAAATTACTAATATCGTGGGAATCGGCACAAAATACTGCTATTGAGTAGGAGGGAACACGTCCCTGGATAAGTGTTGGCATAATATCCCAATACGTTTGAAATACTAGTACTGAACATAAAAAAAAATTGCAAAATTAGTACAGTATATCCTTTTTAAACAAAAACTCTATTAAGCAAGCAATACCATATAACCCTACGATACTGTGGGGTTTCGTGATGTGGTCTCGCACTCAGGATGGGTTGGAGAAGGGAAACTCTTAATGGTGGTTTTCTTAAATAAATATATTATATACAAAACAGTCTGGTGCTGGAAAGTTGGTGCGTGGTAGAGGAGTTGCTGTGCAGGAGCTTCTTTAGAGGAGGTGTTGCGTGTTGCAAGGCTCTAGCTTAAATGAATCTCAACGGCTAGGCAGGGGGCTTATATACACGTCCAGCGGACGTAGAACGGAAGTAAGCGTCGTCGGTGTCAACCCTCCCCCCCCCCCTAGTCTAGGCGTCTAGACTAGTTAGAGAAACTTGGCGCAAGTCTAGACGGTGTACTGATAAACTCCGCTCTCTGAGAGTTATAGGGCTTGTCATCGCTGGTTGAGAGGAGTCGGCGTAGGAGTTCATGTTGATGATCGCCGTGTACAGTCTTGAAAATGACGCCAACGTATGTAAACAAGTGCACCTCCAGTATACCACCACACGAGTAAAATAACCTATAATGCATCAGCGGAGAGGACAGGCTTACAATCCCTACTCACGACGGCAATTAAAACTACCACTTGAAGGAACGTTTTCCCCAGGAAGGGAGGAACGCCTGGCACGGTGCGGCACTGGACCTGGGGTAGCTTACAGCTGCACGTCCAGGGTGTATGGGCACAGCACCTGGCAACGCCACCTCAGCCGGCTTTTCACAAAGACCATTCTGTAGCTCTTCACAGTCTGTTTGGTTCTTAGTTTCCCTGAGTAACTTGGCATCGTCCGCAAACATTTGTATGGAGGTGTATATATACTTCTGGAATGTCATATATGAAACAAACAAACAGAAACGGGCCCAGTACACTGACCTATGGCACCCTGCTTGTCACGGGTACGCATGACGATTTCGTGTCATTATCACCACACACTGCTTGCGGTCATAAAGAAAGCCTCTGATCCACGCTAGGACGCCCCCACCGAATTCAGTACTCTTAAAGTTTAATATTCAGTCATTCATGGCATACGCAAACAACTTTATTATGTTAATTTAAAGCGAAAATAATCCGTTTCAGATATCTTGCTCCATATTCTACGCTTACTTACAGCTTCCCTTTCTTCCTGACCGTAATCTTACTTGGATTTTCACGTTCCCTGTGTCTGAATTGGAGGTGTGTTTGGGTTAAAACTGTTTTGTGGAAGTGAATACTGAAACATTGTGGTGAGTGGCGTAACTCAGGGGGATATTGGTGTCTTTCTCCGTGTTTCTCTCTGCTTCCTTTTATTATATTTATCCAACTGAATAAATATTTATAAAAGAAAAATACAAATAACAGGAGATAGGAAGGCAGAGCTGAGAGCAATAATTACCACATTTACTCATCAAGGGTCAATCAAGCAGAGTACCGTCCTCGTACCTGAGGACTGGTGACCACAATCCTCCACTCTGAACGTTTTCGAGCTGTTTTAACCAATCCTCCATAATTTTGTATCTCTAGAGAACCAGATTTTAATTTAATTCATCCATCCCAATCTCTGCCTTTCCTTAATCCTCCATAGACTGAACTTTGCCCATTAATATTTCTTTTATTGTCCCCTCAACCTTAATTATATTACCAAAATATATCGTTTTAATTTTTCTGTACATTTAAAGTGTTTCTCTTGAAACTCATTTATGACATTTATGGTGGAATGTAAAGAGCTACAGAAAGATCTCTGTCAGCTTCTGGAGTGGTTGAAGCAATGGCTGTTAAGATTCAATGTCACGCAACGTAGGAGCATGGACCTGGGACGTACCAACGGTACATCCCAGCTTATCATATGTCCCAACGGGACGAAGAAACTGCATCAATAGAGACTGAAGGTGAAAAGGGCCTAGGTGTTATGTTAACAATGAACTGAAGTTCCCGGACCATTGTGAGAAGGTGAATCAAGCAACTAAATTATTAGGACTTGTAAGAGGGTCGTTCCGATATCCCTCGTAACGAACTTCAAGAGTGAGTTGCTTCCTCGTCTGGAGTACTGTCACCCCGTCTGGATCCCGAGATATGCGAGAGATTGCCTGCGCTACGGTACCTCAGTTACCCAAAGAGATTATAACGCCTGCACTTGCCTAGCATATACTATAGGTGGGCAATGGGTGACTTAATTGAAGTTTATAAAAATCTCAGAGGGCATTACTCTGTCGACTGTTCATTCCTGGAGTTGGCGGATGCAGCTCAAGGCTGAAGAAGCCACAAGTTCGGAAAATTGTCAGGGCAAACTTTTTCGGAGTGAGAATTGTAAACTCTTAAAACAACCTGCCCGAGAGTGTTGTAACGGCACCGAATGTAAGCTCATTCAAGTTCAGACTTGACCAACACTGGCGAAGGTTCCAATATATTCAGGAGCCAGTGCGTGCCCAGTATCTGCCAACAGTGCGTAACAGAGACGTGACCGACCGCCCAAGCGGCTAACGAGCCAACCAGTGGAGAAGATAAAGGTAAAAGTAAAATGTATCTCAACGATGGAACAGACTTTTTAAATACCTCGAGAAAAATATTTATTTTATAAGACTTTCATCATGAAAACTTCGATAACATATATGTTGTGCCTGAACAATAGTTTCCAAGGGGCGTTGTATATTTTCACAATTAATTAAAGATAACATAGCCCTACGAAACTTGAGTGAGTGTTGTCATAATGGTGACAGGTTTTTATCATTGTTTTCAGAATTTCGATTTGTTTTTATTTGTATGCATATTCATTGGGTAGCAATAAAATTGTAACAATGAAGTTCACATATACTAAAAATGTAAATTACTGTATTACCGAGGATAGTTTATATCAATACAGTATACTTTACGTTGCTACTTTGGATACGGTCTTCCGGGATATTTACACTAGCGTAGGGTTGTTATATCTGAACATTAAAAAAAAAGTTCCCGAAGAAATCCTGCCCCCAATCACCGCCCGGCACACACTTTGGCGCTATGTAACCTTGAAGCAGCCGTGACAATTAATTTTGCATATATATTATATATATATATATATATATATATATATATATATATATATATATATATATATATATATATATATACAGTATATATATTTATATATCTTGATAAAATCACACGTTTTCATTGTGGATTTACATGAAATATTTATATATATATATATATATATATATATATATATATATATATATATATAAACACACCAGTATCGGTGTACTGTATTGTATTGTGTTTTTAATGTAGGCTAATACAGTATACAACATACATGGTATAGAAATCTTTAAAAAAAAAATTGCCTTTGCTTAAGGCTGAATATCTTCATCCCCTTAGCTGCAGTCTTCTCCCCCCACTGTGTGTGTGACTTGATGTGCCCATGCATACTTGTCTGTAGATCGGATCTTTTTCAGTATTGGCTGATTGCTCTTTAGAAAGGTGTAGAAGTCACTGCAAGATGTTTCTCGGAAGTTGTACTGTACAGTCAGAATGCCTTTTATTATTTCAACACTCAATTTGTTCCTTTCCTTTGTCCATTGACTTTGCATCAGTGAAAAAACTCTTTCTACATTTGTATCGTGAGATGATATAGCAAAGAAGAATTGTGCAATTCTTAGCAATTCTGAGTGGCATTCAATGTTCTTTGATTTTTCAAAGTATCTGGTACACTTTTTATGTATTGGCAGATTACTAAATTCTTCATCACTCTTGTAATTTTCCATAAACTGCTTCAGGTTACTAACTTGTTCAAAACACTTCACATCATCAACTTCTACCCCTTTATCAATCAAATATTTGACAGCTAAGTTGACAACACCGTACAGGAGTACACGTGACTTATCAGCTGACGAAAACTGAACGAGATCTCTACGGTTTCCACCTCCCCTCTCTCGTCTCTCTCCCGTCATTACAGTTTCATGTTTTTTTCCGTGGAGAAAATGATGGAAGCTGAAATTCCGGACGTTTGAAGAATTTTAAAAATTACTTCCGGATGAAGATTTCGAGACCTAAATGGAGGACATGTCCGGGAAAATACGGACGTTAAGTGAGGTTAATGGACGGTAGTCACGAGCGTCCATTAACCTCACTTAACCTAGGTTAGGTAATGGACGCTCTAGTGTAAATACATCTCGGTAGATCAATTCTAGCTCAGTAGACCGCATACTATAGTAGCACCTACTAATACCTTACCAGAGTCATTAGACAAATTAATTAATATTAGAAATCATAAACGAGGCGAATTCAGGTGGGTATTTTTAAGGGGGTCCGGATCCCTTGGATCGCTTTGGTAATAAGTTCTATTAATACACTGATTCAATATAAGTTTACCGTCCATTGCCAGCGGGCTCGTTATTTTTTTTTTTATCCTCTTCGCCACTGATCGGCTTGTTAGCCGCTTGGGCAATCGGTCACGTCTCTGATTACTTTTCCTTTTCATTTATCTTCTTCACCAAAAGATCGGCTCGCTAGCCGCCCGGACGATCGGTCACGTCTCTGTCACGCACTGTTGGCAAATACTGGGCATGCACCGGCTCCTGAATGTACCTGAACCCACTCCAGTGTTGGTCAAGTCTTGTCTTGAAAGAGCTCACACTCGGTGCCGTCACAACACTCTCTGGTAGATTGTTCCAAGAGTTTACAACCCTCACTCCGAAAAAGTTATGCTGTATATCCCTATAGAAACGGACTTTTTATTACATCCTTGCAGAAAGTATTTATCAATACAACACCAATTTTTTACTTACTTTGAAGAGTTCGCGTACACCAGTTGAACAAATGAAGGACTATAGTGCTCCCCTAACGAGACTACCCTCTCTGGCTCCTGCTTTGGGGTTATACCGCCTGCGACTACCCACTGTAATGGTACACTACAATAACTGTGAAGTCAGTGTGAGGCTGCCTGTTATCTATCTACTGTACCTTGTGCGACGTCACCTCGGGGATGAGTGAGAGAGAGACATTGCCAACTTATCCAAACATTTATTATTTTGTATTCCGAGTGAAGAATCGTTTTTCTACTGGGAGTCTAGGATTACCCTACTTGTAATCACAACGCTTTAATCTATGTAATCATGTACTTAGACTTAAGTTATTTGCCCAAATAACATTTTAATATTGCTTAGTAACACAGTGCCTCCTTGTCGTCCATAGTTGCCTCTTAAAAAATCTATATTTTTTCATTATTTTTTGTTTTTGTTTTACTCTCCCAAACAGTTATTTTCTGATCTTCTTATGATTGGTGGACCACAGTAATAGTCATAGTCACACTTAGTTAATTCGTCTTTATTTATCTTGCTTTTTAGTACTAAGATTTTTATATTGTTACATGTTGAATCACGTCTTAAGTTGCCAACGCGATAAAGAAACAGTATTAACTGAAGCCAAATGTGAAACCGACCTGGATGCGCATGCTGACAAATTAAAGTTATCGGGTAATTGTGAAAAGAAGGTGAATTATGCTAATAAACTAGTAAGACCTATTCAAAGATTTTACACATAATACTTAATAGTCCTTCGCTCATACAGTTTACCAATAGGATTGGAACGTCTTCAATTGCCTAGTTTATACTATTGAAGATTGATTGCGCGTTTACGTTCAGTGCGATAGAACATAGAAGCGCAAGGGGTGATTAAATAGTTTATTTACTTTGCTTACCTAATGGTCACCCACTAGAGGTGGCCATGTCTGTTATGTATGCTTTATATTTCATTGCATTCACTTCTGTATCTTTTGAACAGTGTCAGCCAAGAGCCACGCTCCTACATTTTGTTAGGTCAGTGTATATATGCCTCCCTTAAAGCCTTCTTAGTCCGCCGCTCACTCGCTTACCAGTCACCAGAATAGACATAGCATAGCAACTTATCCCAGTGTTTCAATCACTTTCAAAAATTGAAAACGAGGCTGGGATATTGATATAAATAGTTTTCTATAGGATCCAAGGATCACACATAGATGTTATCATATGTTTCAGGTGGTACTGGTGTACTGATTTCAACAGTACATGCTAGTTAACACACGTCATATGATTCCCATTACGCTCCAATCAATAAAACATGTAGCTATGAACTTTCTTAAGTTACATACTCGAAACGACATGTTTTCTCGGGTAAGGTGACACCGTCCATTTTCTTTGATACTAACTCAAGGGTAACCATGATAAATTTATATAGTGTATGTAAATTTGAATTTACGATGTAACGTGTATGTGTAGCAGCAAGATGTATATGCCTGCTCTGAATTGAATCATTCAAGATCCATTATGAGTGATTTTTAAAGCTTCAATTGTATTTAATTTTAGTAAAATTGTCAAGTAAGTCCTTGTGTTAGAGCTTTCAACAGAGGCGGAATTTCTATTCCATCAAGGTAAGACAGACGAAGTAGCTGATTGCCACTGAAGTTAGGTTGTTTTAATTCACTATCATCAGAGAATCTGATGACTATATTGAAATTATTGTCTGTTTTCTATTTTAGAAAGCCCTTATTCATCGAGCAATGAAAAGTGCCAAATATGGACAAAATGTACCAGATACAAAAAAAATACACAAAACTTACTTAATATGAAGACTGCACATCTACTTTCTTTTTCGCTGTCCCTTCTGGTGCAGACCACTTCTTTCGAATAATTTTTTTCACTATTTCCACAGAGGGCTGTGTCTTGAATCAAAGTCTTTCTGAATAATATAGTATTTCTGTTTGGAACCGAGATCTATGTTTTGTTTTGAAGTTGCTCACCAGTGAGAATATTCTCTCAGCTGCAGCCGAAGAATGGGGCAATGACATTAAGTTTATCATGAGTTTTACAACATTAAGAAACCTCAATTCATCACCACATCTTTCCTTTGAAACAGTATACCAAAACTTTTCAGGTTCCACTTTTACTTTTATCCTCTTCACCCCTCGTTAGCCGCTTGGGCGATCGGTCACGTCTCAAATAAGATCGGCTCTCTCCATTCCTTATTGAGTTTTTCATAAGCATCCTCTTCAATGATGTTGGGGAATTTTACTGCTAAAGGTATGATAGATGTGGGCTCCCCTGACTCACATTTGCAGGATCTAATACTTCAAGTAATTCTAAGCTCGCAAACATATCAGAGGATATGAAGCAATTGAACATTTGTTTTTATAAAGCAATATAAAAGCCCAATGTTTAAATGTGAAATTCTTTGAAGAGTATTCCAAGGCAAGCTCTGTGTTCTTGCTCCACGATATATGTCGCCGTCTCACCGACCCAGCGAGACCATATTACAAAATTGCCACGTTTGTAGACTCACGGTTACTCTATTCTATTGCCTCTCATGCTATATCAACATCATTTAATTCGGCTTTTATGCTATCAACATATTTTATCTAAATGTTACCACTAAAAGAATTAAAAACTTAAAATTTTACCAGAGAAGTATCAAGCAGTAACCTATCATAACAGTTTCACTCCTTACTGGGCTCTGCCAGAAAATGGCATTTAGTACCAGAAAACATCGATTTCATTGAAAGTCGTACCAAATATACTCAAGACAGTCAAAAGTACCAAATCTGGTACTTTAGTACGAAAAACGGCATCACTTTGAACTTAAGTACACTATTCTCACAAAGGAACCTGAAATCCTTGTGCACTGGACCACCAACATTCGTTAATAAAGGAATTTTCAACACAGTACAGTATATTATATTTTAATGAACAAAGAAACGATTTTGTTGAACATTAATTTATGCATTTTTAACGATATATCATTCCTCTAGATAATAACTTAATATTCATTTTTGTATTTTAGGAAAGTGTATTTCCCACCGTGTAGTGAGTACAGGTATCAGTAAACAACTATCTTCAGCCTTCAGCAGCAGGACGGTCGGTCACCTGGTGGTTGGTATGTAGCTTGCCTTCTTTATCTAGTGTCCCTTTTAAGAACATCAGAATGTTTTCATAGTTATGTAGTATTCTGTCTTTATTTAGTATGAAATAATTTAAGAAGTAGTCTAACACGATTATAATAGTAAAATTGTAATCCTTTGTAGTTATTGAGAAATGTCCTCAGAGGGCTGCTATCCTATATGAATCTTGTAAATAAAGTGATTTATAATTAAACAGTAATGTCAAAAAGACTATTTATCTGTTGAGTAATCAGTGTTTCAGTTAAACAGTTGGAAATAGTGTAGAAACAGTTGCCAATATATATATATATATATATATATATATATATATATATATATATATATATATATATATATATATATATATATATATATATATATATATATTGGAATTTAACAATACTGTAATACCATTGCAAATCCAGGTAATACTAGAGGAGAGTGTTTTGGTCTCAAGCACCAACTTGAAGAAATTTCTACACAGAAGATGAAAGCTTTCTTACCTCGCAAAACTAACAAAAATAGGTTAATAATCGTCTTTCACCTATTCCTCTTCTAGTGTTTCTTACTACCTTAAATGTGTTTTATTTGGTTAATATTGACGACTGACCTGCGGACGAGTTTTTGTTTTACTGTTTATTTTCTTACTTAATTTTCATCAGTGAGTTCTCATAGGATAATCATTTCTTGTGCAAATGCTTCGTTTTGTAGATAATTAGGTGCCTAGGCGCACACTGGTTTGTCTTCCCGGCGGTAATGCGACCACGCTCTTTGCGAGTTAGCCTCTCATTCCCACGCCAATTTCATTTTCAGCATGGCATGTGAAGGTTGTTGCTGGTATTGTGCTACAGTTCTAGTGCTTATAAAGGAACTTGGCTTGAAAATGCCATGATGAAACCCAGTATTGTACTTATATTTATAAGCATTTTTCAACGAAAGTACTTTTCACAGCAATACTGTGAAATTGAACTGGGGTTTTGTGCAGTCTGTTGTATATGACGTATATAAAAACACTCCGCCACCCGGGCTGGATTAAAGCCGATGCTCTCACGTCCACAAAAAAAAAAAAACGTAAAGGTACACCATATCATCATAAACTCTTTCTGTTTAATATACCGGGGAGTAGAAGTTAGGTGAGGTTAGGTAGGTTTGTTTGGTTAGGTTGGTGAGGTCTGTTTTTCATGCCCACTAAGGTTAGGTTGGGTTTAATTTAGAAATAACCACTTTATAACACATTTGCATAAACTACAACATTGTCCACTATATAAAACATTGAAACTGTAGCGTTTTTAAAATCGTTTCTATGAAAATTCGGCCGAAGGTCAGTCGTTAATAATTACCCCCTCAAATATTACGGTAGGTATCTGGTGCTATCAACGTGTGTTATCATCTGCACTGTTTGCTTACGACTGACCCGTTCTGTCCGAACATACTCTCACAGCTACAAAAAAATTTACAATTACACCTTAACACTTTAACAAAGTTGCTTTCATTGGTACCAGATATCAAAATAAGTACTTTCTGTTTAATATGGTATAAGGGGGGGGGGGGGCAGAGCCCCCAGACTAGGACGTTTGGTAAGGTTAGGTCGATTTTCTATAAAAAAAAAATCATTTGCACTTGAAGTGAAGGTCATTTTTTATTAAAATACAATAGAAAAACAATTATTAATGTATGAGATGGCCACTACCACCAAAAAAATTTCGATTTCAATAATTTTTCCACATGTTCTTAGCATTGTAGTAAGTATTTTAAAAGAGGCAACATTTTCTAGAACCTATTAAAACCTGACAACCAACCAGAGAGACCTACCTAACCTTACCTAACTTTCTCCCCCACAATATTAAACAGAAAGTACTTATTATGATATCTGTCACCATTGAAAGCAACTTTGTTGAAGCGTCATGGTGTAATTTATGTTTTTTATGGGCGTGAGAGTACACTGGGCCAAGCGGGTCGGTTGTAAGCAAATTGATGACACGCTGTAACTCAGCAGAGTTTTCGGAGGAGTATTTACAGTAAATAATTCATTTCTTCACGTACAAAGCATGTAGAGTCATCATTTTAGTGTCATATAATCAGTTTTTCACGGTGTTTTACTCCACAATTTCCCTCATTGGCACTGGACAACTCGCACTCGAGCAAATCGTACCCACCAGAACATGTCAAGTCATACCCAATTACAAGATAACTCGTACCCAATTTATAAGACAGTTCGTACCCATATACTGTATATACATCAAGAGAAATCTACCATATGCGGGAAGAAAGTTAATTAAATAAGATCAAAATTAGAATGCTCGCATACGCTGATGAACCGGATATACTGTAGTAAGCAACAACATCCAAGAAGTAGATATGATGACAACAACCTTTAAGAAAATAGCAGATTCAACAGGACTTGAGATAAATGTGGATAAGACCAAAATAATGATCATGGAAAGAAACCAAAGACAAAACCCACAACGTATCGGTATAAGTGGAATGAATATTTAAAAAATCGAGTCCTTTAAATACCTTGGATCACTTGTGACATATGATTACAAGATTGGAGAAGAAATTATGTAAAACCAATGTAAATTATAGCCAGGATTGGAGCCGGTAATAGATGCTACTACAGTGTTCTGGCCATACTAAACGAAGATCCTTATCAAGAACAACAAAGGTGAGAATTTACAACACAATAATATGTCCAGTTCTTACTTACGGTTGTTAATCATTGAATACATTTCTGCAAATTTGTGTGCCTCATTTCTGATGGCATCATTATCCATTTGGCGGCATTCTATCGCTACTCTGAACCAATTATGTATAGTGTATTTTTATATGCAACCATTCTAGCTTGCAGCCAGCATAATATAGACTCTGAAGAAGTGTTGTCATCAACATGCCACTTTCATTGTGGTTACTTTGTATTCTGCAGTACAACTGTACATAAAGCCTGTGATTCCATCTCAAAAAAATGAAATCGTCGGGACGGTTTAAGGTTTTTGAGTACGATTTATCTTGGGTGTGAGTTGTCTTGGGTACAAGATGACCCTGACTCCTCTTTTAAAATATTTACCATAATAATAAGAACATCTGTGGAAAAATTAATGAAATCGAACAGCTTCTGATGGCAGCGGTTTCCTCATAAATTACCGAACAGCTTCTCATATCAAAAGAAGGGACTGGGCATAAAACAAATACAGTACACTGTAATTGCCAAAAAATATAATAATGGTTATCACCCAAAAAATTCTTAAGATGCTCTTCGCATTCTACTAAACACGAAAATGGGTGATGGTGGAGAAAGTTAGAACCCAAAGAACTTTATAGAATTCATTCATATTTTCCACGGGTATTGTTTGGATGACAGTAAGTAATTAAAACAATACAACAACTTTTTCCTGTAATTTTTATTTTCTCTATGATCATAAATCACCTGTAGTGGGCAGGGCATGAAAGATGCGGGAAATTATGGGGTAAAACACTGCAAAAAACTGATTATATGATAGTAATTTCATGTCTGTGATTTTTAGGCGGAGAAATAAATTTTTTACCATAAATATTCTGCCTATATTTCTTCCATGGTGTTGTGTTTGCATCCCATCGTAAACTATAAATTTGTGATTTTGGTCATTGTAAACATTAAAAGTAATGATGAAGGATCTCATTGGGGGTTTATTACAATAAATATTGGCTTGATTTTTTTTTTTTTCAATGTTGTAGGCTTCATTTTCCTGGAGTTTATGACCTGCACAAATCCACCCCTTTTTTCCTGCAATTTGTTCTTGAAGCTATTCTATGTATAAAGGATGAGATTCATATACTGGACTGTATAGTTGGATACGGATCCCAGATTTTGAGTGTAGATACATTTCCAATTTTTTTCGAATAGCATTGGATTTTAGGTGAACTGTACTGTATGTTCTTATACCGGGTACTTATTGTTCTTCTTCATGAGGAGGGACATGCTAGCCATCTGTATTTTTCCTATGTAGTAATTGTGTCGTGCTTAGTATTGTATTGCAAGTTATCTGTGCTTGTGGAGGATCAAGAGCATCTGCAACTATTCATCTGTCAACACGGACTAGTTGGGAGGATGTGCAAGTGTTCAAAATCAGCAGAAAACTGACAGTGAACAAGAATTGTTTGTTTGTGGAACAAATGCTCATACTCTTATATCCACAGAAGACATAAAATTTCATTATTCCACTTCAAGAAAATGCTTTCATTGATACCTGATGTCAGAGTAAGATCTTTCTGCTTAATATGTCGGGTGTCCTGGTTCGGAAGTTAGGTAAAGTTAGGTAGGTTTGGTTGGTTAGGGAAATTTCTGTTAGATTTTGTGCATTATCATTTACATTTTTTTTTTTAATTTTGGTGCAGTTCCATAAGTTATTTCTGCTGCTAACCGTCTCCATCACCATTACCAAAATACTGGAGGAATATGTTTTGCATAGTTATTTTTAATGTGTTTTAACCCCATATTTACCCTCATCTTCAAAGTCCTGCCCACTTTGGAAGAAATCATTGTCATTGCAAGGATAAAAGGGATCATACTGCTACCTCCTTAACCCTTAAAGCTCTGGTAATATTCCTCTATGCCCTTAATTTTCAGAGCATAGTTTGACTATCCAGACATTATGAAGTACTTTGTATAGGATATGTATTTACTTAGCAACTCAACGCGCATGTAATCTTTGTCTCAAGTCTAGCGGTCCAGTTGCCCACCAGCTATCATGATGGATGCATGTCCTTCGATGTCTTGTGAACCGTCTCACTCCTCCACACCCTCAACAGTAGTGCTATTTATCAAAGGGTTGCTTGAATTGAGTGGCATTAATATAGTATTGGGTGACGAAGACCATGATGGGGAGGAAACAGACCCAGATGAGGTCAAGTTTATTGAGGCAGCTAACGGTGAGGACAGTGATACAGATAATGGCGCTCACCCCCCCCCCCCCTTCAGTGAAGTCCTGGTAGTGGATGTAAGGGACCATGTGGATGCAAGTCACAAAAGTACGCTTGTAGTGACTGCAGTAATTTAATGCCTGAAATACCAATTTTTTTACTGTAAATTTAAAAGATTTTTTTTTTTTTTTTTTTTTTTTTTTGCCTAAATATGCCCACGTGGGGGTCCAGCGGGTCTTATGTTGCTCGAGACATAAGGGTTAAATGTGCATTTTCAGAGTTGTAAAAAGAACCATTGTCAAAATGGTACTCATGTAGAAGTAAAAGTATCCAAAGTTTAATGAACTCAAGTACTGTAGAAGTAAAAGAAAAGTGTTTCATTCATAAATTACTGTACTCAATTAAAATTTATACAAAATATTAGTTAACTAAAGATAAAAATAAGACACATTGCATGACATGTTTATTTGCAGTCCAGACCTCACTACCCAACCTTTCCCACACTTTGGTTCCTTCTCTCGTCTCCCATATGCCTCCCAGGTTTTTAACACATCTAACCTACCATCAATAACATTTTGGATGACTTCTTAACTCATCACTTCATTCAACCAAGTAACTTATGCAAGTGTCCAAAAAAGCTGCAAAATGTTGATTATGATAATGCAGTTTATGGAGAGTTTATTGTTTCAGTGTTTTTACTGTACTTCCAATAATGAGTAGTTATGGTAAACATAATTTATTTATTTTTAATAGATACAGAAGATTACCAATACATTTACCGTTTCAGAAAACATTATAATGGCATCTTCAAGTACAGGAGAGGGAAGCAGCAGTAGCAGCATGAATCAGACTCAGATCGCTCAGCGCTCGTGGGAGATGGCCAACAGCATGGAGTCTGTTAACGCTGCAGATGAAATATATCAATATGACCGCAAACAACAGCAGGACATTCTTCAAGCTAAACCCTGGGAAAAGGAGTATGTTAATTTTCCTTCATGTAGAGATGTAGACCAGTGCTATTCAGCCATTTTTTATATCATCTACCCCTTGTGAAGAAATAGAAAAACCCATCCACCTTTAACTTTGGTAGCCAATTTTTATTAAAAGCTGAAGGCAATAAATACATCAGCATTTCACTTTTTTGTCTTTATTTACCAGATTTACCTTATAAAATGTCATTATCAATTCCGAGCAAAATCCTTTTTTGGCACTTAACGAATCAATGAATTGGCTGTTGTTGCACTTTCCATGGAAACACTGTAGATGTCACATATATCTACATATTACTGGTTTCACACTTACTGATCCTTACAAATCTCATCCACTCTGGGTTGGACCATCCACCTAGGGTGAGTAGCACTGATGTAGAATTAAGTATATTGTTAATAACTGTACCTCATGATTACAATACAGTACTGTATTTGAATGGTCATGCTGTACATATAAATGGTTAATTAACTTCTTTTATCTGTATAAATTCACGGTGATTGAGGTTTTTAAAGAAGTTGATGCTTTTGAGCACCAGTAAATAAGACAGTGTAATTGAGACTAAGAAAAATACAGATGATTATATATATATATATATATATATATATATATACACAGTCGACCCTCGTTAATTCGGACCCCTTTAATCCGGATTTCGGATAATTCGGACAAAATCTGAACTTTTTTTTTTTTTATAGATTTGTAGGAATATTACCTACGCGGACCTTAAGCTAAAATGCTGGTCCACCCACTGCTGGGATAAAACACCAGCGTCTTTCTGGTTAAATGTAACTTCTCCACCACTAGTGTGGGGGGGGATGCAACTTTTAGCTTCAGACATGAAAAATATTTACCATTTACTGCCAGTAAACAATGGAAATGTAAAATATATACCAATTAGTAATGAAAAGTTGTGCAGTTCCTTCAGCAAATGAAGCTCACCAACTTACAATAGGCTAAATTACCTTACAACGTGTTTTCAGTAGTCTATGTTGAAGTTCTTAGCACAGGCTAACTTATCATATCATATACGGTATCACAGTTCTCATTGATCTACAAAAAATACCGATACTAAAAACCTTTTCGATATTACACACTTAATATAATACCCGGTAATCTACTTCAACCTCCTATTGTTTACAACGACGCATGACACACCACCAGCTGTTAAGTATCAGCTAGACGGTACACGTGTTTTTCGAATCGTTTTCAGTTAAAAAACTGTTACATCACATGTATATTTTACCTTAACCATGCCTGAATGAATATATTCTCGGAAATAAATAGTAGTTTTGCTGAAACGTGATGTATTTTAATGTAAAATAGGATAAAATACATGACGAAAACAAAAGACTTTACCTAACCTTCCGATGTTCAAGAGAAGTTACTCGTTTTTTTTCATCGTATTTTTGTTAAAATACTGTTATATTACAATGGTATTCTATTCATTCTATGCTTGATATAATGCATTCACGGAAATGTATTATTTTTGCTGAAATGACGTACGTATTACAGTGGAAAGTGGGATAAAATCGTGACGAAAACAATGACTTTCGCATTCTTTCGTTCAAAAGATATTACCGTAATCGCTTTTCGATTGGTTTTCAGTTAAAAACTGTTGTATTACAATAATATTCTATCCTAATTGACTTGAATAAATACTACGATACCATATTTCTGAATATTTTCATTAAAATCCATCAAAATCATTTTCCTTGTCATCGTCTGCAGCACCAAACAGCTTCTCCCAGTCCTCTCCTTGAACAGGGCTAGAGGGTATGTGTTTTTCGAACCGTTTTCAGCTAAAAAAACTGTTACATCACACGTATATTTTACCTAAACTGCGCCTGAATGAATATATTCTCGGAAATAAATAGTAGTTTTGCTGAAACGTGATGTATTTCAATGTAAAATAGGATAAAATACATGACGAGACAAAAACAAAAGACTTTACCAAACCTTCCGATGTTCAAGAGATGTTACTCGTTTTTTTAATAGTTTTCGGTTAAAATACTGTTATATTACAATGATATGATATTCATACTCTGCTTGATATAATACATTCACGGAAATGTAATATTTTTGCTGAAATTACGTACATATTACAGTGGAAAGTGGGATAAAATCGTGACGAAAACAATGACTTTGAAATATAATGCAATATTAACCCCTAAATCGGTTAATTCGGACAATCGGCTAAAACGGACACCCTTCCCCCTATTAGTCCGAATTAACGAGGGTCGACTGTATATATACAGTGGTCCCTCGGTTAACGAACACAATTCATTTACAGAGTCGTTCGTTAACCGAATCCATTGTTTCAATGGGATATTGTGTAATTGGTTCCAGCTCACAGAAAAGTACAAACAAAGTAAAAAAAAAATGCAGTAAAGTACACTTACTTTGAGGTGTGTATGTAGAAGGTTCCTGGTTGATGATGATGATGGGAATTAGAAGTGGGGGTGGAGGAGAAGGGAGAAGAGAAGGAAGTGGGGATGGTGGAGAAATTTCCTTTCAGGGAACCCATGCTTGATGCAGTAATTTCACCAATAAAATTTGAAGTTCACCAGTTGTAATTCAAGATTATTTTATGTAAATCAACACTTGCACTGCGCTATATATTATCAATATGTTAACTAAATTTCAGAATGACCAATAATTTTAATGTAAAAATGCAAAAATATTCAAGACACTAACAAAAGCAATGTTCACTCCACTGTAAACAAAGTCAAACTGACGCCTGGTGGGTGAGTCAAGCGGCTGATGGGCGCACAAAAAACTAGTTCCCTGTACTGCATATATTGTCTATATGTTAACTAAATTTTAAAATGACTTAAGTTTAATATAAAAAATTTAAAAATATTAAAGAGCACATTTTTCTTGATATTTACTCCAGTGGAAACGAATGTAAACATCGAACAGATAACTGAATTGGCAGACTAGCCCATCAGCTGATCCTCACAACAAAACGTGTTTGTCGTAAGGATTTCGTTAATCGAAGTTTTGTTCATTAACCGAATTGAGGATCCTTATGGAAGGTAATTCGTTAACCGAAATTTCGTTAATTGAACCAATCGTCAACCGAGGGACCACTGTATATATAATTTATTTTTCTTCCTAAATGTTCAATGGCTTGGCTTTAGAACTACGTATATGTTGATTGAAGTGAGGTGAATATATTGCTTGTTAAAAAAGACTTGAATATAGCAAAAAATATTAATCATTACAGAAAACATTTTCATTCTTTCAGTCCACACTTCTTCAAGCAGATCAAGATATCTGCACTGGCTCTCTTAAAGATGGTGATGCATGCTCGATCAGGTGGAACTCTAGAGGTTTGTCATATATTATTTGAGATGTGCATCTACTGCTTGAGTGATACACATTTATTTATTGTATTTATTGTATGAAATGGCTCTTTCTCCATAGTAGTATTACATTTGATTTCTCAGCAATATCTAGGAATTTTTTTTTTTTTTTAAATACTGTACACTGAAAAACACTAAAGGTGCTCTGCTTCTCCTTCCCAGCATGAGAACTTTGCCTCTTTTTCCATCATTTGGTATTATTACTCTTACAAATATTCTTTCCAACTACCAATACAGTGCAGGTACACATTATCTCTCCCATTTCCATCAATATTCTTCAATCTGCATTTACCATAATTCCTTTCCTCTTCCTCTTCTTTCCTGAATTTTATAAGAGATTCCTTTTACCTACAGTATCACTACAGTACAGGTACTTACCTTTATTCCTAATGTCTCAACCTTTCCTAATAGAATCTAGCATCATCTGTTTCACTCCATTATTCTCTTCTCTGGACTCCCACTCTTTCACAAGTCTATTTGTCTTGCCACTTTTTACTTGCCATTACCACTTTTATTTATGTTTTCCTCCTAGCATCTTCCCCTAGTTTATTTCTAACTACAGTAATTTACTGGCTTTGATCACAGGTGATGGGTCTGATGCTGGGTAAGGTAGATGGCCCAACAATGATTGTGATGGACTCCTTTGCTCTTCCTGTTGAGGGCACCGAGACAAGAGTCAATGCTCAAGCACAGGCTTATGAATACATGACTGCTTATGTAGAGGCTGCTAAAGAGGTTTGTTTTACTTTTTTGTTTCTCTTATGAATGTGATCTTGGTAATTCATGTTTTCTAGGCACAATGTTGACTCAGTATAGCATCTTAATTCATATACTGTACTGTATTGATATTTTCAGCTCCTGTCTACAGACCCTCAATATAATAGGATCATTGTTAGTGATTTATTGGATTCTAACTTTTCTCGCTTGCTTTGATATTATATCAGCAAAAATAAAATATATATGTTTGGGGGTTTACTGGGGCAGCAATGTGCACATTAATTGTTTTATTTTTTATGTCTGCAGGTTGGGCGTCAAGAAAACGTGATTGGCTGGTACCACAGTCACCCGGGCTATGGCTGCTGGTTATCTGGCATAGATGTGTCCACTCAGATGCTAAATCAAAATTATCAAGAGCCATTTGTGGCAATTGTAATTGACCCAATTCGCACCATCAGCTCAGGCAAAGTTAATATTGGAGCTTTTAGGACCTACCCTAAGGTAAAATAAATATTCTTTTGTGCCTTCTATAAAATTCATTCTTATTGTTCACTGTAGAACTTTACTATTTTTAGAAGATGCTTTTCTTCTCAGGCTATTTTCAGCATTTTCTCATTCTTCCACTTAAATAAAACAATAAAATAAAGTACTTTTTATACCGTACCTCTGCCATTCTTATGCTTACATACTTATCATTGGATGCCTACATTAACCTGTGCATTTTTCAAGCAACCACAGTATCTCATACTCAGCCAGTTCCTTTATATCAACTGTACTGTACCTGTACTTTCCTTGCAACTTTTTGGGAGAGATCTGTGTTACAGTATCATTCTATAGTGAACATGACTATGGTATATATCATCTTAGCCACCAGATGCCACCACTCCTTGACTGATATAATCACATTCTTACCTTAGACTTTACTGTGCCCTCATATAATCAAATGAAGTTTCCACCTGAGCCTCTAACTCCTCTAATGATCTGTACACTTCCTGTTTTATATAAGAAGACAAGCCTCTCACTTATATAATATTGTACATTATATATTATACTTATTATTTTGTGCTTTCTTACCGTAGGGTTACAAACCACCAGATGAGGGACCTTCGGAGTACCAGACAATCCCCTTGAATAAGATAGAAGATTTTGGTGTCCACTGCAAGCAGTATTACTCATTAGATATTTCTTACTTTAAGTCATCCCTCGATAAGAAGTTGCTGGATTCACTGTGGAATAAATACTGGGTTAATACTCTCAGCTCTTCGTCACTTATTACTGTGAGTATCCAAATCATTTCTCTGTTTGTAGATTATTCATCAGTTTTCTCTTAAAAGTAAATTTACTACTACAGTATTGTCGGTGGGTAGGTTAATGTATGTTATGATTAGCCTACAGTCTTATAGGTTATTGTTATCCTAAGCCTACAGTCTTGCAAAAGGTTATTGTTATCCTAAGCCTACAGTCTTATAGGTTATTGTTATCCTAAGCCTACAGTCTTATAGGTTATTGTTATGCTTAGCCTACAGTCTTATAGGTTATTGTTATGCTTAGCCTACAGTCTTATAGGTTATTGTTATCCTAAGCCTACGGTCTTATAGGTTATTGTTATCCTAAGCCTACAGTCTTATAGGTTATTGTTATCCTAAGCCTACAGTTTTATAGGTTATTGTTATCCTAAGCCTACAGTCTTATAGGTTATTGTTATCCTAAGCCTACAGTCTTATAGGTTATTGTTATCCTAAGCCTACAGTCTTATAGGTTATTGTTATGCTTCTTATAGGTTATTGTTATGCTTAGCCTACAGTCTTATAGGTTATTGTTATCCTAAGCCTACGGTCTTATAGGTTATTGTTATCCTAAGCCTACAGTCTTATAGGTTATTGTTATCCTAAGCCTACAGTTTTATAGGTTATTGTTATCCTAAGCCTACAGTCTTATAGGTTATTGTTATCCTAAGCCTACAGTCTTATAGGTTATTGTTATCCTAAGCCTACAGTCTTATAGGTTATTGTTATCCTAAGCCTACAGTCTTATAGGTTATTGTTATCCTAAGCCTACAGTCTTATAAGTTATTATTATCCTAAGCCTACAGTCTTATAGGTTATTGTTATCCTAAGCCTACAGTTTTATGGGTTATTGTTATCCTAAGCCTACAGTCTTATAGGTTATTGCTATCCTAAGCCTACAGTCTTATAGGTTATTGTTATCCAAAGCCTACAGTCTTATTGTTATCCTAAGCCTACGGTCTTATACCTTTGACACCAAAAATCTTTTTGGTGCCTTGTCTACTCCACAGTAGAAATAATTTATGCTTTTAAAAATTTAAACTGGGACATAAAAGTTATCTTGGGTCTGCTGTATTTGCTTCTTTGAACTTTGACTTCATTATCCAGTTATATAGTACATTCCCATAAGTGCAGCCATAATGTGGTATGGCAGTGTTTACATTCTGTTTGTCATTTATTACTTCAGTACTGTACTTTGATTGTGTTAAACAGCTTCCTTTCAAATCACAGAATATTACTCATAAAACAATACAGGTAAAGTTCATTTTTTAAAGAGTCAGAGCATGTAATCTATGCCTTCTCAATGGCGAGTGCTTGTGGCTCTTACCTACAGTATATGTAAACCTTTCTCTTTATTCTTTCCCAAACTCCTTTGGACTTCTCTTGAAAAGTGAAATCTTAATTTTTGGTAGTATACTGTAACTATTTTCCTTTCCAATTTTCTCTCAGAATCCCCCCCCTCCCCCCCATGGTTGAAATGTATTACCGGTATGTACTGAAGAGAAAGGATTCCAGGAGTATTGCGATTCTTTATAAATTAGCTTCTGTTTAGATTCCACTGACCCAAGTGGAAGTTTTTTGTTGCCTTCTACAACTGACATGCCTAAAATCACAGTACAGTACACGCTTCTCACTGTCATGATGAAACAGTGCCTGGTTGATGTCCATGAGATAATATAGCAAAGCACCATTAAGATTCTGGCAACAGCACCCAGCTGAAGGAGTTAGACTTGTTTATCTGAAAGTATGATGAAAGAATGAGAATCAAAAGGGAAGCATTGAAGACTCCTGGAAATAGCACAGATCCTCCTTAATTCAAATTGTCGAAGCTGAAGTTGGTCTCAGGTGATTCATGTGTAGCCAGTAAGTCTTTAGTGTTGGAAACCCAGATTCTCAGGACCCTAACACTTCAGTTATCATTAGTGTATAGCTATACTGTATTTAAATATCTAAATATCTAGGTTTTTATTGCAGTACAACCAATCACAATGCAGAATTCAAAATTTTAAGTTTCTTATTGTAGTTAAAATTCCATTTTTCTTTAGTGATTCTAACTGGTTGCTCTATCCATTAACAGAATGCAGAGTACATGACTCGTCAGATCTTTGATCTGAGTGACAAACTCGAAAATTCAGAAACTGCCCTTGGCCGTTCTGGTCTGTTTGGATTAGATCCCCAGGAAAAGAAAACAGAAGACAAACTGAGCCGAGTGACACGAGATTCTTGCAAGACTACCATGGAAGCTCTTCATGGTCTTATGGCTCAGGTTGTTAAAGATAGACTTTTTAATCAAATACCACAAGCTCAATGTCAGACAAAAGACACTGCTCAGCCACCTACACAGCCACAGGCCTAGACACAAGAAGCAGTATTCTAGTACAGTATCTCCAGAAGTCTTTCACTATGAATGCAAGAAGATGGAATTTTCACTTCAGTCTTGAAATTTATGAAAAACATAATATGGCTAAAGCAGAGAGACAACACAATAGCCAGTTTGTGAGAGCATCATGGTCAGTCAGGAGAATAACAACAGGTATGCCCACCATTATTCTAAATACTATGTACCGTATATGTATGATGTCTTGCACATTTCAGTCTATGATATATTGAAAATACTTTATGGCATTTTGTAGTAATTGTTTGAAGTTGAGTTCTATTATAAAGACTTAGCTTTTCCTGTGTTACTGGTATTTGTAATGTGATGGATCATATTAAATGAAATAAATATTGTAACTGAAAGATGTTTAAGTAATTTGCAAATGCATATTTTATTTTTTCAAAATTATATATATATATATATATATATATATATATATATATATATATATATATATATATATATATATATATATATATATATATATATATATATATATATATATATATATATATATATATACACACAGCTAGACCCCAACTTACGACTACATGAACTTACGTCCATTGGTACTTACGACCTGCTTTGATCGTACGTCCGTCGGGACGTACGACTGCGACCGTCGTGACCAAAAATATTTTCAAATTACGCGCGCATTTTCTATACCGAAACGAGAGGGTGGCGCGTCTCGGGTCGCCTCGTGGGTACACTCACTCAGTGGAGCACTTTGTTTGTGTTTGGCTATCGTATCCTATACTGATCGCGCTGTGAACTTTCGTTATTATCGTATTTAATTGACTTTATAATGACTGGAAAGCGTAAAAGTGAGAGTGCTGGTGGTGTTCCAAGGAAAAGGAGACAGGCAGTTACTTTTGAGATGAAACTGAAGATAATAACACAGTATGAGAATGGAAAAACAGTAGCAACAATCTCACGCGACCTAGGTTTCTCACACTCGACTATATCCACTATTCTGAAGGACAAGGAACGTATTCGTGAAGTAGTGAAAGGAACAACACCTATAAAGGGAATTATAATATCAAAGAGAAGACAAGGTCCTATTCACGATATGGAAAAATTATTGGTGATATGGATAGAAGACCAGATACAGAAGCGTGTACCCTTAAGCGTTCTAACCATACAGGCTAAAGCAAGAAGCCTGTTCCAAAGCCTGAAGGAGCAGGCAGGAGATGAATGTGATCAAACCTTTACAGGAAGTCATGGGTGGTTTGATAGATTTAAAAAACACTACAGTCTACACAATGTTAAGGTGAGTGGAGAGGCAGCTAGTGCCGATGTTGGTGCTGCCAAAGCTTTTAAGGAGGAGTTAGATGATGTGATTGTGGAAGGGAATTATTTGCCTGAGCAAATATTCAATGTGGATGAGACTGGATTATTGTGGAAGCGCATGCCTGAGTGGACATACATCCACAAAGAGGCGAAAACAATGCCCGGATTCAAGGCATTCAAGGACAGAATTACACTTCTGTTGTGGGGGAATGTTGCTGGTTTCAAGCTAAAGCCCTTCATGATCTATCATTCAGAGAACCCCAGGGCTTTTAAACATGTCAGCAAGCACACACTGCCAGTGTTTTATCGCAGTAACAAGAAAGCCTGGATGACCCTAGTACTGTTTGAGGATTAGTTCATGACTTGTTTCATTCCATGAGCCAAGGAGTATTGTCTGCAGCAACAGATTCCATTCAAGATTTTACTGATTTTGGATAATGCTCCGGGACACCCACCAGACCTGGACGACATGCACCCTGATGTTAAGGTAGTGTACATTATCTAAAAGTATTAGTTGCAAATAATTGTGCTTCCCAATGGTGCTTCAACCTGTAACCTTTGAGACAGCATTCAACAGTCACTGGTATTGAGCCATCAAATGCTGATAACAGCTTTTAATGACTTGTTTCTAAAGCTACAGGTTTGAACCTTGTTAAGGTGTCACAACGATACCTATAAACAAGAACTACAGATGAGAACTATTTATATTTTCCTAGATTGTTGTGGAAGATGTGCAATTTATACAGTACATCTTAATCTGCTGCTATATAACTATTAGCAAATGAGTTGTCTTTCAGTACTTTGCAGATAGTTAGGCATGTCTCAGGAATGATTGCACTCAGACTTTGTTTTGAAGTGCGTGTGGAATAATGCAAAGTTTCACAGGCATCCAGTTGCTAGATACTGGAGAGTAGCTTCGAGAAATGACCGTCAAAATATTCTCTGAATCTAGCATCCTGTCTCTTTGAGCTGTTTTACCTTTTCAAGATGGGGGAAAAGAGGCCAATACTGGTATTCTGATATAACTTTCTATTATAAGCTCATTAAATATGTTCTTAAAGCTTCCCTTGGACTGCCTCTTCATTCACCACTGTTTGCATCAATGATTTTTTCTTCACTTTTCTCCTCCTCTTTATCACACAAGCAGTCACCACACTCCACAAAGTAACTTATGTTGCATGCAGAACTGGAGCCATTGCTCACAATACTGGTCAGAGAACGAATGATAGTTGCTGGTGTATATAATTCATCCAGCAAGCCTGACTAACACTGTCAGACAGACTTCCCTTGTCGGACAGCATGTCGACACGTGTGTACTAGGTTCGAGATACTGTACCCTGCCTCAAACTTCACCGAGAATGTCACGGTACCATCTTCATTACTGCCAAGGCATACACATGCAAAATTTAATCTGTAGCATGAAGAACCCTTGCACAAAAGGTGTGACATTTAAAACAAATATGTTATCAAATTGTAACCTCAGTTGGTCTTCACTTATTGAAATGTATTTACAAAAGTAGATTTGATCTTACTACACTCATTTTAAGGCCATTTGTGATCTCAAAAAAATTCCTTCCACTAATAGTACTGTACAAAAACTTATGGGAATAATGAAAAGTTTATTTCTTTAGCTATTTACTGGAATTAAATGACAGTAAGGCATATACAGTATATATGATCATGAAATTAAAAAGCATGATTAAATACAAGATTAATCCACATTGAATAGGTAATTGGACGTCTTTTAACATAAAATGCTTTGTGTAAATATAAATACCATAAATCCATACAAAAGCCTACATTAAACCCACTACTGCTGAAAAAATATTTAAATTGGTCTTATGAGCTAAAATAGGAGTTGCCTACTAAACACACTACCCTTGCTTTCAACAATCAAATCCAAAGTTCTCGATGAGGTCACACTAATCATCCTATAGTGTTAAAAGACATCGAATTGCACAATTAACCCATACCTAATCACACATCATATGAAGATGTAGAAACTGATGTTTAATGGATAGTCTACATTGTGTGTTACACCACCTTAATATGAGACATCAAGCTTCATGGTTAGGGAAGAATTCTTGAAAAAATTTGAACTACATAGTTATAAAAGTCACTGTGACTAAAGCAACACATGTATTCATCTGTTAATATTGGGAGATTATTCAAAGCATCGAACAGTTGTGTATTGTTGCTGCTCAATCATAAACACCTTAAAATGGACACCAGATTATTCACATAGGTATGCTAAATGATTAAATAAATATTGTAATTACCTTATTGTACTTCACACCAATCATTACATACAGTATCTAGGGCATATAGACAATCTTGATCATTTACAAAAAACAATGTGCTGATTTACACTACTTCAGGATGATTCTTTGGCAACTTTACATCTTTAGGATTAGTGCATGACCAGGTGATGCCAACACTTACTGATGTTGCTGAACTTTAATCTCCATTACTACAAATCATATTACCATTTACTTTCTATTGTAATTAAATAATGTAAAACAAATGAGACATCCATAACCTAAAAAAAATCTAAGTGTAGTTTCCAATATGATACTATAATGATTATTTAACTTAATAAACTTCACTAAAACTCCCATGTAACACCAGCTGACACACGAAAGTGAGGACAGAGAATCCAATAATCCAAACTGTTAAAATTTGTTATGACATATATATATTTCAAAATAGAATCCTATATATCTTAACTTGCAAACAAGTGCAATATAAGAACTGTAGAGAGACACGTGGTGACTACAGCAGCAATACTGACAACCGTCTCTTAACAGTTCCACTTTTTTTACTTCGTCATAAACAGCAACCACTACCCTACTTACTGTGGCAGGTAATCATTATTGATCTATAGTTGATCTAAATTTAAAATAAAGTCAACTACTAACAAGATATCAGATGCCTACATTTTTGTTGACTGAACTGATAATTCAACTATTATCAGGTGTCTCCCTCAAAATTATAATTAATTGAAAGTGGGAGAACCGATGGTCAGAGAAGCAGCATTGGTAGTGGTTGGAAAGATAGCAGTATGGGGGATGGTGGGTACTGATGTAGCAGCACTAGTACTGCTAGTGATGGGGACTGGATGTTCCTGGGCGGTGGTCACTACAGCCTGGTCATGAGAAGGGGAAGACACAGTAGAACCCTCGCATGCACCCCCAGCTGTATCCACATGGTCTTGTCCTTGTTCCTGCCGAGCAAAGAGTGCAGCCATGGCCATGTCGTATGAAGGAGGGGGCTCTGGGAATATGCCTGGTAGCTTCTTTCTGTAACTGATATAATTAGATGTCATTTCAAAAAGTTATGATTGTACTCTTTATGAAAAAATAACTAACTTACACATACAAGTAACTGAATGGGGGACTAACACTAGTGAGGACAGCATGAACTTACCACAAAGCAAAAGGGCTACTCCTGAATATGGTGTGTTTCACAAAGCTACATGGTATAAATTAGACCTCATGAAAACTAACTACAGTATAGTAAAAAAAAAAAAAAAAGTGCAAATATAGGCAGTGCAGGCATATTAAATTTTTTTTTTTTTTTAGTAATCTGGTAAAGCAACATTAAGATGAAAAAATTACTGAGTCAATCTAAATACCTAAATATATTTCAAAACAAAAGGATGTAATTTACACCTGTATTGTGGATCGGCCATGGCATTGTCATAATCAGGCAAGTCCTGACCCATGACAAGTGTCTGACTCTCCTGGTCAACTGGGCCAGACACACCATCCAGGTATCTCAGTACTGACCGCCCAGCCTGTGCCCTGAGCATCAAGAATTTGTAACATCGCCAAACAATGCTGATGCAATAAGCCTGAAAAGTAAAAAAAGAAGACTATGTACCAGTGAGTCTCGGTCTAAGGCAGCTGAACCAAGGAAAAAGTATTCTGCAAAGATTAATAAGCTAAAAAGTTCTGCATAAAAACAGTACAGCCCTCCTTCATTTACTGCACAACTCTACTACATATTTACTTTATTTATGACATAAGTGAATATGTTTTTGTTTTCAATCTTTAATGTCCCTGGTAATTTCAGTGAGTATAATTCCAAACGACTCAAACATCCACGGCCATAATCAAAACAAGATCATTTCAATTTTGAGTTCCAAATTACTGTACTTAAAAAGAAATATTAAGGTTACAGTAACCTCTAATACTGAAAAATAACATGTTACTTGTGACAGCAGCTACACTAGTTTTACTGTGTTAAGTGCAAAAAATAGGCAAGTGTAACCAGGGAGTACATAAAGAAGATATAATCAGCATTGAAAGAAATGCCACAGTGTTCCTTTGTTCAAGAGCCTTATAATAAGCTCATCAAATTGCAGTTGGAATTGTAGATAATTGAACTCCCCCTAGACCTTAATAATGAACTACAGTCTCTCCTTGACTTACAAGACATACGACGGCCATGGTCGTATAAAATATTTTTCACATTACGTATTTTCGAGTCCTGACGTTAGTGATCGCGCTGTGTACTGACAAAATTTTCGTTTGTAATTCCCCTTAAAATGGCTGGCAAGCGTAAAAGTGAGAGTTCTCGTGGTGCTGAGAAGAAAAAGGGAGACCCATTTTAGAATTTATATTTATTATTTTCGCCTTTTCGACTTACGACCTGGTCATTGGGACGGAACCCCATCGTAAGTCGAGGATAGACTTGCAATGGACTTGTTATATGGAAAGCCTAGTTTCATCGAGGAAAACACGAACATCTTGACTAAGTTGGGTATCTTTAATCACTAATGTTTCGGAAAATAATTTTCCATCATCAGAGCCTAGAAAGCAAACAAAAAGTTTTAAAAAATTACAAGTGATGTACAATAAAAACGTAACATTATTCCAAAACTTACAAAGGGTATCTTAATTTAGATGAGCCTTAGTGTGAAAAACACAATTCACAGGAAGCCATATCACAAATGAATGCCTTTACACTTTATATTGATACAAGGCTTCCATATATATATATATATATATATATATATATATATATATATATATATATATATATATATATATATATATATATATATATATATATATATATATATATATATATATATATATATATATATACATACATACATACATACATACATACATACATACATACATACATACATACATACACGCAGGCTGACAACCCTTTATCCGAAAACCGCAAAGCTCTAGAAACCGAAAGTTTTTTTGAGGGGCAAATTTTATTTATTTTTTTAACAGGGATTAGCCCACCCAGGCATAAATCACTGACTCACATCGTGGCTTGGTGGGCGAAAATATAATACATAGTAGTAATAATAATTATAATAATAATTATTCATAGTACCAAATGAAATTTTTAATTAAAATACTGTACACCAAAATAAAATAATAATAATAATAATAATAATAGTAATAATAAAATATAATAATAAAATTAATAATAATAATAACAATAATACTGTAATAAAATAATAATAATAATAAAGAAATTCAAGAATGAAAAAAAAGATCAAAAGTGAGAAATGCGACCTAGACCTATGAATTATTATTACAGTATTATTATTATTATTATTATTATTATTATTATTATTATTATTATTATATTTTCGCCCCTCCCAGGCCCCGATGTGGGTCAGTGATCTATGCCCGGGTGGGCTTAGAGAGAGAGAGAGAGACAGACATTCTGAAAACCAAAAAATTCCGAAATCCGAAATGCCTCTGGCCCCAAGGATTTCGGAGAAGGGGTTGTCAACCTGTATTTTATATATACAGTCGACCCTCGTTAATTCGGACTAATAGGGGGGAAGGGTGTCCGTTTTAGCCGATTGTCCGAATTAACCGATTTAGGGGTTAATATTACATTATATTTCAAAGTCATTGTTTTCGTCACGATTTTATCCCACTTTCCACTGTAATACGTACGTAATTTCAGCAAAAATATTACATTTCCGTGAATGTATTATATCAAGCACAGTATGAATAGAATACCATTGTAATATAACAGTATTTTAACCAAAAACTATTAAAAAAACGAGTAACTTCTCTTGAACATCGGAAGGTTAGGTAAAATCTTTTGTTTTCGTCATGTATTTTATCCTATTTTACATTAAAATACATCACGTTTCAGCAAAACTACTATTTATTTCCGAGAATATATTCATTCAGGCACAGTTAAGGTAAAATATACATGTGATGTAACAGTTTTTTAACTGAAAACGATTCGAAAAACACGTGTACCGTGTAGCTAATACTCAACAGCTGGTGGTGCATCATGTGTCGTTGTAAACAATAGGAGGTTGAAGTAGATTACCGGGTATTATATTAAGTGTGAAATATCGAAAAGGTTTTTAGTACCGGTATTTTTTGTAGATCAATGAGAACTGTGATACCCTATATGATATGATAAGTTAGCCTGTGATAAGAACTTCAACATAGACTACTGAAAACACATTGTAAGGTAATTTAGCCTATTGTAAGTTGGTGAGCTTCATTTGCTGAAGGAACTGCACAACTTTTCATTACTAATTGGTACAAATTTTACGTTTCCATTGTTTACTGGCAGTAAATGGTAAATATTTTTCATGTCTGAAGCTAAAAGTTGCATCCCCCCCCACACTAGTGGTGATGTTACATTTGACCAAAAAGACGCTGGTGTTTTATCCCAGCAGTGGGTGGACCAGCATTTTAGCTTACGGTCCGCCTAGGTAATATTCCTACAAATCTTAAAAAAAAAAAAAAAAAAAAAAAAAGTTCGTTCAGATTTTGTCGAATTATCCGAAATCCAGATTAAAGGGGTCGAATTAACGAGGTCGACTGTATATATATATATATATATATATATATATATATATATATATATATATATATATATATATATATATATATATATATATATATATATATATATATATATATATATATATATATATATATATATATATATATATATATATATATATATATATATATATATATATATATATATATATATATATATATATATATATATAATGCTAGGCTAGATTTTTTTTCTATATCTTTAGAGAACAACCTTCTTATCTCTCACCTCCACACACATCTAAACTTACCTTTTTTTCAGTATTCCTACAGGGAGTATCCATTTTATACCTTTTCCATTGTTTATGTCCTTTCACTCATTATCCTATCCCTTTCCCTTGCCCTTCATCAATCCTTCCAGGACACATTCCCTCACTCCTACATGGTAACTGCTTCGTCTGCCTATACCCCCACAATATCCCCTCTCCATATCATAACTCTTCTTTTTTCATTATTTCCTTTTATTCGCTTTCCTTTGTTTCTCTCCTTTTTTCACTCACTATCATTTCTCTTGCCCTTTACTAAGGTTCTTGTGCATGACACTGGTTGGCTTATCTTTCCTTCATAGTGAATGGCTAACTGTGTATTGTGTGACAAAACTTGTTGAAATCTTCCACTTAGTTTTACTCTATTTACCTTTATTCCCATTTGAAGTACAGTAATACCATTTTTAAAATCCTTACACTAAAATATAATTTAACTTCTCACTGAGTCATGTGTACAAACCTTAGTCATAAGTGTTGTGATGAAGATGAGCATTGCAAAGAATGTAAGGCATTTGGTATTCATTGCTAGAAGCTGTTCCTGAAAGGGGAATTCCGGGGACTCCCGGATCAACTGACGAATGTTGGGTAGGTAAGACAAATAGCCAATCATGGTCATGCTGTGGGAAAACAAATATCAGATTTTTTTGTATGTTCAAAATATATAAACAAGAAAAAGCTATGTATCTCATCTACTTTATATTCTGGTTTCCTGATCACTTCTTACCAAACTAAAAGGAAAAAATATGGAATTAAGTATACCAAGGGGAAACAACCAAAGTGTGCTAAGGTTAAAGTGGGTCCCATAGGCATGACTGCCCATTAGGGACAGTGTGGATACAACACACTGTATACTAAGCCTTCAGTACACAAGGAGGCAGCATGGCCGGTACTGCTCTCATCCACATTCACTTCCCCAAGTTGTAAACTTAGGTACCCATTTACAGCTGGGTGAACTGTGAGTTAAATCACTGGCCCTAGGAATAGGAGGCAAGCACTCTATCCACTCGACCACCTCACTCATGCTACGATAATATACTGTAGATATATCATGAGAACGAGAAAAATTGGTAAAGAGCATACAGTATATACATTATACACTGCAGGGTTATTGAAAAAGATTGCCCAGATTTTAAATGGTTAAATTTCATGAAATAATAGGAGTACAAGTGATTCATTCTTTTAAAAGCAAAAAAAAAAGAAGTTTACAAATTATTTTTAACAAACTTCAATTTGGTCGCTGTTTGTGACTCGGCAAAGCATCCATGCAATACTTATTCAATTTCTCTCCATACTCGGCTCAGCATGTCTGAAGTAACAGTTGCAATGGCTGAGGTGATTCTTTCCTGTAAGTGATCTAAATCACAAATTTCTAAAGAATATACAATGTTCTTAATGTAACTCCTCCTCCCTAAAAGTCATAGGGTCAAATCAGATCTTCCAGGGGGCCATATCATCAACATTTTATGGACATTGTCCACACTTGCCTGGCAACTTCTCTGCCAGGCATATGGGAGTGACAACAAGCGTTATGATGCGTATCTAGCCGACAATAAATAACTTCAACAAAAAATTTATCACATATTCATGTGCATTTTTACATATGAAGACCTCAAGGTGAAAAATTCTTTCATATATATTTATGCATATGAAGAACCTGAGAGTTTTAAGATTACCTACAGCCAATCAATGGATCAAGCAGCAACTGAGGACCATTACCTTGAGATACAGAAGTCAAAGACTTGCAAGAAGAAGAATGGCATCAAATGTGAAGGCTGAGAATGGAATGCTCCATATACCAGTAAGAGGGTCACCACGAATGTACAGAGAGTGATGAACAGCGCAATGTTTACATCATCTGTAAAGGGGCAAAATGTATTAACAACAGATAATGTGCCAGACAGTGATAAATGATGATAAATGTCATATCTAATACCTAAATGTATTTTTTCAAAGGTATAAAAGTCGTTATAATTAGATCTTCAATTTAAATAATGAAAAAATTCTTTCTGGTACCATCAGCCCTAGTAACTTCACCTTTATTGATACCAGCCAACTAGTTGATAATCCGAGCCCCATATCTTATTATTGTGCCATATTTTATGTATAACAAACACACATACAGACTATTTTACTTTTATAATACTTATATTGCTCAGTAGTTCTGTGCTTTACAACTCCCACTATGAGCAGGGCTCCTTTGATCTCTACAGTAGTCCCTCGGTTAACGAACGGTTCGGTTAACGAATTTTCAGTTAACGAATTACCTTCCATAAGAATCTTCAATTCGATTAACGAACAAAAATTCAATTAACGAAATCCTTACGAACATCATGTTTGGTTGTGAGCATCAGCTGATCAGCTGATGGGCTGGTCTGCCAATTCAGTAATCTGTTCTATGTTTACATTTGTTTCCAGTGGAGTAAATATCAATAAAGTTGTGCTCTTTAATATTTTTTAATTTTTTATATTAAAATTATTAGTCATTTTAACATATTGATAATATATGCAGTACAGGGAACTAGTTTTTGTGCGCCCATCAGCAGCTTGACTCAGCCACAAGGCGTCAGTTGGGCTCTGTTGACAGTGGAGTGAGCATCTATTTTGTTGGTGTCTTGAATATTTTAGCATTTTTCATTGAAATTATTGGTCATTCTGAAATTTAGTTAACATATTGATAATATATAGAGCAGTGCAGTGTTGATTTAAAGAAAATAATCTTGAATTACACCTAGTGAACTTAAAATTTTATTGGTGAAATTACTGCATCAAGCATGGGTCCCCTGAAAGGTGAATTCTCCTCCATCCACAATTTCTTCTCTTCTCCCTTCTCCTCCACCCCCACTTCTAATTCCCATCATCATCATCAACCAGGTACCTTCTACATACACACCTCAAAATAAGTGTACTTTACTGCATTTTTTTTACTTTGTATGTACTTTTCTGTGAGCTGGAACCAATTACCCAACATCCCATTGAAACAATGGATTCGGTTAACGAACGACCTTCTGGAACGAATTGAGTTCGTTAACCAAGGGACCACCAATAATGGTGCCTCAGTGATAGAGATACAGGTTATACTGTATTGTATTCCTGAGAGCACACTTGTATTGTTCTCTTGGATGTGAACTCACAGCTAAAGTTTAGTCCATGTTCATAATGTACATTATGGTGTTGCCACAATAAAACAAAAATTCATGTTTCAACAAGCTCCCTGCCACTTACAGTGTCTTCAAGTGAACAAGTGAGTTTAATTACAAGTACAGTAGCCATAATTACTAAGTGCACCAAAATGTCCAAAACCGTCTTTTTGTTCAATACTGTATTGTGCAAATTAGCTGGAATCAAGAGCAAACAATCTCTATATGCTATCATTCATTCACCCTTACCTCTGTAACATCCCCATAAACCACTTCATGCCATGTTCTCTAGTTATACACTTATAGTGCTGCTTCCTGAATGTTCAAACCCTCTCACTATTAGTGCACTTCATCCAATCCATCCACTATCTCAGTGCCTCTCCCTATCATCTACCTCTGAATTCTTCTTTCTCTTTACCAGTCCTTCACTTTCCTTTCTTGCAAAAGCTATGTACATACTACCTGAGCAATCCCTTGTCAATTCTGTCTATTAATTCTTTAATTTCCATATCTCTTACATATCCTTGATGTAGTCCTACTATCACAGAGAACCAGGTTCCCTCTTCCAGATATATTTTCTCCACAAAATATTACCCTAAAAGTTCATTAGCTGAACCCCATAGCTTTTCAATAAAATATGAAACAAACCTTTCAAAATCTGAATCCCACAACTTCTCCACAAAATACTTAAAATTTCTGTTGAATTTGACATACCAGTAGTGAGGCGATGTGTTGTTAGTAAGTTACCCAAGAAGAGAGAGAAGTCACTGGCAGCCTGATTTGAGCTACCATCACCCCGAGCTGCCAAGCTACATGGCATCTCTGCACAGTTTTCAGCTTGTACATCTTGTGGGTTAACAGACAACTCATCTCCAGAACCAAGACCCCCAAGAGTACCTCCTGTCTGGCTCAACATTTCTGGATGAACTACTACCACTGCAATCAGTGATAGAGCCATCAGGTGTAACAGCTAAAAGAAGGAAAAAAAAAGGTGAATTGATAATTTTACATTTTATCATCAAAGTAATTGTCTTGTCAGGAACATCGACATTTTCCAGTCAGACAATCTATTATTTTTATATGCAATGCTTAAAATTTTCCTGCTTTTCCCAAATTTCATAAAAATATTTTGTATAGAAATTTTATTCTAAAATGTAGTGAATAAAAACAATATATATATAAATATATGCTGATAACCACAAGGAAAGAAGAAAACACGAAGTGTTTTCTTCTTTCCTTGTGGTTATCAGCATATACCTAGATCACGCGCACCTACAGTGATTTACTTGTATATATATATATATATATATATATATATATATATATATATATATATATATATATATATATATATATATATATATATATATATATATATATATATATATATATATATATTATTCTTACAAAATGACTAATACAAAAGCATCCTTGCTAATTATAACAAAATCTGAGTCAAACAGTAACATTCAAATAGTAACTAGAACCAAAATATAGAAATATGATAAATTGGTGATGGTTCCTTAACCCTTAGGCCCCGGGTGACGTTCCAGAATGTCCGACTAGCGCGCCCTGGGTGACGTTCCAGAACGTCCGCCTATTTTCCCGCTATTTTTTTTATTCATTTTTTTTTTAAAGTTTATTTTTTTCCACGATCTAACCCTGTGAGGGGGGGGGGTACTGCCAGCAGCACCCTAACCCGGGGCTTAAGGGTTAAAAAGTTCTTTCAGTTAGTTAGGATTGGTGTTCACATCACTGACCAATATATATCAAATTACCTAGGTCACACAACTCAGTACCTACCATGTGCCAAAATCCAATTACAATCGTGCCAGTTCGCACATGACAGCAAAGAAAACATGTCCATTGGTTATGCCGTTTTCTCATTGCCTCCAGTCTCCCCTGGGCTTCCTGTAGTCGCCCCCGGCCCAACATTGTGCTGCCTTCCGCTGCAGCTACTGCTGGTGCCTCTCCACCTCCCTGTACACAATATGTATAATAAATACAAAATGTATATGAAAATGTACATATCTGTGTAAAATATGTACAGTACTATAAATATAAAATTCATAAAAAAATTGCAAATTACAAATGACTGGCTAGTGAGGAAGATTTTATGAGTCTAGATGAAAGTAAGAGGAAGCAGTAATGCACAGGAAGTCAAAATGAGCTAAAGAGGAGCATGCCCAAGGTAAAGATCAAGATCAGTTTACAACTAGCAAGATACACAATAACTTAACAATGACAATGGCTTTCAATTTTCTTTAAGAGCAGACAAGCTAACAGGAGCAAATAGAAATAATTTGGAATGAAAGAATGAGAGAACATAAGGCAACGAAACCACCTGGTAATGATGATAATTTTGTTCAACTCAAAATATTTAAGGATATACAAATAAGGTTTTCTAGGTACCGGTACACCTCTTCGAACTCATTACTGAAGCTTTGTATAGCTGTTCCAACTCATTAATGAAGTTTTGTATAGCTGTTCCAACTCATTAATGAAGCATTGTACAGTATAGCTGTTCTACCTCATTAATGAAGCTTTGTATAACTGTTCCAAGTCATTAAAGAAGGCTGGTTTACCTGTTTTATCCCATTAATGAGGGAGGTTCACTACACTCATTCTAACCCAAACACTGTACAGTGACTGAGAATGGAATACAGTACATATAGTTAATTGATAAGTACTGGCTGAAGTGCAAAATCTCTTTTATACATGTTTTATAAAATTTTCTTCTACCCACCTCTCTTTCTAGATAATTCAGCAAGCTGTAGATCACCACAGACTTCAGTCAAAGGTACTGACCTCTGGTAACACCAGTCACAGTTTTAAGCTGTTCAAGACATATGCACAAACCCAGTTAGTTCAAGATACTTGCACAAATCCAGCTAGTTTAAGACACATGCACAAACCCAGTTAGTTCATGATGCATTCACAAACACAGGTAAGGTAGTTCAAGACACAAACAAACTCATTTAAGACAGGAACAAACCCAGTTAGTTTAAGACAGGCACAAATTCACTTAGTTTAAGACACATGCATAAATCCAGTTCGTCTTAGACATGCACAAACCCAGTTAACCCTTTAAGGGGTAGTGTTGCACTAAGATATTTTATTCTGGCTAATGCCAATGATTTTATTCAGTTGAGAGAAACACCTGCCAGTCAATGGATTAACGCAAATAAAATTTTCTCATGGCATTGTGTAGGCATTGGAAACCCTTAGCTGAGTAGGATGTTTTATCTCCTGAAGTGTTGATCTTCAATATAACTGGATAAACATTTGGCAAATAAAGAAGTCATATAAGTTTATAGTGTTCTGAATATTGGCATGCTTTTATTTTTAATTCATGCTAAATAAATGGACAGAGGCATAGAGTCTTCCTCATGAACACATACAAATAACAAATATAAGAGCAACTCACCCCTCCTTCTTGGGCCTCACACCCAATGCTCACGCCTTCCCGAGAGGACTCCGTTCTGCCTGTTTGTGTACCACTTATCCCAGAAACAACCACAGTGTCACTCCCAAGAGCCACTTCACTCTGGAAAATCACGTACCGGTATCACACATTCCGTTATAAAAGCTTATTATAGCAAATGACTACCCAAAGCAATAAAAACAACGGTAAGCGCTCTATTATACAAAGAGAACTTGGATAGTTTCCTGATGTCTTTATACTACACATCACAAATATATCACTTCTATCACTAACACCATGAATCAAAGTTTTGCAAAAAAAAATTTAAATACCAAATTTAATAAACTAAATAATGTCATGTCAATATACCTGTACAGTAGAAGTGTATATATAAACATAATTCCATATTTTTTGGTCATTAGTTCTACATGGATAAGTATGTTTACAATAGCCACTTCATTCTAATATTAAGAAAAAATCATGCCACAAATACATGAAAAACTGGGAAATTAGTGAAATACATACACAAATGAGAATTACAGTATACAATTTTGTTATTACAGTACAGTACTGTACTAGACATACTGCACACAGTTTGTAAGAAAGATTAATATGTAAAGCATTAGGATATGATTAGTCAAATAAAGAGGCAGTTTATATATAAATAATTGTACTGTATGCAGAGTACAGTACATTACTGTACTGTATTATCTTTCACACACTAAGGTGTTCTCTATCCAAATCTTATTAATCCTAGCTTTTTATTTATTCACATACAATAAAGCTAAATTTTATTACATTTTCTGTACAACTACCCACTTACATAATAAAATACTAAACCCATTCATAACATTCACATAATTTTACTGCAATACCTGTACACAATATGTATGCTGTACCTCTATTTTTTCGGTTCTCATATAACTTTTAAAGCTGTAAACCCTCTCAATACCAGACTTCTCATTACTGGAATCCTCCCAATAACAGAAACGGCTTGCAAGAATTAGTCTGGTATTGGGAAGGTCTAATGTATGCATCAATTTTATTGTTTATTATAGCATGAAATTAAAGCCAACACCTTTAACCAACCTATAAGCCCAGCACGCCTGTAAGCAAAGTGGTTACAGCGCATCTGGTAGCAGACATGTGAACAAACGACTTTGGTCTGTTGCGTTCAGATTGTTGGACTACATTAGAATTTTTACCAAACAAGACCAAAGGGGGCAAAGTTCTTGTACTAGTACATTGAAGGTTTGAATACTGTAGTTAGAATTTGGATAAAATTAATTGCACTATAATGCTGAACAATCATTTTAAACCAATTAATTGTCACATACCTGTAAAGGACTAAAGATAAAAATAATTATAGATCCAGAACACTTGGTTCTCACAAAATAAATGATCATTACTTTCTTCTTTGCTTACAGACATTACATAAAATACCACGCTAGAGATTGTATTTTTTTTAACTTGCTATTTCATCAGTGTGGCTAAGTGGTGGTGGTGCAAGGTCAAAATAATAAATAAGCATGATGCTGTACATGAGCTTGAAAGAGCATCTCCAGCTCAAGTTTGGAGACACTACCACCTGACTTATCCCAGGGAATCATCCAATCCAGGTCTGACTATAGTCTGTTTACTCATAGCTTGCAACTGAGGCCTAGGGTCAGTTTGTAGCATGGCAGCTGATTGGCTGACAGGCAGACAGGAAAAGTCACCACAATACAGTTCTTTATTATTTCATATATTATATTTATATTATATTTGAAGGGATACTGTAAAACTATTCTATGCTGATCTCTGATAATTCCTGCCCTTGAGGAAGCAAAAATTAGCATGTGAAACTCTCTGGTATCATTTTTTCTTGACAATAACAATAAAAAGATTGCATATTTTCAGTGACATCTTCCACCGTGCTGCGTGACATCATGCAGAGAGGCTGGGTTTACGTCTCATAATTAATTTGTTCATCATGTTGATCTTCTCCAAGATATTTATGTTACCAGAGCATTTCATGTAGTGAGGCATTAGTTGCACCCGGGTTCATGGTGACCAGCCTTGGTATTACCATATGAACTGTATTGGGGTTGTTGTTTTTTTCCAGCATATAAGAGGGTTCAATTGCCAAGAAAATGTCATACATGACCGGAGATAAATACTGTACTATCTGAAAATATAGAATTTAAAAAAAAAAATAAAGAAAAATACATTGCATATTATTGCAGGCCAGGGAGCAGGTAGGGCTGGGATTTCTCACAATGCTACAGCCTGTACTGTACTTGATAATACATGCATACTGTATATCCATTTTGATGCATATTAACCCACTGACGTCAATTGCTGCAGGGTCTGCATTTTTAACCAACTATTTATTTCCCGAGGTTCTGAGAGCTTCCACTTCTCTGAAGAATCCACGTGAAGACAATGTGTGTTTCTTTTAAATATTCTTTATTTCTTTACATACTGTACTTTATTGTTATTCAAATTGTGTACAGTACATTATATTTTTTATCACCATGAGTCTGTACCAATAACAATCAACCGAAGTCAAAGGGTTAAACGTTTCTTTAAGTTCGGACTCGGAGATCAACATTTCTTTCTAATCAATGATGGTTTTTTGGGTTCATGTGGTCCACAACACAGTTTAGAATATGTTTTCTTGCTCCTATATTATTTGCTGTCTATGTACAGGTACTGTAAAGTATCTGTCCACACTCTTATGAAACATTATGAGACCACGGATGATAGATATTGGGATATGCTTGTTCCTGCCCTGTACTGTTTAACCTAAGTAATGCATTGCGTATTTATTTCGGCATAATGAAAATGATGTTCAGTTACCAAATGTTGTAGGATCAGTATGCCATAGAGCCAAGTACAGTATACCAACCCTCCCGGGATATCATGAATTGCATGGAGCATTTCAGAAGTCATTGGACCCATCCTGGCAGATACTTGTTTGAGATACTGGACATGAAAATGATAAATGCTGTACATAGTGAAAATAAACTCACCAATAAATGTCCTACAAAATAAATAAAACATGGGACCTAAATTGATCATTTACCTAAATTTTGCATTCCAAGCAAGATTATCCATGCAGACTTATCAAAACATGTGTTAGTCATCACTGTCATGAGGACAAAATACAGAGTAAAACAGCTGCATTCTACATGCAAGCAACCATCTTTACATATGTTGGAGGAGGTGTAGGCTGTTCCGTGTAATCTGGGGGTCTTATGTCCCGCACTTCAACTCCTTCTTGATTCATTAAAATACGTCTTATTCTAGCTCGTCGTAATGCTCGTCTATATGAAGCAGCAAACATGGCTTCCCCTGAGGCCAAAGTTTCAAGTAATCATAGATAATAAAAAAAATTACCGCCAATACAATACAGGGTATACAAAATTTTATGGGTATAAATGCACCAATTTACTATGCTTGGTTTCCATAAATGCATTCACTCCCTAAAACACATAATAAAATATTATAATACCCACAGAATTAAAATAAAATGTTATTACTTATGTGTAGCAAAGCTGGCCTGGTACTGTACCTCTAGACTTTGGGTAAGAAATCCTGTTAATACTGTACTTAACGAGAGTGATCTAGCCTTAACATCAACTTGAGGAAATTTCACCATGGCAGACAAAAAGCTTTACTTTGAGATAATGCAATAAGTATATAAGAATGTATTTTGTGTAATATCACATTTTATGTCCAAATCAGCTGAAGATGGCCAATGAGCCATGAGCATCATATTTAGACTGTAGGAAAGATTCTTTTTGTAGAAAAGAATTTAATTCCATTTTAGAAGGATAATACAGAAAACCGTAGTACAGTATTTTAGTTTAGGTTAGGTTAGGTAAACCAAAGAACTCTATATTGAATTGTATACAGGAGAGATTAAAAATATAAAGTTAATATTCAGTAGTTGTCAACCATGGAACTCTATTTTACGTATTGATTCTTGTACTCTATAGGTAAATGGAGAAAAAAAATTGTATTTTATAGCATTTCTGTCGGAAATTTAGTTTCTGAGTTATTTTGACTTCTCTATTTCACTTTAAGAGAGTACAAGTTTGTGGGGATACACATTTTTTATTTCTTACTCAACCAACATTATTTGTTTCAGTGTAGCAGAGGACCTCATTATCAAGATTAGTTCCTTCTGCTGTTTGGGGGTCTAGGGGCATTGGTTGAAACGCTAAAACTGGCTTCATCCTTCACAGCAGCAAGGAGATTTTGCTTATGGCCTTCTACAATATAACAAACTTGAAATCAGATATATTACAATATATATTAAGTAAAGAATATAGAGGTACAGTGACGATCTAACTTTTGATTTCAGTGTTTTCTTATTTTAGGAGGCCAGTACAGTATTATATTATGAATGGGTAATGAAGACCATCAATCAATTGGGTCACTCGCCCAGGCCATCATCACCTATCTAATGCCTTTACAAACATTAATTCACTCCTTGTATGACTAACTTGGCATGAACCCCCGTCACATGCAGCCATTATAACTTGTCCATTTATCAAAGCTATCTGAGTGTGAATCATCCAAACATGAAATAACTCCCGTGACGTACATCATTTGATTATGGTCGTCCCTCAACACTTAGCTGTAAACAAAAAACTTAACCATATAAACAATGTCTCAGGCCTCATACCATACAGTATTACGTTATAGGTGCACTACAACGTTAGAGGTTATCAGAAACAAAACACAATAATACCTTGACTAGCGATGAGGTTTTCACAACAAATATGGAGTCGCCGAGTGACGCATGCGCACAACACTCATGACGTCAACGACACAAACACACAGTTGTCAGTGTGTTCTTCCTCACACGAATTAATTACACTATAGTACTACAGTATATTGGTAGATTTTCGTTTTGCAAGATGAAATAATGCCAAATATACCTGAAGAATCCTGAGACCCAAGCCTTACACGATGCTACACTATTAGGAGACATGCGGTAACGACAGGTTAGATTTATATATATATATATATATATATATATATATATATATATATATATATATATATATATATATATATATATATATATTTATATATATATATATATATATATATATATTTATTTATTTATTTATTTATTTATTTATCTCTTAATTATGCAGTCACCAAAGCTTGTGTTTGTACTTATATTTCCGAAGAAGTACCTGAATCTGAATTTGAATATTTGTAAAAAGAAATAGTATAGTAACCACTGTAATGGTTTTATTCCGTTTCTCAAGCGAATCAAAGCGGGCTCTGGAAATGTGTAAGTTGAGCGATGTGTATCACTGATACGGTATCAGGACACTCAAGTTACTACTGTGGGGTACGGGTTGTTTAGGTTCACACTTTGGATGGGATGGAGTAAGGAAACTCACATGTGCTCTCTGTATACATATTGTATTGGATGTACAGTGCAGCTTGATGCTGGGAAGTGGCAGCGTGGTTACAAGCGTTAAGTAGAGAGAGCTGGTTGGTGAGGGTGCTCAGAGGAGGACCAGCTTGTGGGTCGCCATGCTCACCAGCGTGAGCGAGGACCGCCAGGCAGGTGGCGGAGGAGGAGGTGTTGCTTGCTGGTTGGTGTAGGTAGAAAGAGAGTGGTCACCACGAGGTCAGGTCTATTATAGCGGAGGTAGGCGTGGCTTAATAGTTGACCTCCGTCATGTAAGGCGGCGCTGGTTGACCTAGACCACGAGGCATACACTGGGGAATGGGGAATTCGTGGGGTCGGCTACTCAGCTGACAAGAGCGTTTGTAGGGGAGGTATCCACTACAGTACTCCCCCCTTCCCTCCAGGCGGTGTAGGAGACTTGTTGTCTGCAGGGTTGCATGGCACATGTGAGGCAGAACGGGCGGTGCATGCCTCATGTGAGACATAACGGTGAGGGTGTGGATGAGCCGGCCGCTAGAGGAGACAACTGCCTAGATACACAACATCTGTGGTGAGTAGAGAGGGAGAAAAAGGGTGTGTGGAGGCGATGAATGTTGTGCTTCCCTCACGGCAGGTACAGAGTCCTCAGATGCGCCTGCTGGGGTGTGTGGGCCTGGGTCAGGAGCAGGGACTGCGTCAGCAGGAGCGGATGAGGGCTCGTGACAGCAGCTGGGTCCACGACAGCAGCAGGGCGCAGGACAGTAGCAGGGGGTACCTGAGGGAGAAAAGAGGGGTGTGTGGGTCCGCACTCAGGCGCATGGGCCGCGTCGGGAGCAGGAGCTGCATCAGGAGGAGCGGCAGGGGGTACTGCTGGGCCGGGGGCGGCGTCTGAGGCAGGACGGGTGTGTTGGGGTCGGTAGGACGTGGTGCTTGGGGCAGGAAGAGGAGCGGCTGTCTGCTTAGAGTAGCAGAGCTGCTCTAGGGTGTCTAACCTGCGGTGTAGAGACAGTAGCTGTAGAGCCGATGAGAGCTGCCTCTGTGTGGATAAGCCAGTCTTCCATGTTGTGTGAAGACTGGGAGAGTGATCGGTTTCTCCTCCATCCTGTGTGAGTGCGAATCTCCGGGGGTCACCATTTGTGGGGTACGGGTTGTTGGATTCACACTCAAGATGGGATGGAGAAGGGAAACTCACAATGTGCTCTCTGTATGCATATTGTATTGGATGTACAGTGCAGCTTGGTGCTAGGAAGTGGCAGCATGGTTACAAGCGTTGAGTAGAGAGAGCTGGTTGGTGAGGGTGCTCAGAGGAGGACCAGCTTGTGGGTCGCCATGGTCGCTGGCGGGAGCGAGGACCTCCAGGCAGGAGGAGGAGGTGTTGCTTGAGGACTGGCTGTAGGTAGAAAGAGAGGTAGGTCACCACGAGGTCAGGTCTTATATAGCAGAGGTAGGCGTGGCTTAATAGTTGACCTCCGTCATGTAAGGCGGCGCTGGTTGACCTTGACCACGAGGCATACACTGGGGAATTCGCGGGGTCGGCTACTCAGCGACAAACAGCGTTTGTAGGGGAGGTATCCACTACACTACTACCAATAATTTTTTCACTGTAAATTTATAAAAGCCATTTCTAAAGACCTAATAATCACCAATACTTTCTTTGTCATGAATTGAAATGGTAGATAGTATCAAGTATCTAGGCGTCATAATGTGGGGTTATGAGATATTGGTTCACACTCAGGATGGGTTGGAGAAAGGAAACTCACAATGTTCTCTCTGTATACATATTGTATTGGATGTACAATGCAGCTTGGTGCTGGGGGGTGGCAGCGTGAGTCCAAGCGTGGTGTAGGAGAGAGCTGGTTGGTGAGGGTGCTCAGAGGAGGACAGGCAGCTTGAAGGGCGGCATAGTCGCTGGCGGGAGCGAGGGCCACCAGGCAGGAGCGGAGGAGGAGGAGGTGTTGCTTGCTGGTGGCTGTAGGTAGAAAGAGGTAGGTCACGGCGGGGTGAGGTCTTATATAGCGGGGGAAGGCGTGGCTTGATAGTTGACCTCCGCCTTGTTAGGCGGCGCTGGTTACCGACCTTGACCACGAGGCGCAGGCTGGGGAATTCGAAGAGGGTCGGCTACTCAGCGACAAACGCCGTTTCTATGGGAGGAATCCACTACAATACTCCCCCTTCCCTCCAGGCAGTGTAGGAGACTTGTTCTCTGCAGGGTTTCATCCCACATGTGAGGCATAACGGGCGGTGCAGGAGACTTGTTGTCGGCTGGGTTGTATGCCACATGTGAGACATAACAGCGAGGGCGTGGATGAGCCGGCCGCTATGGGAGACACTTTGTCTAGATACACGAGATCTGTGGGAGAAGAGAGGGAGAAGGAGGGTTGTGGAGGCAAGGAATGTTGTGCTTCTCTCGCCGCAGGTACAGAGTCCTCAGTAGCGCCTGTTGGGGTGTGTGGGTCCGCGTCAGGAGCAGGGGCTGCGTCAGGAAGAGGGTCCATGACAGCAGCTGGGTGCATGACAGCAGCAGGGTGCAAGACAGCAGCAGGGTCCACGACAGCAGCAGGGTGCAGGACAGTAGCAGGGGGTACCTGAGGGAGAAAAGAGGGGAGTGTGGGTCTGCGTCAGGAGCAGGGGCCACATCAGGAGGAGGGTCCAGGACAGTAGCAGGGGGTACTGCTGGACCAGGGGCGGCGTCTGAGGCAGGACGGGTGTGTTGGGGTCGGTAGGACGTGGTGCTTGGGGCAGGAAGAGGAGCGACTGTCTGCTTAGTGTAGCAGAGCTGCTCGCTCTAGGGTGTCTAACCTATGGTGTAGAGACAGTAGTTGTAGAGCCGATGAGAGCTGCCTCTGTGTGGATAAGCCAATCTTCCATGTTGTGATTGAAGACTGGGAGAGTGATCAGTTTCTCCTCCATCCAGTGTGAGTGCGAATCTCTGGGGGTCACCATTTGTGGGGTTATGAGATATTTCTCCTCCATACTGTGTGAGTGCGAATCTCCGGGGGTACCATTTGTGGGGTTTTGAGTTTCTCCTCCATCCTGTGTGAGTGCGAATCTCCGGGGGTCACCATTTGTGGGGTTTCGTGATGTTGTCTCACACTCAGGATGGGTTGGAGAAAGGAAACTCACAATGTGCGCTCTCTATACATATTGTATTGGATGTACAATGCAGCTTGGTGCTGGGGGGTGGCAGCGTGAGTCCAAGCGTGGTGTAGGAGAGAGCTGGTTGGTGAGGGTGCTCAGAGGAGGACAGGCAGCTTGAAAGGCAGCATAGTCGCTGGCGGGAGCGAGGGCCACCAGGCAGGAGCGGAGGAGGAGGAGGTGCTTGCTGGTGGCTGTAGGTAGAAAGAGAGAGGTCAAGGCGGGGTGAGGTCTTATATAGCGGGGGTAGGCGTGGCTTGATAGTTGACCTCCGCCTTGTTAGGCGGCGCTGGTTGCCGAGCTTGACCACGAGGCATACACTGGGGAATTCAAAGAGGGTCGGCTACTCAGCAACAAACGGCGTTTGTAGGGGAGGAATCCACTACAATAATAAACAAGAAAGATTGATTCAAAGAACATAAACACGATAAAGAAAGCCCACTCACACAGTATAACAACAGAAAGTTGCAACAACAGAGACCTATTGAAAAAGTGTTGCACTTCATCAATTAAGCATTGTGCCAGTATAATAAATTTATACTAAAGAAGAGACAAAAAGCACAACATACTAAGAGTGGAAAACTCGGTACAGTATAGAACAATACTAAGGGTTAACAAATACTACTGTATATACCAAGGAAATTATATAGGAGGAAGCGCATCTTAAAGCAACTTAATGAAGATCCTCATAATGCATGTGCCTGGCCACTAGATAGCACTAATTAAATGGCGGGAAAAGTGTCGGCTGTTTGTTTTGACCCTTGGACCTTGGCAAGTTGGTCACTGGGCAGTGGGCATGGTGAGTCTTGGTGACTGACATGACAGTAACACAAACCGGTGTTGTGTGCAGCACAGATAAAAACAACAATAAAGACCTAAGGTTTCATTACTTCTCAAAGGACAAGAAGAGGTAAGTAGCGTGACACAAGTTTAAAGCATATTTTGAAAAGTAAGCAGAGAAGATGTGAGTAAAACTCATGAACCGGGATGTGCCCATTTCGTCACCACATTTTTTACCCATTTCGTCAACACTTATTTACCCGTTTCGTCACCACTTATTTACCAGTTTCGTTACCGCGTTCATTCCCATCACCATTTCAAGGGCTTTGGACCTTCATTACGTCTTCACTGAAGCAGTGAAGGCGTATGGCTGGTTTACTATCTTTGTGTACAGTCGGGGTCAAAAGTTTGCTCCCTCCCAAATTGAAGCAGTATCGACCTCAGGTGAGATAAAACAGCACACCTGCACCAGATAATAGTCAGGGTAAGTAAAGTTCGGAGACTCATTCCCATGATTCAGTTTCACCACGGAGAGTGAACTTTTTTCCACGACTGTATTGTACATACTGTACTGTTACAACCCTCAATTTTACAGAAGCAGTAGATATCTCGCAAGTGTTGTCGAATTACCACTGGCTGTCCCGCCAGTCTCTGGTAATTTCCCAACGATTGGTATCAGTGTACAGACAAACAACAGGCAGGTAGAGTGCCACCAGGTCACAGATACACACTTGTGCACTGTAGTTCCTCTTTAATAAACACTAATTCTTCACAACACTGTTAACAGGACAATGTCTTCACAGCTTGACTCCACACTTTGAATATATAGTCAGCACACTACCAATGTATAATTCCTTAGTGTTCTTACTTTATATTAAGCACAACAATTGTTTTTGAGGCTTACAATAATAAGTAAATCATAACAAAATAATGATGCAATACATTCCAGAAAATTCTTACATAATTAATACATCAATATATACACGAAAATTTCACTAAATTTGCCAAAATAACTGTTGCTTGGAAAGAAAATACTGTAATCAAAACACCTAGTTTACAAATTTGTAATACAAAATTATGCTTTGACATAACAATACATTGGATCATGCAAGTATCTCACTAAGACAATTTATTAAAGACGAAAATAAAAAATAAAAACGTTATTACTCATGCAAGCATCTCACTAAAACAATTTATTAGATACGTACTAAAACAAAACAAAACTAAAAACATTGTTAATACGGTACTCCTGAATTTATTCTGTATTTTATTTATATTTGCCATTGTTTTAATTGTTGCCTTTATTAAATAATTATTATTCATGTACTGTACAGTATAATAATAGCACAATAATTCTCAAGTTGTCTGTATATACTGTACTGTATGTGTAATTTATATTCGTGGAAAATAATAACTTAAAATTTTTCACTCTAATACCAGCGACTAGGTGGTACCGAAACGGATTTGATATTGGTGACGAAATGGGGTGTATCCGTAACGTTTGGTTAAGTTAATGGCACACATTTCTCTTATCACATTCATTATTCAGTATCATCATAAAAATAATCACACATAAATGAACAAAGTCAATAAGGTCCTTCAGGTGTTAGCTACATGCTACATCTTTACCCATACCTTCATCTGGAACTTAGGTTAAAGGCAAAAAACTAACGTTGTATCCTTTTTTAATATATCTTGTGAATATCCTAACACAAATTATTGACAAAGGTATTAATAATTATTCTCATGTCCAACTTAATTTTTAATTGGATAATTATTCATCATTCCAGATGTATAACTTGACTGAGAAACCCCAATACCTGTAATTGTATAGCCTTTCTGAAGACTGAAACGCTACATCAGCTATATAAATACATTTCATGTCTGTAGCAACCACTTCAACCGTAGGTTGCCTTGTTTCTATTGCACTTCCAATAACAGGTTAATTGATCTTTCTCTGAACTTTACTGCTATACCTGTACAATATTTATTTTATCTCCTTTTCTTCATCATGGGAAATGGTTATTGTAATATTTTCATACATGTTCTCTTTATTGGACCAGACTTTTACCTCTGGGTATAAGTATGGGACCTAAACACAGTGTAATCTTATTCAACCTTGTGTATAGTGGGCAATCACTGCTCAGGTATCAGTATAACATAAACAATACTAATTATTATTTGATACAGAAGCTGAACTATGAAGAATAATCTTTAACCAATGTTTAACAGATGGTCCATAAGATGCTTTAAATCCTATGGTAAGTGTTGATGGTGGTGATGGTGTAAGGTTGAGAGTTTCACTGTTAACCATTTTATAGGGAAATTTCTCTTTTTATAGTTTACTTAATTTATTTTCTGTCCCACTATTGTTTAACAACTATTTTTCCTTTCTGTCTTAACTTCTTAACTCTTCAACCTTTTTTCTCTCAATTTCTTAATTCATTAATTCCATATATTAGTTATGTCTCAGTTATTTTACTGCTCATAGTTAACCCCTAACCTCTGACCTGTGGTAGCATGGCTCAAGGGTTAGGACACGTGGTATACTGTAATTCTAGTACCAAGTTGTGGGAAGGAATGAAGGTAAATACTGCAGGAGAATGATAACCCTAACATACAAATAAAATGGTTTATTTAAATGAAATTAGACTTATGAACACTTCCAGTAACACACAACTACAAGGATCACCTACCTGGCTCTACTCATCTTATTAGGTACATTTTTCAACTTACACCATTACTTGGTGTGCCTTTAACAAAACACACAACACTCTTATCTTACATATAGCACATTCGCCAAGAAGTAAATGGCGACCTCATACTCTTGCTGTCTCCAAACACCCATACAACTGAGGAGACAAGAATACTCGGACAAATAACACACTCAAAGTAATCTCTACTTGGGGGGCTCATTCAAACAATGCTGGGCTGGCCATGTTTACTCCTCATGAGAGATCACCAGGACGGACAGTGAACACGTCTGGGTGGCTGGCTGGGGCCCAGGCAGATGGCTAGCTAACCACGCCCGTGTTCACGACTCTACCCGATTTTACTGGCCTTCATCCATCTCTCAAACTAGTGTGGAGGTCGTCCCAGTCTGCATGGCCCTTAGCCTACAGGAGTCTGTGAACAGGATGGAGTCAAGACTGGAGAGTGAGGTGACATGACTGTCAACGTTTTAAAAGCTGAAGGCACAAGAAAACTTTACTTAAAACACCTCAAAGTTACGTTACTAGATCATTTACATTCAAACAAAATATTTAAGTCAAAATCACTTAATGTGACGAGGTGGAACACGAAATACTGGACATTACCTGTGAACAGGATGGAGTCGAGGCTGGAGAGTGAGGTCGAGGCGGCTCTCGCCCTCCTCAGCCAGCGCCTCACCACACCCGAGCTACCAAGCCATAGCTTACACAGTTAGTATCAACAAACTTCGTTACTCTACACATTGACGTGTGAAAATTAGACTACAAACTTATTTTAATTTTCTAATTTTAACTTTTAAAACTAAGCAATGACTGAGCTTTCAAAAACAAGAATTAAACTGATGTCAAGTACAGCTGCTCCCTGACTTACGACAGGGTTAGGGACGCAAATCCAGGTCGTAAGTCGAAAATGCATAAATAATACATAGAAAATCTAAAATGGGTGTCTCTTTTTCTTCTCAGCACCACAAAACTCTCACTTTTAAGCTTGCCAGCCATTTTAAAATGAATTACAAACGAAAATTTTGTCAGTACACAGCGCAATCACTGACGTTGGGACTCAAAAATACGCAATTTGACAAAATTTTGGTACGACTGAGGCGGTCGTATGTCTGGGTGGTCGTAAGTCGAGTAGGTCGTAAGTCGGGGAGGAGCTGTACTGTAGTTTCTTAAACTAACCCTATGCAGTGCCATGGATGGCTGTCCAACACATGAAGATTGTTAGTAACAAGAAATCTATGATTAAGACCTTTGGCTGGTTGAAGGGAGAGGTGTTCCAGTGTACAGTACAGTATTGGTAGAACATTGCACCAAGGACAAATTCACCAAAGAAAAGCTTCAAGTGATTCAATTAAACAAATATAAGAACTAAAGTTTTATTCTATCTACACCAATTTTTTTTATTCTGCAGGCGTACAATATTTATTACTGTATATACTCAAGCACCGTTTTTTAAGTTTTTATGATAACATTTTCTAACAAAAGGTAGGGGGGTCAAAAAATATACTCATTATTTTTGAGGGGTTAAAATTCATGCATTTCTGTGGGTCATTTACAGTGAACGATCACTACCCAGTACATGCTTGCAGTAGGCTAACCTTACCAGTAAGCTCTTTTAACCTAGGCTTGCCTGCCATATGCCTAGATTCTTTCTTTATGTTGCTACATGAAAAGCAAAACCTCATTTACTTAATATGCCACTGTAAATCTACAAATGCTCGATACAAAATGAAGATTTACATATAATTTTCCTTCTGTTTGCACCTGTTTACATCACTGGTGGCATTGTTGCCAATTAGACTCATTACTGTAGCCACACCCCCCCTAGCTCTCTCTCTACCAGGCCGAGCTGTTATGGTTATTTTTCAACTCGTAATTTCGGGTAGATGTGCGTCAATTAAAATTTTTACGCTTTTTCTTGTTCTCTTAATGATATTTATGTTACAGTGCACAGTTAAAGATACTTTTTGGGGGCGAATCTAGCGAAATTTATAAATAGAAGTCGGCAACTGTGGGGGTATTCAGTTTCAGAGTTAGTAGCACTGTTAATAGTGTCAGCTGCTGTGGTGGCAGCCATGGCAAAAATGCTTTGGCATTTACCTGGTGTCTTGCTACAAAATATGTCTAGGATTATTTGTAGTATTTTCTGAATTATATGGTCGAATTATACAAGTCACAGTGAAAACCCCAGGCTTTTTTATCAAATCATCAGGGGCAGAACTATACATGAGATATGTTTATACATGAGTATATAAGAGAGCTATTAACTCAGTTCACAAGAAATTTATGGTCTCAATAACTATAAATTTCAACCCCTACTTTTTAACATAGAGCCCTATCTATATCACAATACTGTAAACTACTCCTTTAAATATTACATTTGGAAAAAAAAATACCTGTACTAAATATACAGTGCATTATCTATAATTCTCTCTTGTAGGCAATATTTATGAATATGAATTTTGTGATAACCAAAACCTAACACTTTTACAAAGAATATAAAAGACAGCAATGAAGAATACAAAATGGAAGTACAGTAATGCTAATAACAAAACATATTTTGTGAATTTAGCAAAAGAGATATATGTATAGTACAATACAATATGGCAGTCAAATGCAGGAAATTCAATATTACGTGGGAATATCTTCTTTATTTTGTTTAAGGAGGTTATTTAGGTACTCTACTTCTTGTTTCAATTGTTGTGTAGTTCCTTGAATAAGACATAAACGCTCTTCCACAGTGGAGACGAGAGGACCAGACACTAGTCTGCTCAGACCACACACACTCCTCACCATCACTAGAGGGAGAACACATATAAATGCTTATATATACTGTACTGTATACTATTATAATAAATACTTATAGTAAGTCACCAGTATAACATCATCCACATCGACTTCTTGTAAAAAACCCAACTGTCTTCATATATCAAACAAAATGGGGTGAGACACACCAATTTTATCTCAACTTGTCTGTGAACCATCATTCATGAATTTATACAAATTCCAAATGAACACTGTCCCTGCCTGAAACAATGTATAATGCCCTGGACAAGGCAGAATCTGAAGGGAGCTCCAATGGCCGCGAATAACATTTACGGACCGGGGAGGGTAAATTTTTACGTGTGTACAAAGGAATGTATATTCCCTTAATGTGTTTGCCCTTAAGACAATTATTTATTTTGCCTGTATTGTATATATGTGTGTGTGTGTAGACACACACACACAAAACACATAGAATAAATAATAATAGGAAAATACTCTCACAAATAACCAGAAACAAATTTTTTAAAAATGTGAGTCTACCCTCAAGTCGGTTGCAATGATTATTTCTGTAAAATTACATCTAGTTACAATGCAGAGGGAATATATACACCCCAGAAAAAAAAAAACGGATGACAATGTGAGGCATTTCTACAAGTGGACGGGCTGCATAATATTCACTCAAGAAACATGGTTCAGTACGGTACTTTACCTACTTACACTCATCATTGTCATCATTTTACAGTGTTTTTCCACACTAGCTTGGACTAGCTGTGATTACTTTGGTGAAAGCTGTATGGTTTCTTGCAGCCTCTGTTGTCAGGGTCTTACCTTAGAGGTCATTTCTTACAACCTATTCCCGTATCATTTTTGGCTTACCCTGTGCTCTCCTCCTCTTTACTTTACAACTCCTGCATCTCTCGACCTAATTGGGCTCCTCCATTCTCTCCCCATACTCAAAACAATCTCAGCCTACCTCTACACAACACTTCACCAATGCTTTCAATACCTAGCCACCTTTTTTAGCTCTGAACATTATATTCAATACACATCCATCATACCATTGTCACTTCAACTCACTAAAGCCTACATATGTCATCCTCTTTAACGGTTCATGTTTCATTGCCATACAACATCACCCTTCTCACATAGGTAGCATACAACTTTGCAACTTATATTTCTTCTCGCCATTTCTACCTCTTGCAATTGAACTAGCTTAGGCTCCACCTCCAGCACTGATCATGTCATACAAGTAACAAATCTTATTGACACCATCCAAGGGTATACCCCCAATATTGACCCTTTCCAACTTTGCTAAGGCCTTCAAGGTCAGATGTTTACCTGCATTTACAACACACTGAAATCAGCAACATCATGCAGTCTGCACTTACACCATTGCACATCTTGTTTACCCGCCTTCCACACTCACTGTACATTACTGAGTTACTGCTAACACCCTTCTTACAGAAAAAACATGGCCATTTTCCACTACAGATCCTTCAATTACACTATTGAACAGTACTTTGGTTTTCACCATGTTCACTTTCATGCCCTCTGACTCCATTCCATCCTTCCATATCGTAAATTTCTCCACTGCCTCTTCAATATTATCTGCTATGAACACTAAGTCATCAGCATACAACAACTCCCAGTCAAAAATTAGTGTATAAATGGATGCATTTCATATTCTTTGCTACTGTATTTCTAATTAAAAAATTTCCAGACTTTTAAATCATGAGGTTTTCAGATACAGTGCATGAAATTTGGATATGAGAGATTCTAATGAAATTTGTATGTTTCCTATTGTTATTTTTCAGTACAGTACTTCTCTAACATAAACCCTTTTTACGTATGAATTAATAGCTTTTGCAATTTTTTACAATGGGCTTCATAACATAGTTCATGAAAATTACAGGATTACTTTACTGTAATTTTACAGTGTATGATTACATAAATAACCAACACAGAGATATTTCCTGTGAAGTACTGATGTGGTTTGATCAGACAAGCAAACAAATGGAGAGGCATAGAAAAGACCAGAATAGCCTCTGGATAAGATACTAGGGCTGGAGACAAAGAATGTGAGATGATGAGTTATCATTCACAGATTGTCAATAGAAAAGTACTGTACAGAGTGCAGCTTGAATACAGGTAAGTTTTCAATCATACTGTAATGTATAGCCCAACAGAGGGCAAATTGTCAAGTTTCTCTCTTAGTCTAACATGAGTTTAAAAAAAGTAGAAGGCCTACCCGTAAGTCTATCATTTACTGGTAGTGACTGATATGACTGTTTCATGGTGACAAAAATAAATACAAATTAAGTGATATTATAAGGCTTACCTGCAGAATTGTGTAAGTGGGCCAGGGGATACTGGTGTGCCCGCTGCCGAGATAACTGCAGCACTTCAATTTGCTCATCGTAAAGTGTGGAACAAAGATTTTCTAAGGCCTGAAAGTAAATGTAAAGTTTTTTTTTTCCAGATTCAGTGCATGGTAAATAGCATCATTTTCAAATACTGTAATTACCATACATTTCTAAAAATTCCTACTGTCATAGTTGCAAGTATGATGCTGACTGTACCATTACTTAAGTAAGACATTTACCTCATATAACACAGCATGAAATAAATATTGGATATTCAAATTTAAAATAAAGCTACAATTATCTGGTCAGTAATTGTGATGCTTGTAATTGTGTACTTTATGGCATGGAAAAAAATAGACCCTCAAAACGGTGAGTTTATGAAGAATTTAATACAGTATGCTCTTTTTTTCTTGCCATTTTAAAGATAATATTTTTCTAAGTCCAAAAACACCTAACATGAGCAGGTGCCAGATATGTCTCCCATGTATTGTACGAAGACGTGCATAGTAATTGATGTCATGGATGGCGTATGATTGCCTGAAAACCACATATGCAATGCAGTAAATAATAAACATTTCATTTAAGAAATACTCTACTGTATGTATTTCAAATTACTACAAACCTGCTGGTTGTTGATAGCTAACAATGGACTTGGGCGGACTTCCAATGGAACAGGTAAACGAACATACTGAGGAGGTTCTCCTTCGGGGCTTTGGTTAGTTGCTTGGAAACAAGTTACTTGATGACTACCAACCTATAAAAACAAATATTATTACTTAGTTTTTATAGTTAGTATTCATGACTCAACTTTGTATGTATAAAGAAAATTCACATGTTGTACCATATGTCACTCTGGAGATTAGGCCTAAGGATTTACCTTGTATACAGTACAGTACGTATTGCATGTTCAAATTGAACGGTACAGTATTAGCAAGTAGGTATGGAGTATTTCTACTTGTTCTTCTAATCCACAATGCTCCACTCAGAGCTCTCCTTTGAGGGGATGACAAAAACAGAAAAGCCTTCAGGCCATTCAATCAATATGTATCTTCTTTTGCTCTCTCTATTTCCTTTGTCCCCCTTCCCTGTTCTCTCCTTAATGCATTGATTCACACTATTAGTCTTCTTCTACCCAAAGCACCTAGTCTCTATACAATACAGTACTATCTTTCCTCCTACATCTTCATCACATGGCCATACCATCACAGCACACCCATCTACATCCAACCCATCAGTCCACAATTTTCATCCTCTGTCCTATCAGCTATTCCAAGCACCTAAATAGACTGTATACTACTGTTTCTTATTCTGGTAACACCCAATGCAGCCCTCAAAGAATCACTTGTTCTAACTTCAATTAAAGAGCATTCTGTTCATTCCAAGCAGATATTTCCCTCTCATACATCAAGTGATGAAGTATTGTATAATACAGTACAGTACTGTGCACTTCATTATCTCTCAGTTCTCTCTTCACCACCAAACTTATATTCGTTCCCTTGACAACCCTTTCTAGCTATTCTCCTTCCTTTAATGTGCTGTTCTCTTCTTACTTTCACTCGTAATTGTGCTAATATTATTGTACTTAATATTACTCCTATATACAGTATTTAAATTCTGTAACCTATAATTTTTCACCCTTCATCATATACAGTATAGTAAGTTTACATGGAAATTGACTGGTTTTCCTCTTATATATTCTATACTATACCAATATTCACTGTATCAAATTCCCTTTCCTCCTTTACCAATACTTTACATTTCCGAGCATTTACTTTCAATTTTCTTTGATCACACACCATTTCAAAGCCATTCACCCATTATTACCATTTCTGTTCACTCTCCACACTTGTCTTTCTCCATTCTTCCCTACTAATCTCCCATTTTATTGTTAGATTTCTGTATCACTTGAGCCATTTAACAAAAGAGTTGAAGAACAGTAAAACTGATATACAGGTATACTGTACTGCATCTATAAATTTTCCTCTGCACATGGCCATATCTCAAAATATTACAGACTACTTAAAAGATTTACCTTTGGTACTGTGTATAAATACAATGCTTTAGTCATGTACAATACATAGTATTTCTCCTACTACTCAATATTGACTTAAAACATTCTATATTAAGTATTCCATTGTGACAAATTCCAGATTTCCACACTGGTACAAGAAAACAAAAAATACTATGATACCTTTGTCTTCTTATCTTCATTGTAAACAGAGAAGATGAGCCCAATAAAGCGACTGTCCATCTGTTGATACCCCGCTTGAGTCTGCAAGTCTACATATGATGTACATGTCACAACTTTTTATATACACAACATATTTTCTCATTAATTATTAATAAAGACTGAGTGCTTTTAATTTTCTAAATACAGTACTGTACTGTATTTGTGTGTACAGTACAGTATACATGTTGAAGATATGAGAAAGTATTTCTATTTGCTGTCTTAATCCTTTCCAATCACTTTCTACATTTGTTTTATACCACTCTCTCCTATCATTGACCCCCTTTCTTTTAGGTTAATGTACAGTATACAGTACCTTAACCCATTTTAAATAAAAGAAGTGCAAGGAATTAAAATTATAGAATTCTTTTTTTGAAATAAAAATTTCAAAAGAAAATATACTCTGTATTTAAATATCAAACACTCTTAGCACAAATAGAAAGTCAATTACTGAAAGAGTTAGCCAATAAGTACTAATGAGCTATTCTTTCTTTAATTCTTGCAAGCCTTTTCCCATTATGACACAGACTGGCTGGAATGAAGAGCAAATGCTTCCATTTGTAGTAACCCCCCTTTAGACTATGATAGGCTACGGGAGTTACACATGACAGTGTACCCTCTGAATAACAATACTAAAAATGTGTCCTAAATTTAAACTAAGACTGCCTAGTACACAGTAAAAAAAAAAAAAAATATGTTAAGTTGTGTGATAAGTGGTGGGTATATGTCATACATTTACTGCATTTAAGGACATTTAGGATGTATGATGTAGGCTGATTGACAGATGTGAAGGGGAAGGGAGATTCATAGTTGAGGAGAGCAAAGAATGAAGACGATGAATGATAGCACCGCATCACTGAACTTTTAGAACATGCACAGTTGGTTACTACAAGTACAGTTTTGGAAACGTGTTCCTACAACCCCTGTAGTAACCCGTGTCTCCAAATGGCAATGTCACAGCGCAGTAGTAATACAGTATCACCATTTATGAATGAATGGGTATTGGTCGTGTAAAGACGGACGTGACTGGTGGATAGGTTTGTGACTTTGCAACCTTAATTTGTGACCTCCACATACTTTTATATGTACAGGTAGTCCCCGACTTACGACTGCTTGGACTTATGACCGTCGCAGTTGTGACCATTTTTTTTTCAAATTTTTTTTTCAAATGACGCACGCATTTTCTATACCGAAACGTTTCCAGTTAATGTAGTCTCCATGTATAACTAGAAAATTATGGGGGCCCCATGTGCATTCAGCTGACTACATTAAAGGTAAGTGCTCGGTCACACTGTATCCATTCCTCATTATTTATTACTTTCACTGTACTGTATCCATTCCTCATTATTTATTACTTTTACTGTACTGTATTTCACTGTAAATTTTTTATTAAAAAAAAAAAATTTGATTTTTTTTTTATCTATGTCGGACTTACGACCTGGATTTGGGTCCCTAACCCCGTCGTAAGTCGGGGAACACCTGTATATCTAAAATGATCTTTCAAATATGTATCAAATCTATATTATTCTATATACAGTATTGTATGTAATTTAATCTTCGCATGTTAAGAAACTAAAGGTAGCACTGGTAAACTATTAATTGTACTAACCAATGTCAGAGGGCCACACTGTGATGTGAGGGTGAGAGTGATACCAGCCAACTATGTGTAGTTCTTGACCACTGGAGGCAGACATTTGTTCAGCTCTCTGTTGGGCCTGATGAAAAATAGCAAGTTATGAATCTGTATTCCAAATCATATCACCATAAACAACATTGTATTCATAAATTACAAAAATAAAAAAAATCATGCAAACCATCTCCACAAATGTCATGCAAATTTACTACTACTTGTACAGTACATACCTATATTTTTCTTAATCTATATTTTACAAACCAATATGTGTTTTAACTACGGTAAATACTGTACAACATCAGTGTCAATTTGGTGTTTAATATTGGGTTAAACTTATGAGAATCTTCAGTGAACAAAAAAATGTTTACCTCAATTAGCATCTCTGGCGAAATTTCTACTCTGTCCTTCCTCTTGTCAGACCTCCTAAGAGTAACAGCTGAATGAATGTCACACACAACTTCAGTGCCCTGAAGAAAGAAAATTAATACTTAGTGGAGGAATAGCATACATTTTTGTTTTACAAATCAGAACTCAGGGGCTTCAAATGATCCATCAGCAGGTTACTGTACAGTGTACACTATCTATAAATTATTTTGGAGTAATAATGGTACGGTACAGTACCGGTATATATTAATTACTGTACAGTACACGTACATGAATATTGCTAATCCTACAGAAACTAATGGTGCAATTATACCTCACTAAATTCTCCAACTAAAAGTCCCAACACTTCCTCCTTCTCTGTGGTGAGGGCATGATGAAGACACACCAAGTAGGCATCAGCCGCTAGCCTAACATTTGACACCCACATGACCAATTTTCAATCTGAAAATACAAAGCAGAAATAAGAACAAATACAGTACATCATTTGTATATGGCACATGATATTAACAAACCCTTCACATCTCACTTATGTACAGTGTACTTAATGATGGAGAATCTAGTCATATTATGTACAGAACTGTAGTCCAGATACAGAACACATAAAGAAGAACAGTAACAGCACTGATAGAATAATAATTTTTCATATCACAAAGTTATATTCTTGGACTTCGCATAGGCCCAGTTGGGGAGCAGTAATGAAATGAATACAGTATAAAATATGAGGAGTACAGTGCCAGAAGGGCAAATTCCACTTGCTCTTATCCATGGTCTATCAAATGGATTGATTCTCAAAGCACCTCGATTCGTCCATCTGGTGATTTTCTAGAAAAAAATAATAATAATAATTGGCTCATTTGCGGCGATATGAAGGTCAGATTCGTTTGAAAGAAAACAAATTATACCTGTTCATTTTTTCCACAGATGTTCTTATCATTATACTGTAAAATCTTATTTTTGAAGGTGACGACATTTACTGGAATCTAATAGAATCGAACCCAACCAACCAAAAGAACCTAACCAACCTTATTAAATTTCCTAGCTGGGGCAGAGCCCCTGGACCCCCTGCCATATTAAACAGAAAATAATTACAGTATTTTGATATCTGGTACCAATGAAAGCAACTTTGTTGAAGAACCATGGTGTAATTTTATGTATTTTGTGGACATGAGAGTACGCTTGGACTGAGTGGGTCGGTTGTAAACAAACAGCAGAAGAAAATACGTGCTGACTCTGCAGATTTTGCGAAGGAGTATTCTCTGTAATTTCTTTATGAAGAAATCACATATAGACGTCTTTTTGGGCCTTGTGATCAGTTTTTCACCATGTTTTACCCAGAAATTTCCCTCATCCTTCATGCCCAGCCCATTACTGGTGATTTATGATTGTAGAGAGAGAAAAAAAATACAGTACAGTACTTATAATTAAAATAAAAAGTTGTTGCTTCTTTAAAAATAATTAATATCCTGTACCGTATAATAAGAACGGCAGTATTTTTACTTTAGGACATAGTGTGCCCGAAAATTATAAACTACTGAAACATTTTGATCTTTTTATTCTGACCATTTTGAACCCCATTTATACCATAAGGAAATGGAAAAATAGTGACACAATTGAATTTAATTGATTTTACGTACTTTTCAGTCTTCATCTGTGAGGAGATGTTATCGGCGCATCATGCATGTGCAATATTGACTAACGTCATCCAGTCGTGACCAATGACGTATCAATATCACACGATTTTTTTCGACCAATCAAATTTGAGTTTTTTCAAAGGAAGCAGCCTGGGTACGGATTTGAATTTCATTGACCAGTCTGACAATGGTCGTGGTGGAGGTTGGTTGTCATTCGTGCTCCTATGATTATTTTAAGTTTATTGCTGAGTTTTACGAGAAAGACGTTCATTCTATCCACTTTTAACTAAGGTATTGTACTTTCGTACATGGCGTACCCCAAAGTTTTAAACTACAAAAACATTTAGGTTTGGTTAGTTTAAACTAGGTCTACCAGGGATCCGGGGGCAGAGCCCCCAGCTAGGGTTTAGGTAAGGTCAGATTACTCGTTTTCTCCCCCACCCAATAACCCCGATTTCCAAGGCTCTCCCCCATTATTGTTGGGGGGGGGGGGGCAAAACCTATAAATTTCCGACAAAAATGAAGGTCAGATACGCTTAAAACAATACTGGAAAAACATATTGGACAACCCCTAGGGACTCATGTCCTAAAGCAAAAATTTACCAGAACGGCTATGGAAAAAAATGAACAACATAGAACAACTCCGTGTGGTGCTAGCCGTCTGTTTCAGTATTACCGTAAACTTCAATGAGAAACATTTGTGTGATAAGAGATTCCTGGGGATGGTGAAGAGGAAGACTTGGCCAACACTGACGCAAGTACAGATACATTTTCGAGCTAGTATACGTCCAGTACTTATCAACAGTGAGTAAAAAGAGACGTGACCGAGCAGCAAACAAGTCGACCCGTTGTGAAGAGGATAAAGTAATTAACACAGACTCACAGTCCCAGGAGGTGACAGGTGACAACAGTTTGTTTACACCAACTATTCACAGGAGTAGGGATCCTGACTGAATGCTTGGGAAGTTATCAGAACTAGGATTCTATTCACAAGCGTTAGCAGTTGCATTAACGTTAGCGCCAAAAATAGATCATATTGAAATGTACACGGTTGTTTCCATTGGCACGGTTGTGTTTGCAGGGCAGGTAGGTACATGCCAATCGCTCCCTGTAGTGATTGAAAACGCAACGCGTGAATGGAATCCTAGTTTAATGCACAACCTTTTTATGACAAATTATAAAACATTATATTAACTTTTTTCTTGAACTATACTAATAATGTTCTGTTAATTGAAAAATCTTAATGGCTTTCTCGAACTAATTATACGTTAATTTGATTTAAGTTTCTGATCGAATCAGCTTACAATATGATGGCAATTAACACCCTATTATATGTGCACTAAGTAATAGGTATACTGTAGACCGCAGTACGCACTGAATGAGTGATTAAGGAAACATATTTTCTTTGCAATTTGTGAAATAAATAACAGTGCAATATTGAGTTTTGTTTAAGGAAACCGGAGAGTAAGATGACAAGCGATAAAGTGGGTAAATTAAGGAATTAAGTCATTGGATCAGCTGAAGATTAGGCACCCTAGCTTATAAAAATCCACTCTATCACATACTTAAAGAGAATAATGTTAAGAAAATAACCACGTACAAGACGAGACGCCAAGTATTTTCAATCGACACGAACGAAACAAACCCATTCTTACTTAAATAAGAAGCTTTGTGAATCAAAATATTTGTTAAGACTAAGATTATATGCTTAGAATTGTTAATATAATAAAAATAGTCTTGCTCTTCTTTTCCTAGCACCAAAGAGTATAAAGTAACATTGGCCAGGTGGTGTGGTGCGCATCCCGAGTCATCATTGTTTAGTAGTTTGTTTTGCTCTCTCCTTTACCCACCATACGCCGCCATGGGTGAGTATGGGGGCGACATTCTCTTTTATCTTCAAAGTTCTCCAACATCCGTCATCTGAGTGATTTATGTATATATTAACATTGTTATAAATTTCCTTACAATGATGGTAATGTAATGAAAAGTGTGAAGTTATTATAAAAAATAGTGATAAAGAGAATAGATGATGTAAGGGGAGTAAGTACCTGTGTTTCTCTATAACAGTGAATGAATATTTCAGACCTCGTGTTACTGTTATTATTGCCTTTGACTAATATGATACGGAAAAGGTAAGGGAAACTATATGTATTAGGTAAAGTTTGTATGTAGTTATGGTCTTTTATTAGCTTAATACATATATAAAAATTACCGTCGGCAAATTATTAAAAAAGATCACTGAATACTGTATATCAGATCTCTTAGACCTGTGGGGTATATACTGATTTAGGTAGGTATCGTTAGTTAGTAAATACAAGGAGGTTTTAACACCTTATTTGAGATTTCTTCGAGGTAGTTATCATTATGCTCGATGCCAACTTGCCCTTAATAATTTCACCTCATTTGTTGATGGAAAAGTGGTTTAGTACAATAAGGAGTCAACCAAAAAGTCCAATTTCATTTATCTCTGCCTTGTGAGAGTTTGTTTGCCACGGTGGGGTAATTATTTGGTTTAACTCGTTACCAAATTTAATTCTTAATAAATTTTCTTCTGTGGTATTTATTTCTTGTGTAAATGAGTGGTAGTGGAGATATCCCCCTTCCCCTTCATCCAACAATTTTGAAGTACAGTATGATCTTGTATTTCGCAAGGAATATAGACTGGAAAAATTGCGTCAAATGCAAATACATAAACTAATGGGAATAACAATATAGACTGGCAACTCTACACCAACCTCTGATTTTTCCATTTATAACCAAATGATACAAATTCTGCCTTTATTGACCTGATTGTGCTTTCCGGAAAACAAGTAATTTTTCTTATCTCACTAGTTTTTAGGCCTTCCTCAAGTAACTTGATCACACTTATCCCGCTTCTCCTTTTCCTTATTTGGCTGCTTAGGTGGGTCTGTCCAACCCCCACCAGTACCAGTAGGCCCCCCAGTAGATGTAGAGGCCATTATCATGACTCGACAGGTGGTAGCACCATCCAAAAAAGCACACAATAGCAGCCTGGGCAGTCGCTAGGATGGTGCGGGCTGCAACGCGATAGTTGCGTTTTAGTAAACCTCTTTTACGTTCACCACCGGCAATTTGGTCACCAGAGCGCTTCCTGGAAACATTCTTCTTATCTTGTCTTTCCATGTTCATCGCTAACACAACAAAATTTGAGAAAAGGGTGAAAATCACGGAGCAATCAACAGAAACCGCGCGATTCAACTGATTACTTGATGTAAATGGAGAGCGCTGGTGTAAACCGTTATTAGTGCTCACTGCGAAACATTCTTTTTACTTATTCTTTTCATACAGTATTTATGGGTAACAGCTAATTTGCAAAACGAAAAAAGACATTTACAGAGTACCTCTCAAAAGACACGAATCAATTGAACGTGTGATGTCGAACGTGAACTGTAACGTTGCATAACCCTGTGCTGCTCTTAAAACGTCGAGAATGGAATCGTGCAATAGCCAACATTCGTATGCAAAAGTTACAACTAATTCGCGTTGACAAAACACGCGTTGTTAACAGAAATGACTAACTAGTATGAGGGCTGTGATGTCATTCAAGACGGTGGCCAGCATTCAGCTGGCTAGATCTCGCAACACTCACTATATTTTACGCCAAATATAAGACTTGGTTACATTAGGTAGTGCTCGGGAAATATGAGATCTTACTGTACATAGGTGGGCAGGGCTTTGAATTAGAGAGGATTGTGGTGTAATGGTGGAGACAACAGTAGAAGATACCGAGTTGCACCAACATTTACATGATTAAAGTTCTTTTTTTTTTTTTTTTTTTTTTTGCATGTTCTTTGGATAGTAGCAAGTAATAAAAAAAAAGAATGCACAGAACTAAATAGAACCTGACCTGATCCAAGGAGATTGGTAACACCAGGAGCCAGTTTGTGTGGTTTCGTTCATTTTACCACATATTTTCTTTGGATGATAGAACTGTAATAAAAATGCAACAGTACACAGAACCTAACCTAACATCCTAACTGAGAGGCTTTGGCACCCTGATCCCCCAAGCATGTTCAGTAGAAGGAACTTACCTTAGCATTGAGGTGAATATAGGGCAGCAATGGCATCTAGGAAATGGTGGAACCTGTCACCTTCAGGAAGCATCTAGAGAAGAAGAACTGCTAGAAAAAGAGTAGCCCCACGTGGCTCCACATTTATGATAAATAATTTATTTCTGCGCCTACAGTATTACGTACTATCATCCAAAGAACAAATGTAAAAGGAAAAGAACGGAATTGAGCAACATCTGATGTTATCCGTCTGTTCCATAATTACCATATACCTGTATATAAATAAAATTGGCAGTGTTAAGCTTAGACTTGGCTAGTAGTGGCCAGCGGTTCCTTCCCGCAAAAATTTACTGAACTTATTGGTTCCAGCATCATGATGCTGTTTGATCTGTGGTTAATCCATTCTAAACTTTCATAGGTATTTCACGTGATCACTGGCATAAACGGCGGGCCACTGGAGGCAAGCGCGTCCAGCCTCGCAAGAAGAGGAAGTTCGAGTTAGGTCGTCCTGCGGCTAATACAAAGGTAAGCCCAGGGTGTGATTGGACTTGTGAAATTGTCTTTATTTGTGTACTTTTATATTTAACAATTCAATATACTGTAGTATGGTATAATGAAATTCATTACAGTAGGGGAAACCTGTTATAGGTCTATTTAACCCTTAAGCCCCGGGTTAGAGTGCTGCTGGCAGTACCCACCACGCGGAGTTAAATCGAGAACAAAATCAACATTTCCAAAAATAATAATAAAAAAATGGCGGGAAAATAGGCAGACGTTCTGGAACGTCACCCGGGGCCTAAGGGTTAAAGCAAACATCATTCATTTTGGTAAGTTGGGAAATGCAGCCATAAATTTCAGGCTGTAAACTCAGGGTTAATAATGGATTAGAAGCAATTCATCAATTCTCTGCTTTACTGTCACAGCTGAATCCCAGAAAGGATCCATTGAAAGTGGGATATAGTGAGTTGTGCCTTTTAAGCAGTTGCTGAACTTCATCTTACTCCAGCTTAGCTATACAGTATAGCTAGTTAGTATGGTTGTCAGGCATCAAACTCTTCAGTTCTAGTCATGACTTCATGGTGAATGGGTTGAACCATAGTACAGTAGCTGGATTTCAACCCAGTGGTACTTGGAGATGAGTATTTGGGGGAGTGGGGATGTTAGTAAAGGATGGGTTTGGATTAACCAAAGACCCAATTAAAAGTCTAGAAAAGACAACTTATTTCTTACCTAAACAGTAAAGCAAAACTGGTGAAGGAATTACACTTAGGTCCCTCCCAGTAATTCAAGATGGAAATACAGAGCCTGTTGCATATTTGACAATACCATGTTCGCATTGGCTGACCCCAAATGTTAAGTGATGGAATGCGTCCCAGCCAGGTAGTGCCCTTCCTCTCCAAACCAGACTTGACCCTTTACTATGGTGACAATGCTTTTATGAGCAGTTTCTTTCTGGAAAGTTATTTTGGATCACTATTGTCAATTTCTGGGTGATTTCAAGACAGCTAATACTAAATTTAATGATATTTCTTTTTACAACATGTTGAGTTTATAATTTGCAAAATAATTGCAGCAGCCATACACAGCAACCCTCCCTGCTCCCTACTGTAGCTACGATAGTCCAACCTTTCTATAATAAGTAAGAAATAAGTGGTTTATGAGTATATTTTGTTAGGAAACTAGTTAGTCCAGAATCGTGTTCTTCAGTATTACGTTTTTACTTCCATTTCTTGCAGTCTCAGACTGATTCATGCTATACTCAGTGTATGTAGGTTTGTGTTTGGCTTTTGTACTGAAGCGTTGTACAGTATAATTTTTCTAATGTGATCATCCCGTTTCATTAATTGGTGAACTAATGCTTTTAAAGTCCAGTATTGGACTGATTTTGTGAATTAGTCTTATGAAAAATTGTGGTAAAACCCACTGCAAGTTCATAATAAAATTAAGGCAGAGCTTGTGTAGCCAGGTACCCTGGCTATTAAGAGCTTGCAACCCAATCCAAGTACTGTATACAATATTGTAAAATCCTGTCTTGAAGGACATGTTGGGTTAAAATTCTAGTGAAAATAATTTGCATTAATCAAATTATTTTTATTGGGGGTACTCAGCTATGTGAGCTTATACATTAAATAGCTGTAAAACTAAGCTTATTTTGAAAAGTACATGGAAGAGATATCGAGCAATAAACCAAAGAACAGTACTGCAGACATACTGTACTAGTGAATTCTCGGCAAATTTCAGGGTTGGGGCATGATTCATAAAACTCATTCTAATACTGTAACTTTTTTGTGTTATGTTTATGATGAATCAACTTTCCTCGTAGTTTGTCAATGAAGACAAAAATCACGGTATTATATCTGAGGTATTTCAGCGGGAGTGTAGTATGATATTTGCTTTTTTCCATAATTGATTGTAAGAGTCCTTTCTCAGCTTGGAACCCAGAGGATCCATACTGTTCGAACCCGTGGTGGGAACAAGAAGTATCGCGCTCTACGCCTTGATACTGGTAACTTCTCTTGGGGGTCAGAAGGTATGTATGTATGTTTATTTGAGTATGTGTTTCTAAAGGTTTATAGATCTTTGAAAGGTGTCTGGGTACCATAAATTGCCAATAAATGTCTTGGAACATTGTGTATGCTCTTTGTAATATATCCAATTACTCGTTACGAAAAAAGGCATTGGTATTCAGTTGTTTTAGAAAATCTTCACAATTGAAATTTTTACCTTCAGGCCAGACACGCAAGACTCGTATTGTTGATGTAGTGTACAATGCCAGCAACAATGAACTTGTACGAACCAAGACTCTGGTGAAGAATGCCATTATTGTTATTGACGCTGCACCTTTCAGACAGTGGTATGAAGCTCATTATGCTCTTCCCTTGGGCCGCAAAAAGACCACAAAGTTGGTAAGTGACTTCTCGTTTGTTGATGCTGGGTTAAAGATAGCTGATCATATGAACCATAAAGTAATTTCTGTAGGGTTATTGAACACTAAAACCACTCTTAGTACTTGAGCCCGAAATCTATCTTGGGGAAGGGTGATATCACCTTTAATTGCCTATGGTAAACACCAGAGAAGTTATAGTGGCTATGATAAATATTATCTTAAAATGATATTTAAAAACTAAATTTACTTTTGATTTATCAGATACTGTATACCTAATAATTGTAAAACACCTTGGTGGCATAGAATATGTGGGATTGCATGGAATGTATATTATACTGCAGATCATCATGAAAAAATTTTCCTTAGATTATTGAGGCTAGGGGATACTGACAGTCGTATTATTAAACAGCATCTTCCTTTGTAGAGGGTCGTCGTGTTTCAACCCGAGTTTTAAACTGAACGAGTCCTGCGGGACACCGCAGTACAGTACTTAAGGGGGTGGTGTGGCGGTAAAATTAACTAACTCCAATAAAATTTATATATAATATTGGAATTAGTTCATTATACCGCCACACCACCCCATTAAGTACTGAACTGCGGTGTCCCTCAGGACTCATTTAGTTTAAAACTTGGGTTGAGACACGACGACCCTCTTCAAGGGAAGATGTTGTTTAATAATACGGGCGTCAGTGTTTCGAGGGCAAATGACTCAAATTCAGCCCAATACAGAGGTACTTCAATCTTTTTATATTTGTTGTCAAGTAGTAAGGTTTATTATGGCTAAGCTTTTGTTATAAACCTATTAGAAGGAGTAGGGAGTGCCTAGCATTTAGTGCAGTAGATCGTCGATATAATGCGAGATGCATTCCAAGAGAGGTCGCTTTAAACCGATATAGCACTAAATCAAAGTGTTTCACTGGAATAATTTAGTTTGGTACTTGCGAGAAACACAAAATACTAAAAAGACTGAGTCGACCCAGATGCACCTTAGCCCATCTCCTAGAATAAACAAAATGTTGTATTTTTGTAGTATTATGTTAAAACAAACACTCATAAATCAACACATCTAAAATTAAGGGATGCAAAATGGTCTGTTTACTGGCTGGGAAGATTGGGGAGGTGAGGTGATTTGTTTGACAATTGATGCCAAGGTCTAGTGCTTATTTATTTATCTGTCCTTAAGAGTGACTCTTTAAGTATTTCTCTTTTAAAATGTCACTAAACTGTCTTGGGAGAATATAATTAATGTTACTGGAATTCTTATAAGATAGTGATTAGTTTGAATATAAATAATGCTATAGTTTGCAGTAGACATACAAAATTTAGTTCTAAATAATTTTATTTAAGGGCTAAAAATGTTATCTCGTGCAAAATATATGACGTTTATATTCAAAATTTTCGCTGTCTTGCAAGATTCTAGCAATGCAAATTATATTCTAACTTTAGACTGTGGTATTATATAAGATAAAAACTGTAAGCCTATAACCACCCAACCCTGGCTGGGAAGATGGGGGGGGGGGTGACAGTGAGTTTGGTCCGAAGGTCTAGTGAAGTATGTCTTTGTTTATTTATGTCCTTTAGATTGGGTTATTTGTTTATAAAATGTCACAGAAGTGACTGGGGAGAATATAATTTACATTGCTGGAATTCTTATAAGATAGTGATTAATTTGAATATAATCATGCTATAGTTTGCACTAGACAAAAATTTTACTAATCATTTAGTACATTATTTTGAGTATATGTACAGTACAGCTTTGCCCTTACAACAGTGTAGTGTGCCCATAGAAACATTAGGTGCAATTTTTTTAATATGATGCGCCAGATTGACTTCCGCAAAATAGGAAAGATTCGCTTTAAATGAAAACGTTGTCCTTAATTGTGGTTGTCGCTTTAAATTGATAATCTTGATTGGATCTTTTTAAATTGACTTTCTATTGTATCTGTGCCATTGAAAAAAAAATTTGTGTTATTGTGACAAGGGCCTATAAAACATTTGGTTTTGTGCCCACAATAGTACCCTACCATTTATCAAAAGTAATAGAGTGAGTGTGAAACGAAGACATGCTGTTAATCATCATTGAATGGAAAGAATTTTTGGTGTAGTTGGAAGATTTGAGAGCTCCCGTCAGGGACTAACTTGTAACTCTTAAGAGAAGCTCAGGCTTATGTTGCATGTGTTAACATGAGTTTCATCTCTGTGGAGTGGTATGATAGTTACCTTGTACAATATTACATGATGTAAACAATGTTGACGAGACAGAGTTTTGTTGTCGTTTTGGCAACATCTGTCAGTGGTGTTAACTGTCATAGTTAATCTGATCTATTAAGAATATTTGAAGGATGAATTTGAATTTCTTTGTCTAAAATCTTTGTAATCTTATTAAAGACTGATGCTGAAGAAGCTGTCTTAAACAAGAAAAGGTCTAAGAAGACTGAAAAGAAGTACAAGGAACGTCAACGCACCGCCAAAGTTGAAGGTCCACTTGAAGATCAGTTCATGACTGGTCGTGTTCTTGGTAAGATTGGTAAATAGAATTTGTTTAAGAATTAGTGTAATAAAATTTTAACACTTTTTTTTTTCAAATTACCTTGCTATATAGCATATAAGTGCTTGTGAGACTGAAAATTTTGTTAAAAATTAATTTTGAAATGTTCCTTATCCCTTTTAAAGATATTTAAAAACCATTAACATTTTACATACAGTATTCTTGATCAAGGGTAACTAACATTTGTGGTACAAGTCTAGCCTAAACTTTACTTTGCTCATTAAATAACATATGGATACAAATACATATGATGAAAAAATATACACTAGATCTTTTGTGCTAAGTCGTTTTGATTGGCATGGTCAATGCTGTGGTTGTCATAGTTACTCTGATTTGGTTAATTGAGTATTTATTTGAAATTTTCATGGAGTGATGTTTAATTTATCCATATTCTTTTCTAGCTTGCCTTGCTTCACGGCCTGGCCAGTGTGGACGTGCTGATGGCTACATTTTGGAGGGGAAAGAACTTGAATTTTACCTAAGGAAAATCAAGAGTAAGAAGAGTAAATAAACAATAAACAGCTGATGTGAGAATAGTGTATCATTAACCATTTTATGGCAAAGTGGATACATCACTCATCTGTCCTAAAGGTCCTTGGTTGACAACAGTGAGTGGGAACTGGATTTCAATTGCGGGAAATGAAAATGGGTCACTTACAAAAGTTCTAGCAAATGTTTTCCTTACAAAATAGATAACTCTAGGTTATAAATAACTCAGTGTCTGGTCTGATGATTGAAATATTGAGTATTTTTAGAGTACGGTGTGCAGTTTATTTTAAAAAAATATGTACTGTATATACTGTATTTGCATTGCCTGTATTCAGACCAGTCTTGACAAATTTTGGTATGATGGCCAAGTTACAAAAATTTCAAGTGGTAATGAAATGACAGGGTAACCTATGGTACTTAGTGTCCCATGTTTTTATACCAAGTTTGGCCAAAATACAGAGCTACACAAATGAGCCATGAAAATACACAATTGGATGAACACCCATTACACCTCGGTTTGTAAAAAATTTAATCTTGGATTGTTAGGGAAATGGGTGTTATACTGTATTCCCTTCATAATCTTGATTCTCTTTGTGTCACACTGACATTTCACATTTCTTGAACTTTAATCCAGAGACGAGGCTGCCTTCTCTAGATCAGTATTAACTCCTTGTGTACAAGGGAAGGCCTCTACTGAATAACATTATCTGGCTATGCCATATGAAATAATAGTGGTGTCCCATATTGAAAGTTGTTGATAATGCTGAAAATTTGGGTATATAGGGTAGTTTCTTCAAATATTGTACTTTATACTCTCCAGTTTTAATTTATGTTCACTTTGCATTTGATTTTTATAAGATGAAAGGAAGCATGTAGAGTACTGTACTGCAGTAGATAGTATCCTTCAGCTGGTGACTGGTGTTTCTGCCATGTTATAATCTAGAAGGGCCATAAGAGCGATACCATCTCCATACTGGTGGTGGAAGGGTGATTTTGCATGTGACGTACCAGCAGCCACTGTGTTACTCTGGGATGATTGAGGGGGTGTGTGCACTGTTGCCAGTTCAATTTTGTATCACTGGGGTGTTGTGTTTTCTATGAATGTTTATGCTTTATTCATTGTTTGGATTGCACTATACTGTTTGAGCACATTTTAGGGGACAGTTATAGAATGGTTCAAGGTAATGTCTCACTCAGACTTTGAGGGAAATAACAGTTTTCCTACTACAGTATAACAATCTTGATTTTAAAGTAATTTCTCTGAAAGGGAAAATCAAAACTCATGAGTGTGACATTTATATCATTGTAAGTATTTTGGTTTACCAGGCAAATGTGCATTGTCAAGAGCCAGTGTCAAACACAAAGTCCAAATGGCAGTTGACATGCCACCTGTGTCATCATCTTCATTACTATACCATCCATGTAAATATTAAACAACCATAATGGCATTGTGCTGTCCTGCTTTTTTTTTTTTCAATTTTATTTCATTTGGGCATGTCGGAATTTGTAATTTTTTATTAATCAATTCACTGGTAATTATGCTGCCACCGTCCAGGCATGCCTGACACAACATAAATTTGGGCTTCAGTGTTAAAACTTCTTAAATTAGTTTGGAAGCTGGCAAAGAGGTCAAGACGTGTATTCTGGGTATTTTCTGGCATGCAAATTTTACTGGAGAAAGGGTGATACATATATAACTTGGTATCAATGAATATACTGATTCATCAATTACAAAAATAAAGACTTGCCATTTTGATCATTTAATGCTTATTAAACACATTAATTTCACACTTGAAAAATTATACCACTTGATCTACTAGCTATAATTAAAAAGATAAGCACCTTCAGTTGATAATCAATACCAGTACAGTACTACAACATTACTTATAGCACATAAAAGCACCTGGTTGCAGATCTAACTGTCAATTCCCTAGGACCAGCAACTAGGGCTCTTAAGGCCCCGTCCACATGATCGAGCAGTGCCCCGCGGGCATGCACTAAATGTCCGTTATTGGGCAAAATTGGCGAGCAAACCAGATGAGTGCCCGTGCCCGTCGTTGAGCGAAATCATGGTCCGCCTGCCTGGTGGTTTGCTGCCGGTTATGGAGCGACGACTCTGCCAGACAAACGAAGTTGACCCTGGCTGTCAATTTCTCAGTCTCGCCACAACAGACACCACTGTACCATGTCTAGCCCTCCATTCACCAAAGAACAAAAACATTCATTGGTCTTGAGAAGAGACCATGCTGTTAATTGAACTATCGCCTGCACCCTTGCCTATGGAATGTCAAAGCGGGCTTGGATAGGGACACGTCTAGCGGCACTCAATGCGATTACAGAGGATATGAAGAGAAGTGGGACTTCAGTTACCACAAGTGACGTGAAGAGAAAAATTGAATCGATTCGAAATCAGCATAGACGGGAACTAAGAAAGATGCAGAAATAAAAAAGTCTGGAGCTGGGAGTGAGGACATTTACGTTCCCACGTTATGGTGTTTTGATGCACTGCATTTCCTCTTTGATGGTGACAATTCGACTGTGTCAAACATGGATACCCATGCAGTTCACGTAAAATCGTGGTATGACTTCCCAATACTTTTCTTCGACTTAACCACTCTTTGCACCATTCCCTTTTCTGCATTTGGTTCTTCTTTTTGCACATAGCAGCAATTATTATAGTATACAACGCTATGTTCTTCGCTTTAACTGTCCGGCGATTATTCCTGCAACACACCATGGTGATTGTACTGCACCCGCCACTGCCGACTAGCTACCGGCGCCCGACTAGGACTGCCGCCAACCACTCCAGTGTGTTCAACAACACACAGGCTTTGCCCGGTAATCGGGCAAAGCGCGCCGGGCACTGCTCGATCGTGTGGACGGAGCTTTAGCGATAGCACTTTGATACAAGCTCACCAGATATAATACAGTCTGGGTTCACATCACTCCTCCACAATACAGGTAATTGCTGCACTAATACACAGTACTTTGTACCTCACCTGATACTTACATATTACAGCCCTGGAGCAAAGCCAGGGCTCTGGCTCGCACCAGCAAGGCCATCACAACACGGCTCCAACCTGAGGCCCAACATCATGTCTATCTCTGGCTACCTCCATCACCTGTCCGTAAGCAATGGAACCTCACCTCGGCTGGTTGGCAATTCCCCTGCTCGAACCACCAGTTGAAACTACAGCAATCTCATTACATCGGTAAACCTTTGAAGCCTCAACTACTGTAGATCAACTCAAGCAGCATCTCAATTCGAATAGGGGAAGGTAGTGGTAATTGCATTAACGTAAATTTGTGATTAATGGCAAACTACACATCATTATCCTTTCCTGAACCTACATTGAGCTCTTAACCTAGTAACTTGTGAAGGGAAAATCAATAGAGGCATGTACTAACTTAATAGAATCTGTCTTGTTACAATGGATTGTTAATTTGTTTTTATCCTTTAAGGAGCTTAGCCTAGGCCAATAATCGTTGATATTATGTTTTTGTTTTACTAGGTCAACTCGGTCATTACTAGATGATAGTTATACTCGATTCCGAGAGACCGTAAAGCAGTACAGTAGTTATATTACTAAACCACACTCAGTATAACAGAGTAAGATGAAATGAAATCAAATGATTGAGGTTGGCCAATAATTAGATCGTTAGAGCTCTCATTCGTCCAGCCAGTGCTTTGCAGATCATTCAAGTTCTCAATCATCCAGCCAGTGCTTTGCAGATCGTTAGAGATCTCATCGGTCCAGCCAGTGTTTTGCAGATCGTTAGAGCTCTCATTGGCACAGCCAATGTTTTTCAGATCGTTAGAGCTCATTGGTACAGCTAATGCTTTGCAGATCGTTGGCCCAATTCTTGCCAACGGTGCATAACAGATGTAACCGATCGCCCAACTTTTACTTTTATCCTCTTCACCACTGATCGGTTCGTTAGCCGCTTGGGCGATCGGTCACGTCTCTGTTACTCACTGTTGGCAGATACTGGGCATGCACTGGCTCCTGAATGTATCTGAACATGCTCCAGTGTTGGTCAAGTCTGGTCTTGAAAGAGCTCACACTCGGTGCCGTCACAACACTCTGACAGATTGTTCCAACAGTTCACAACTCTCATTCCGAAAAAGTTACACCTCACAGTTTTCTGGGCTTGCGGCTTCTTCAACCTTGAGCTGTGACCCCTTTTGGGGCGAGCGTCCGCCAGCTCCAGGTAAGGGCACTCGATTGAGTAGTGCCCTTTGAGATGCTTATACACCTCAATTAGGTCTTACCTTGCTCGTCTGTAGTGTAAGCTAGGCAAGTTCAGGCGCTCCAATTTCTCGGGATAGCTGAGGCGCCATAGTGCAGGCACCAGTCCTTTGGACATTTTCAATTGACTGACAATCCCTAGCATATCTTGGGGTCCAGACGGGGAAGCACGACCTTCTTATAAGACCTAACAATTTAGTTGCCTGATTTACCTTCTTCTTGCAATGGCCCGAGAACTTCAGCTCATTTTCAACAGACACACCTAGGTCCTTATCACATTCAGTCTCAATACAGTTTCTTCATCCCGTTGGTACATATGATATGCCTCCTTACCGTTGGTACGTCCTCTTATACTTCTTGATATCTAGCAACCATTTCTTCGACCATTCTTGGAGCTCACAGAGGTCCTTCTGCAGCTCTTCACAGTCTGCTTAGTTCTTAATTTCCAGAAATAACTTGGCGTCATCCGCAAACATTTGTTTGGAAGAATGTACAGCATCAGGCATATCATTTATGAAGCAAACAACTAACTGCGGGCCCAATACACTGCCCTGTGGTACTGTAGTGGATTCCTCCCCTACAAACGCTGATTGTCGCTGAGTAGCCGACCCCGCGAATTCCCCAGTGTATGCCTCGTGGTCTAGGTCAACCAGCGCCGCCTTACATGACGGAGGTCAACTATTAAGCCACGCCTACCTCCGCTATATAAGACCTGACCTCGTGGTGACCTACCTCTCTTTTCTACCTGCACCAACCAGCAAGCAACACCACCTCCTCCACTCCTGCCTGGCGGCCCTCGCTCCCGCCGGCGAGCATGGCGACCCACAAGCTGGTCCTCCTCTGAGCATCCTCACCAACCAACTCTCTCTACATCACGCTTGGACTCACGCTGCCACTTCCCTGCACCAAGCTGCATTGTACATCCAATACAACATGTATACAGAGAGCACATTGTAAGTTTCCTTTCTCCATCTCATCCTAAGTGTGAACCAAATAACCCGTACCCCACAATACTCTCCCCTACAGCTGTTCTTCCGTCCTAGCCATGTTCCATCATCTCGTATAATGCTCTCAAGCACTTTACATACTATGCTAGTCAGGCTCACCGGTCTATAGTTGATCGTGGTGTAAAGAGGGTAAAGGTAAAAAATAATGCTTGGATAATGAGGATGCGAGCTTTTGTAGGTTTCTTAGAGCCTTAGAATGATAACATTAATTAATTTTCTTGGTAATCAACGGGGACCAGTTCTAGGTAATCAAATTATCTCCCGTGTACTTTTGTTCTTGAGAAGCAAATAGCACTTGTTACTGCTCTTGAGAAATCCCCCTCCATACCTCACATTTTCTGGCGCGACCACAGGGAAGATTTTCTATTGTATAGTAATAAGAAATATCTGGTAAATCCCAGAAACGTGTGCTTTTTTTCGTGGGTCTGATTCGTTCTGGAAATGACACGCTAAATCATCCTTTTCAATACAGGAAACTAGGATATAAAAGAAATTTCCAAATATTTTCGTGAATGCTAGGGAAATTACTGTCTCCTGTAATGTGGTTGTTTGCTTTATGAATAGAATAGTCCACATTTGTATTCATCACGAGAAAAATAAGCGTTTCTGTGAAATATTAGTGCTCATCCTACGAATTAAGAATTCCATAAATTTTACTCATCCATGAGAACACAAGCTGTGTTTGTCATGAAACATTAATATTAGTATGTCCTGAAATATTTGTGTTGACCCTGGACTCCTGATTAAGAAAGAGGGGGTTGAGTTGAGGTTTGGTTGGGCCTCGGGAGACAATCTCTGCCCAAGGTGAGAAGTAAGCCGAGCGGATTTGTTTTAATGGTATACAGCGGCGCAGGACGGTAAGTGTAGACAAACAAATATGTTGTTTTCTGTAAAATTGTCATGAAATAATATTTATTGAGAATATAAATAATGCAGATATCAAGCCCATAAAACCTCATTACCATTGGGGTTATTGTGTGGAGTTTGGGAAAAGTGCTAAAATCAATATTAAAAAAAAGAGAAATATTTGTGACTACAAACATGACAATTACTATATTGCACTTTGAATAATTGAGACTGGTGGATCTTTTCCACAGTAGAATAACCATTGGTCAATAATTTCTTAAGTTAAAATTTAGGGTAAAATTACCTGTACAGCAGAACTGTAGTCAGTGTTTACGCCATGCTATTTGAGCCCCTGTGGTATTATTGTGGTTTCGGCCAATAGACGGACGACTGTTTTAACCATCCCCTACCCTTAGATATCCTTATTTAGAGCATTTCTAGCCCCATTTTGGTTAACGTGTTGATTAATGCTGCCAACGATTCTAGCAAGAACACACTGCCGAGGCTCGAACTCTGCTAGGGAGTTAGGTCAGCTTATGTTAGGTTAAATAAGGATAAGTTAAATACTGACTACATTACATATCCACTCGGGGGGTTTAGGTTAGGTTAGGTTAAATACGGATAAGTTAAGGTAATTATATAGGACTTAACCCGTGAGCAAAATTGATTGAAAACAATTATAAAAATGCCGGATTTTCGTTGTTATATTATAGTGGACACTGTTGTAGTTTGTAGAAATATGTTAAAAAACGGATATTAAAAAAAACCGCTACTTAACATTTGTGGCTATGAAGAACAGACCTAACCAACCAAACCAAACAAACCTACCTAACGTTCCCGGTATATTAAACAGAAAGAACTTATAGGTTAGTGCTTTTGTGTTCATAAAAGCAGCGCTTAAGTAAACGTTTACCCCTATTTCAACGAGGGGACAAAGAATAATAACAAATTCGATTAAATCACACCAAAATACACAGGATAAACTAATTTCTAAACTACTAGGGCATAGTGGCTGAAACTGCAATTTTACCGAGCATGTTCATCTTCCGTGCTTTGCTGTTATTCCTTATTTACCAATAGTTTCGCTTACCGTTAGTGAAATGAGGGATACCTCTAGTATACATGTCTAAACTAACCAAACCAGAGAAACCAGAAGGACATGGTCTAACCTATTCAGGTGAGCTCTACCTCCCTGGACTCTCTAGTGTGTAAACCTAACCCAATAAAAAAAACAACAACCTAAATATTCTTTTAAAACAATGAAAATCATAATAAAAAATTATTTGGTAATAGCATTCCCTTTTGGGCATAAACTGAATCTTTATCGACAATGGCTCCTTGACCCAGCAATGAGACATGGTTTTTCAAAAATTTCTTCTTATTCTCTTTTTTTTTTCCCTTTCTTTCTTTATCCACTGGTGATAACCAGTTTTAGGTAAGGTTAATGTTTGTAATACTGTCACAATTTTCTATGGAGAGATTGGACATTTATAATTGCCACCAACTGATGAGAACAGTGAAAGAAACACTTTTACCATGAAATTAATAAAAATAAGGTAAAATATTCTATTCTATGTGTTTTAACCCCCAATTTTCCCCTTCTTGAAAACCCTGCTCACTTTGTGGGGTACAATACAGTATTAATATTGAAGGAGGACAAAAGTGCATAAACTCAAAACAAATCATTTGCATATGTTATCACCAGTGCATAGAGCATAAAAAATAACCTCTTGAAAAGTCATTTTTTATTACTGGGTTGGAGAACTGGTGATTTCTATATTTTTACCAAAGTCTTATTTCTTGCCTCAATATTAAAGCAAATCAGGTGGAAAAATAGCACCTTTCCTATTTAGATTTTTGTCCCTAGTTTTTCTATTCATCAAGAAATACACAGCCAGTGCTGGTGTGCGTGCTACTTTATTTACCTGAGCACCAAGATTTGTCATCATCGTTGTTGAGGTCATAATAAGTTTTTTCATCTGATACTTGCTAATAATAGCACCAGCATTAACAACCTTGCAGTTTTAGTTATACTGTAGTCCTGACCAATTGCATGCCTGAACTGCCTAGTGTTTGACATATATCATAGAATATAATTGCTTTCTTACCTCATGAATTCTACAAAAAATGCATGAGCAGTTCATTTTGCATAATATAAATCTTATGATTTTTTCATTAATACAATTTGATGGGCACTCACTCCATTTTCAGATGTGGCCATAACTTCCTCTCCTGAATGCTGAATATTTCCTTTCATACACATTTTTTTCTTTGTTAATACCGTAGAAAATAACTGTATAACTTCAGGTTAGGTTTTGTAGGATTGGTTCAGTTGGTTTAATTTATATATGATAGCTAAATTACATTGTGGGAGTAGCTGGAACCTCCATGCTTTCTGAATGGTTCCTTTCATAGTTTTTTTTTTGTCTTCTTTTGTTAGATACTGGATGTGAAAAATCAGGTTAAGTTAGATAATTTTTTTTAATGTTAAACTATACCATGTAGCAGTTGATAGTATTGGGTAAGCTGTTCCTCTGATGTATGAATTGATATAAAGTTGAAATTTTATCCACAATGTACTGCACTGTAATCAAACCTGAATTTATATTTGTGTCTTTAAAGGAACTTAAGTGATCATGTGATGGCCACAGAAACTAGAGAGACTGCATCCCAGGTCAGCAGTAGTGTTAAAGCCATTGACCCAGAGGAACAGTGGCTCAGACGAAGATTGCCTCGCTACTTACCAAAGCGCCCAAATGATATATATGTGAATAACAACTCAAACTTTAAGGTAGGATATATATTATTTCATATCATTATATTATGACCAAGAGGCTGTACAGATGACCTGCCATACTGTACAAGCTCACTAGGAAGCATGACAGGGCTATACTGTACTGTATGTTATGCATTAAGAGCATGATGGTACAGTATTTTTTAATGACAAAACTACCTAGTATCTTTCCTTTCCTGTATATCCATGAGAAAATAGTTATGAAGGGAATGGTTGGGAGTTTCTTTTTCCTATCATCAGTCCCCAGTTTTTTCCTCTTCCCAATGTGTCAAGCTATTGTTAAACCGAATTTTGACCAAATGTTAAGTGAGAAAGGGTGTCAAATTTTTTTATTGCTAAACCGAATTAACGCAACGAGGGATACCTGTATTTTATTGATATAAATTACAGTACAGTACAGAGTATATTCAAACTGGGCAGTGTCTTGCTGTGTACCAGGTACAGTACAGTATCCAGTAACCATTCTTTATAATGGAATTTCTTTTAATGGAAGTGTGATATAGCAGAACAAATTAATGCTGGTACAGTAATTGCTTCTTCATCTAGCAGAGCCTTCTGCTTGATGAAGGGAATGGTATGGTTTAGGGGTGCTGGGAAAGGAGGTACAGGGAGTTGTGAGTTTGCTTTAGCCTTTTTACTTACCGAGTCGGCTGTTACTTGACATCCGTGATCATATTACAGCACTTTAACTACTTTTTTATGTTTTAAACATGTTAAGTGTCTACAAGAATAAAGTTGGACTTACAAACAAACCTCAGGAATGTAACTTTTTCATAGGTAGAGGAGCACGTGTACACGTGTCCCTCGTTTAGCGATAAAAATTTTTTACACCCTATCTCACTTAATGTTAGATAAAAAAATCGGTTACTGATAGCTTGATGCACTGGGAAGGGTAAAAAAATTGGGATGAGGTGGCCTGTGAGATGGCATGTTAGCCATTGTTACATGTACACGGTAATGAAACTAAAAGTTGTGGAAAATCATTACAGAACTCTAATGTGGCTTAGAAATAAAAAAAATATTGTACATGTATATAAAATTATAAAATAAGAAAAATGAAGAGCATGGATGTGTATTATGAAATTAAAATATTTGTGGAGACAGTGGGCTGTAACTGCGTTGCGAGTCCCCATGCTCCCCGACTCTCACCACCAATGTGACATCACGGCATACACGCAGCGTGGCAGCAGTCACACATTTCTGAGTCAGCTGGGTGACTGCCCGGTTGAATTGTGTGGTGTCGCCCAGAGGATGGTTGAGTGGAATTTTTTATTTATTTATTTTTTTATTTATTTTTTTTTACATATACTGTATATATATATATATATATATATATATATATATATATATATATATATATATATATATATATATATATATATATATATATATATATATATATATATATCAGCCGCGATTTTTTTATATATATATATATATATATATATATATATATATATATATATATATATATATATATATATATATATATATATATATATATATATATATATATATATATATATATATATATATATATATATATATATATATATATATATATATATATATATATATATATATATAATTTTTTTTTTTTTTTACATAAAATATTATGTGCTATTGTGTTTCATGATATGTTTTGTACTGTATAAATGTTATTGTTTTTCATGAGATTGCAGGACAGCTGACTGGGCACTCGGTCATCTATCTGGCTTGAATGCCACTGTCTCCACATTTCTTAATGGGCACACGTGCATCTTGTAACTAAAAAATATTTTTGCTTACACTAATCACTGCGAGAATTTTACACCTACAATAATAAAGAATACCTAAGAAAAATCATGTGCACAGTATACAGTACTCTTAAAAATATTTTGAAATACGTAGAGGGTGTCCCCAAGGTTTGAACATCCGACTTATGAACACCCGCCGATACGAACGAGGTTCCATAAAGTCAGTTATCATAAGAATTCAACATAGGTACAACTGGTTCGTAGTACAGATGCCCTTAAAATTTGAGGGGTTTAGGTCCTCAAAATGTCCGCGAATAACATTTGCTGACCAGGGGGGTACATTTTTGCTCATGTGCAAAGAAATGTACATATAGTATTCCCTAAATGTGTTTATCTTTAAGACAATTATTTCTTTTACCTATATTGTATACATAAATGTGTGTGTGTAGACACACACACACAAAACACATACAAAGAAATAATAATGGGAAAATCCTCTCACAAATAATCAGAAACAAATGTATTAAAAATGTGAGTCTAACCTCAAGTCCTCTGCGTGCTTTGTTATTAATAACAAAGCACGCAGAGGACTTGAGGTTAGACTCACATTTTTAATACATTTGTTTCTGGTTATTTGTGAGAGGATTTTCCCATTATTATTTATTTGTATGTGTTTTTCTATATCACACACACAATACACATGTGTACTATTAAATAATAATGGAAAATACTCTCACAAATAACCAGAAACAAATGTATTAAAAATTAAATTCAGACAAAAAAAATTAATTGAAACTTTACAGTACAGTATGTTTATATTTGTCAGCCAAAAAACTTTGCTTATATAATGCATTTTCCCAGATAAGTTAAGTGTCGAGTAAGTTGTATGCTAACTTAGGCATGCTACCTTGTCAGCAAGGAACCCAACTCCCATTTTCTAATAGGACCTTTGCTTCACCATCTTCATTGCTTTCTAGGAACTCAAAACCTTGTGGATCATGAAGTTTTACTGTACAGTACTGTATACTGTATTCCCTTAATGAATGTTTTTGGCATAAACCAAGGGTTTTTTTTTTTTTTTTTTATTGAAACCAAAATTAGATTATCAAAATGTATGAATCAAAATTCACTTGTTTTAGAAAGTTTCTAGATGTTTATAGATGAAGGCAAGACTTATTCTGTTTTACGGGTAATGGAATGTACCATCAATATTACATACAGTATGAAATTATATGTTCTTTTGTGCTTAAGATTAACCTCACTAATTTTATTCTGAACATTATTATTGGCACATTGAATGAAAAACTATATTGTCAACCTGATTTTTTTCTAACCTTTCCAGGTACAAGAGTTGCGTGGGGTGAGCTTACTGAGTGAATCTGGGTGGGTTGTTGTACATGGGCTGGGGTCAGCTGTGCCCTGTGCCATCAACTTGGCTCATTCCCTGCAAGCTGCTGTTCATACCCCCACTGCACTGCACACTAACACATCTTCCATTCATCTCAGTGGTTAGTTTCAACAAATTATTATTATTATTATTATTACTCTTAGTAGGATTTATTTGCAAATAGTTAGGTGGTAACAAAATAAACACATAGTCAGAGAGACAACTTCGCTTCTGACTTTGAAAAAGTCTCATGATGAAATGTCAGCAGTGAAGTTCACTTTCTGGCCCTATGTTTCCTTTGCTACCACTTGTTTTTTTTTAATGTCTCTATTTTCATTAATGTATCTAAACAGTAGAGCAACAAATTTTGCAGTAATCTCTCCGTTAGCCTGAATCTTCAATCCCCACTCAGTTTCATCCTTAGAAACAAACTTAAGAAGCTTTTCAATGAATTCTATCCACAAATTTCTCTTAGACTAGTCTTCAAAACCCAGAGTTCAATGACAAAATTCTTTAGAGCTAAGGACATCATACCCACACACTTGCAATCCACAGTTGTTTATCAATTTACGTGTGCTAGCTGTAGGGCAGCATATATATAGGTAAAACAAAAAGACATTTGATAACTCGCATCCATGAGCACTTGGGCCGTTCATCCGAACAGGCCAGTTAATCACAACCACCGCATTCAGCTATCCGTAACCACGCCCACCAGTTTTCGCAGTCTGATTTCTCAGTTCTTGGCAGGAGAAACTGTGAGATGGACCTCCTCATTATGGAAGCCTTGTATTAATATAAAGTAAAGGCATTCATTTGTGATATGGCTTCCTGTGAATTGTTGTGTTTCTCACACTAAGGCTCGTCTAAATTAAGGTAATACCCCTTGTATATTTTAATATTTTCTGAATTTAGTAATGTTACGTTTTTATTGTACATCACCTGTAATTTTTTTAAACATTTAAAAACTTTTTGTAGTATAGTTGAAAAAGAATAAAACTTAGCTGAGGATCCAGATATTTAGATAAGTTAAAAGATTCCCCAAGTTTAAAGTGACTAATCATACAGGGCCACTTGAAACTGCAGGGATGTTTACAGCATCCTTAGGAACTGTCGATAAACATGATAAGGCATATAACTGTGCATGGACTTTCTCGTAAGAATTTTTTATGTTTAGCAGATGTAGATTCAGGCCATTAACCAACAAAATTGAGTGCAGTACTTAAAATCTAAAGAAATTTTAACCCCATGTTTAGTTAATATTATCTACACTGTATGTATTACAGTTCATGGACTAAAGACTTTGACTCATTATTCTTATTTGTAGAAGAAAGATGAGGAACAAGAATGGACTGACAAGCCGTCAGGTAATCACGGTTATCCATGCAAATGTGGAAAATGCAATAAATTGGTGATAATGATGATACCAGTGTAATATTCTTACAAGTTTACAATAATTTGACATGCAGCCTTTCATTCAGGCCTGTTAAACAGGGTTTATAATCATTGCTTTGTCCCTTTGGGGAAAAAGTAACTGGTAGCTAATGGTGTGGATTCTTTGCCAGTTGGTTTATGGTTTATTTAACAATCGGCAATTGGATTTTTATTAACCAATTATGTCTTGCAATGTTGGGAATTTGTCATGCAAATGGTGTAGAATAACGGACAGAAAAGTAAATATAGGGCTGGGAAAAAATTGTGCTTCATTGGAGCTGATAAATAAAAACTATGGCAAATATTTTAATTTCTTGTTCATTAAAGTAGCCATTTAATCATTTATTTACCTGGCATGGTAAGGAGAGTTTAATTCTTCCATTTTTTATCAGATTTTGTAATTTGTTTAGCCTTAATGGAGAGGTCTAGTTTGTTTAATAAAAAAATTAAATAACAGTTTGTTGTTCAATACACGTAGATACAGTATGGTACAATTGTTAATATATATTTTCATCTTTAATTCCTTCAGATGACATTGAATCATCACTAGATGGAGCAGACCAAGAGTATCACTCAAAAGGCTATGCAGCAGTGCACATCAAAGTTTCTCTCCTGCAAAATACAAATAAGGAAAATTTTGTTGCAAAAGAGTCAAACAGAACGGTAAAAGGAAGTTAGTGAGTTTTGACTTTAAACATCATTTACTGGATGTAGTATGTGCTTGGAAATAAATAATTTTTTCATTAATGCAGATTTTAATTGAAAAATTAGAACAAGTGAAATTATATTGATATTGTGGTATTGTTAGAAGAAAGAGTTGTGACATTATTGAACTTTAAAGGCATCGCATGAAGATGGGTTTTGCTTCACCGTGATAGCTTTTTAAACAAAGATACAAGGAATCAAGAAGTAAACGTTAAAAAAAAATAAATGACATGGATTACAGTACTTGTCTGTAAACTTTTGAATTTATGATAAAGTTTGCAAACAAGCAAAGATGTTTTTCAGTCTGCAGGAGCTGACAATGTGGCTTGGAGTAACTATATTAGAGGTAAGGATTTAATGAATTTATGTACCCTGTATATAATATGTATATAATCAATTGTATTCTATAGTTAATCCTTATTGTGTACTGCATTTGTTATGTTACCTTTTTCAGAAGAATTATGACTTGTTATTTTGATTTATCACCTTGTCATCAAACTTTCCACACCACACAAATTGTGGGCACCATACTGGGGTAAAATTCCACTGCAGGGGGTCCCTGGTTTACGAACGGGTTCTGTTCCCGGGGATGTTCTTAAGTCGTTAATGTACGTAAGTCAGAACACATGCTATGTGCATACCATACTTACAGAACAATGTGTAAAATCCCACTGTCATAGCCTAAGTCATATATACATCTAAAATCACTTGTATTAAGAGAAGAGAAGAAATAGAATGACAAAATACAAGAAATGAAAGTAAAAAATTTAAGTCATCAGGTAAATAAATTACTGTAAATTTAAAGTTTTACCTCGTTCATATTGGCAGGTGTTCATAAGTAGGGGACCCCCTGTATATGTTTCTCATTACCCTTTACTCTCGTTACAAATTTGTTTTGTTTTTTAATGAAAGCTTAAGACCTAAAAATCAGCTATAGTGCATTTTTTCCCAGCTGAGAAAAAGATGCCCTGCCCCCTCCTCAAGATTTACAGCTGATTGGCTGTTGCAAATTGTCCGATTTCATCCTGAAGTAATGTACAGGGTATTTCTAAATGAGTTTATTCATAATCGTTTGGATGACTGTTTCTGACGAGAAAGATATTTAGCTAAATTATATAAAGATACACACATTCATTATTTCAAACATGAGCACGTAGGAAGTTTATCAGAAATATTATACAGGTGCTCCTCTACTTATGAACGAGTTACGTTCCTGAGGCTTGTTTGTAAGTCCAACTTTACTCTTGTAGATACCAGACATATTGTAAAAAATTAAATGATTATGGTCACTGTATTTAGTACAGCTATACCCTTTAATACAGCCTTAAAACCTGGTTCACTCTTCTCCTCTTAGGTAATGCTTATTCTATCTATAATTTTCTTAAAAATATAGTTCGACAGTAATGGAGGGAATATTTGGAGAAGTGTGCTCGCGCCTGTATTTAACGTCGGTGCACTTGCAATGAACACCTGTTAATAAATCGGTTTCCTGTGAACAGCAGTCAAACATTAATAAGTATACACAACATGTAAATATTTTATCTTTTCTGTAGCTATATTGGTCTTATACAAATAATTTCCTATAGTATATTAGAGATTAGATAATCATGGTCGTGGTTGTTATAATCATGGTCGTGGTTGTTATAATCATGATCGTGGTTGTTATAATCATGGTCGTGGTTGTTATAGTCATAGTCGTGGTTGTTATAGTCATAGTCGTAAGTGTTTAATCATAGTCGTGGTTGTTATAATCATAGTCGTGGTTGTTATAGTCGTGGTTATTATAATCATAGTCGTAGGTGTTTAATCATAGACGTGGTTGTTATAATCATGGTTGTGGTTGTTATAGTCATAGTCGTGGTTATTATAATCATAGTCATAGGTGTTTAATCATAGTCGTGGTTGTTATAATCATGGTCGTGATACTTACAGTATCTAATATACTTTAGGAAGGAATAGAATAAAGGTTAGAATAATTAGTTAAAGAAATATTCGCCATAAGGAGAGAAATACACCTAAGTACACACTGTAGTAAGGTCCGAAAATGCTCTGGTGAAGTTGAAACTGCGCATCCAGACGCAAGATGAAACTCAGCTCCCCCCCCCCCCACCTGTTATCTCTAACTATTGTCTGTTTCCCCTTCTTTCTTCTATTTAGTCATCTTCCTTCCTTTACTAATCCAAACAACATTAAAAAAAAAAGTAGGCTAAGAGAAAAAGTGGGGGGAGGGAGGAGGGAGTCGTACGATAACTGTAATCGTCTGGCCGGCAGACAGCGTACAGCTACATTTGTTGCCAGCGTAAATAAAATCATTAATTAATGCGTTCCTAAAGAAACCATCGACATGGGACCAGGTTTTTTTCACTCTACGAATTTTCTGCGATTTTTCAACGAAGTTTGATGAAAAATGATTGTGCCGTTTCGCCTGCCCAGACCTGATACACGCACGGCTAGCGCTATAGTATATTAGATTTTTTTTTTCATAACAATATACTGTATTGCAAATGGCAGCAACTCCACTATGGCAATGTGACAGAAAATCCATGAGTCATTCACACAAGCAGACATTATCATTCAGTTGACAATTGGGTGCACATTGCTTCTGGCATTTCACAACTTTTATGATGTTTTATCACACTGTCGGCTTAACAAAAGAATTCACAGCATATTCTTAGACAGACTGATCGTTCACAACAAAGTGATGACGTTTCTTTTCCTTGACATCATTGCTATTGACTGTATCTCCTCGCTCATTGGCACTGTTGCCACATCTGTATTTGTTATGTAGTTACATACTTTTCATCACAACTTTGTTACCCCAATCAACTATTCTAATGTGTGCATATGTATACAAGTACTCAATATCTGTATGTCTTTGTGTTATGAACAACTTTGAATGTGAATATGATTTTGATCCCCTCCCAACTTCAGGGTGCGGCTTACAATAAAAGGCTAAGCTTTTTATTAATGAATTTTGTCCAAAAGTCACCCTGTGGATTATATTCATCAAAATACAGTACAGTATTGTAACATATTGCTTTGTAAGATGAATTATATTAGGAGTCTTTTGTTGATTAGTTTTCAAATCTTTGCCATAAGCTTGTAAGTGCATCAACAACTTGTTAATATTAATCCTGACAATCTCTCCCTAATACATATTACAACCAGAATGATTCAGATATGATTTTGTTTCAGGTGTTCATCTGGCTCACAGCGCTGCTTGTAACTCTTGTATTGGTGGTTCTTCGAGTAGATGATGTGACTCCCACTATTAGTTGGTGGGTGGTGCTGTCTCCCATGTTTATAGCCGACGCTCTCAATACCTACTTTTGTGTAATTGTTCTTATTCGGATGTACCTAGATGGGGTTTTAAAGCCAGCTGCTTTACGTGCTCTTTGGAGCTTTTCTGTTCTTACACTTGGATTCACTTTCAAGTTCCTCCTGTGTAGAAAACTAATGGAGCCCACCCAGCTAGAATATTCAGCTGTTATGTCCCCCGTCTTTGTTCTCCTTCAGTTAATATTAATACGAGCTTGTCATTTCAACTGACTTTATATGTAAGTAAAATTAACAGTTCTCTGGTACAAGGTGTAGAAATGACCCAATTAAATTATTTAGGTGAAATAACGTATCCAGTTATGCGATATAATTAATATTGTACAAGATTGATTTCAGAAGTTAGTGTATACAGTATAAGCAATGGAAGTGTATACATTTTCATAATAAAGTCTCAATTTCTTTTGCAGTTCTTCCAAAATATTCAAATCTTTTAAAAAAAATTTTTATAGTACACTGGAATAATAAAATTTTTACAACTAAATTTTACACCTTTACACTTTGTCATTTAGATATTTATATTACAGAAGCTCTTGCTTAAACTTAATACTGTAAAATAATAACAACACACTCAAAAGAAGTATTTACACCACCTATTACATTTTTGTCATGTTAAAATGTCTTTCTGGAATAAAATAAAGTAACTGTGATCCAGTGTCAATTTCTCTCCACATCTATACTGAAACCATGAGAGCACAGTACCAAGGAATTAGTAAATTTTAAATGATCTTCCAATAAGCTTCACCCAGTATTGATTGTAACAACTGTGACAGTTCAAATGGTTGTTATAGTAACACTGTAACAATAATTATAACCAAATTAAAACAATGTTCCTGAAATTACTGAGTTTACCCTAGTTATGTTCTCATTCAAAACAATAAGTGCCATTTTCAGAAGCTGATTAGTCTGAGGCAGGCAAACAAACAAGATGATTTATGCTAATCTATTAAATGAAAAGTGTAGTAACATGATACCAAGACATTTGATAAAAAAATTTTTTTTGCTTAAAATCAATTTGCATACAAAACCACTAACATCCTACATTATGGTAACTTCACAAATATCACCAGAGAAACTATTATACTAAATCAGACTTTAGCTTTTACCTAATCTCTGCATCTGTCTCTGTCCATTCTTCAAGATTGATATCAAATTCTTCCATTTTTTTATCTATAATCCACCAGCTACCCAAGAATCCTACATCCATAATTCGCTCATGAAAGGTCAATAAACGGGGCTTGAGGTATTCGCATCGACTCTTGAAAACGCCACATACTTTGGAGTAGTTGTCCACCCATAGGATAGAACAAAACCCAAGGCTTAATCTGAAACGGGTAATTTTCAAGTATTAAAATTCTGTTACACAAGATCAGGTAATTTTCATTAGTACAGGTACTGTACAATAATGTACTTTTTTTATTTTTTTTTATTGGGCACCCCCCTACATCCTTGTGTAAGGTGAAGCGCAGAAGTGTTTACAGCGCCCAACAGGGAAGCATGCCAAGTTCATGCTTGCTTTTATGTCTCATGAGTTAAGGGCATAGAAGCCTGAAGAGTAAATGGTTTATGTCATCAAGTTATTGGAAGCTCCAACAACTTTCCCTGAATACAATTTCGCAACTTTCGATTTACAACAGGTACCTACATTACTGCTAGGTGAACAGGGACCCATGAGGGCGAGGAAGTATGTCCAAACATCTTTTCCATTGGCCCGGGAATCGAATTTATGAAATTCTTGGGTCCATGTATAGTCAGGGTCAAATGTTCGTGTGAAGCATTGAAACTGTTATGGGAATAGGTCTCTGAACTTACATACCCTGATTGTCATCTGGTGCCGGTGTACTGTTTTATCTCATTTGGGGTCGAACTGCTTCACACAAACTTTTGACCCTGATTGTAATGTCTACAAAATTCTGCCCAACAGCAAAACAACACATGTGGTAATTGAGCAGTTACTACAACCACTAAGAAGTAGGTATTGAAGTAATACTTGTACTATATTTTAAATGCATAAATACTCAATTTCTGATTAAGTGGAATAAATAACATTCCAAAGAATATAAATATTGTTCGAGCATTTTGAACTTGAAGAAGGTTCTTCCCCTTCGAGAACCTATTTCGTTGAACTCGAGGAAGTCTATTAATCTCAGCCCACTCTGTGAACAAATAACCAATAAGTGTCAAAGAATACCTGTGTGATATAAACCAGATTCCAAAACTGAAGTTCAAACTTGCAAGGGTTTACCATATCATCAATATGAATCACTATTATACAGTGAAAGGAAGTTACAAAAATTATTGAATAAAAGCAAAAATAGACTACCAGAAGATATGAAGATTTTATAAGGAATCTGTCTAACTAGGGATTTCACCAAATGTTTAAGAATTTAATGGTTAATAGCAGGCTGTGCAGATTAGCAATATCCAGCAGCCTGGATGTGCCCTGACTAGAGGCCAGACTAGTGATTTTTTTTGTCTCTGTGCCCAGTACTTGCCTGGCAGAAAAGTAATATTTAAAGAGGAAAATACCCAGATACGAATTTATCAGGTGTTGCCTGACCCCACCTCCCTGTACATGTTTAACCAATGAGGTATGTTAATCAGCAAGGTGACAGGGGGGGGAAATGCTTGCGTGTGCTTGACCTAACGCCATATGTGACATCACAGCTGAGTTGATCCCTAACTTTTTTTTTCTCACAGTGACAAGACCTAAGAAAACCCAGGTGCATGCTACAGCCTCAGTATGTCACAGCTTATCCATCCTATTTTTAATGGGTCTATTCTCACAATGACCTGACCTGTAAAAAAAAAAAAATGCACTGTATAAACAGTTGTGCTATAAATTGAAGTGAAAACATTAACATGAATAAGATGTAGGGAAAACTGATCAAGTGAAGGTATTTTAGATGGACACAACTGATCAGTGAGTTGATAGAAACAATCCATTTGAATTTTTAAAATGTTTAACATTTTACTATCAAATGAGAATTAGAAACTCCGACTGGGGATCATCCCCGACCAATAATAATGGTGCATCTGCTCATCTGAGTAGGACTGGAAAAGTAAATGTGTGGTAATTGGGAACTAAGATTATGATTAACCCACACAAGAGTGGAAAACGACCAAAAAAACGTTGATAATGATGACCTAATTGAAAAGGAGATTAGAAGCTGCTGCTGCCATGGTTGACTAAAAGCACTATATTGTACAGCTATTGTTTGTGCTCTTCACTTGACTCAATCATGCAACAGATTCAGAATATAAACAAGTCACCTTTAGCCATCCTGGTGAATTAAATTATATGGTAATGTGTAGTTTAGATATTGGCAAATTGACACATTTTATGGCTAAAACAACCATTGCTCATGTTGAAACATCCCATGCTGAAGTACTGTATAGTATGTACTTAAATTATCTGGTACCCTGCTGGGTTCTTCCATATTTCCCACAAATTCATGGAAAAGTACATGATAATTTCCATAAAGAGGATACTGTATTATGTCTATGATCAGACACCCCTGAATTGTGAGTAACAGCCAGACCCCATCCAATTCCAGAGTAATAATTTCCTGTAATGTACAGTAACCTTAAATTATAGTTATTTACAGTTACATTAAATTCGGCAGCCCTTGAACCTACCAGGTGAATACCTGTTAAATATAAGGACTGAACTACCACCAGTGGATTCCTACATCTTCTCACAAACTGTCAGCTTCTTAAACTGTAGTTGCATGGAAACACATGCAAATGAAGTTTAAACAGGACAAAAACCCTTCCTGCCTACAATATGACACCTGTACACAATATTTATAGCCTGGCATTTAGTTTCTTTGTGGAAAGAAGTGATGCCAATTGACCCCATTTTAAGTCCTGGGCAAGTGTTGAATGACATGTACAGTAGCTGGAAGCTTAAAACGTGTCACACTCAATTGCTTATGGTAACTGCAGCTTCTTATCCCCCTTTTTAAGGGTATCGGTTGCTTTAGGGAGAAAGTTAATCTTTGGATTCAATTTAGTTTGGTAGCACATTATTTATAAGTCATTCAGGAATTTTGTCACTTTATATGAAGTCACAACACTCACCTTCTGACAAGTCCATGATTGTAACAATCAATCATGTAGTTAAAGTGAGCGTCTACCTCTTTATTTCTGATCTTTTCGCTCAACATGGCAGACTCGTTCATGTATCTTTGCAAAGTATCTTGAAACTCCATCTCATCAGGATTTGTTTTTACTGCATACATGTATCCCGCTATTACTGAAAAAAGAATAAATTTTATAAACTTGTATTACTTACCTTTAAAAATTAGTTCTTCATACAGTGAAAATATTGTAAAAACAAAAATAAAAATCTATAGTACAGAATGTTTTGCCATAAGAAACAACTGGCTATGAAGTATCACATGGAATAATCTGTGAGAAAACTTACACGACATAACCATGGAAGCCTTAAATGGTTGTTTTCGAGAGTCTTTTACAACATCATAAGCCACTTCCTTATAGTCCTGAGCCACTGTCACCCAATAATCTCCTGTTAAAGAAGAGAGACAAATTAGACTTTACACAAGTTACATTTTATGTGTACTACATATAAAATACGAACAATTATGATATCTTCTAAGATCAAACCATTGTTTTTAATTTAGAAGAAAAAAGGGGAAAAACCGAAGCACTAGAAATAGTACTGTACAGTACATGTGTGTACACTGTATAGGCAGTCCTCATTTTATGAAAAGGATGCATTCTGAGGAAGTGGTACGTAATGCAAAATACACTACAGTACAGTAGGGTACTAATAATTCGTTATACTGTATACTGTATATTAAAAGCAACTTTCTTATAGACATACTGTAGTGTTATACAGAGGATGTGTTCCTTGGAGTTGATTTCATTAGTACATGTACTGTAAAGATGATTTGGGTTAACGAAAAATCTACCCAAAAGATGGAGCTAGCCATCAAAGTCTGAAGTACAGTATAAGGCTCGACTGTCCTACTACAGTAGTATGTGGAGCCCTGTGATTGGTCCTGGTTTGGAGGTAACCAATCTGGTGGACTTCAGTGTAGTTGAAGAGTGATAGTCATGAAGTCAACATATGGTCTCCTGTCTCCCAAACCCTAAGCATCTTGTGTTATTGCACTTTTACTGCTCCAGTGATTACCCTGTAGAAAATATATTGTGGTGTTTAGGATTTACAGAATTGTTTATTTATTATTATTTGTGAGATTTATGTTTTCTGTTTTGTTTTGTATAGATTTTGTATAAAGTTTACATCATCAGTTATTAGTATACAGTATATATTTAAGATAATTTTGGTTAATATTGACGAGATACCCGCTGACATGTTATTTGTTTAGATGTTTATTTTCTTACTATTTTTTAATCAGGTGAGTTCTAATAGGATAATTAATCATTTCTTGTGCAAATGCTTCGTTTGGTAGATAATTAGGCACCTAGACGTGCACTACTTTGTCTTTATCGGCGGTGATGCATCCTGGATGCAAACAACCAAACATATTGATGCATTTCAAAACACTCCACCGCGCTCCAATCAATGCCTATGTTCTGTGTACATTTATGAGCCGCTCAGCCTGGGTGGCTGCTCTCACGTCCACAAATAACGTAAAATTACACTATTTCATAGCAAGTTCTTTGTTTAATATGCCGGGGGCGAGAGGCAGAGCCACATGTCTAGGAAGTTAGGTAAGATTAGGTTGGTGCAGTCTTCTAATAATGTGTTAGCCACTTGTGTCTCTTATTAACTAAGGTTAGGTTAAGTTTAATTTAGACATAAGCACTTTTTAACACATTTACACAAACTACGAGTGTCCAGTATAAAAGAGTGAAATTGTGGCATTTTTAAAATCGTTTTCTATGAAAAATCAGTGGCCGGTATCTCGTCAAGAATTACAAAAATTTTCAGCAATTAGAAAACTAAACAGGTTGAAAACTTGTAAAAAAAAAATGTGCCTTGTATCGTAACATTATACAACCAATATTAAAATCTCAATTAATCAATAATGTATAGAATATCATTACACATCTAGCTACAATATTTAAATCGGGTGTCAAACTTATGGCCCGCAAAGAGAAAATGCCTGACCCATGAGGCTAGAAGTCCCTCACATATTGTGCAGAAAGCTTGCTGGGTTGACAACAAATAGATGGGACAAGAAAATAGTGTTGTGATGCTTATCAAGAACCATGTGTGCTGTAATGATTCCAACCAAGAAGTTCGGGCTGTCCATTGTTCACCAGGAAACTCTGTGTGCAAAACAATGATGCTGGATCATGTCATGGATGTACCGGTACATGTAGTTGTGAAATCCATAGCAAGGGGCTGAAGCATTGTGAGTTTTAAAATTTCTGGAAGAGACTGATGTCAAGTTCAAAGATAACCTAGAGGTTTGTTAGTTGAACAGAGGGCAAGTCCTGGAACTTTTCTTCAAGTTATGAAATGAAATTGAACTCTTCTTAAAGGAAAATAGCCAGAATTGAAAACAAAAAAGGGAAGCTTGTTACAGTGTGCATGTTTGATCTTGTATGGTTGCGGATCTTGGGTTTCTAGTGGATATAACCCAGAATCTGACACCTTGAGTATCAAAATGCAAAGACATGATCAACCCCTTTCAGATCTTATGGATCATGTTCACAGTTTCCAAGGTAAAACTGATTTATTCCAAAAACAGTTGAAGAAAGGCAACCTTATGCAACTCAGTGATGCATTCATTGCTTGATGAAAACAATGTCACACCTTGAAGGCAAATTTCGAAAGAATGGTTTCAAGATCAACAAGGAAGAGAAAAAAAATTTGCTCTTTTTCAAAACCCCTTCCTGGTGAAGGTTGAAGAGTTTGATGATGCTAAATACAATAGGAAATACTGTACTGTACTTGAAATCCAGGTTAACTCTAATCCTCGAACTTCCTTCTCCAATACAGTCTCGTTGAATTCTACAAGCAGGTTGACAAGAAGAAACTACTAAAAATCATTCACAATGCATTTTCTTGGACTGTTCAGTTTGGAAACACAGATGTATGCAAACAGTCCTTCCCCAGAATGAATTTGAACAAATCAAGGTATTGCACACAAGTGACCAGCATATGGACTCCGATGTTCAACTGGGAATACATTGTACCTCCTATGCAACCAAATGGAAGGAAATTGGTAGAATCATATATTTTTTTACATCCTTATAGAATGTGGATAACATTTATGAACAGAATAATGAAATTTTAAGTGATAATTGCTTATGATCATCCAACTTATGATAATCCGACTGAATACCCCACCATAATACTTTGATAAGCAATCTATGATCTCAATTGAAATCTCCCAGTGGTATTGTAATATCCCCTTTAACCAGAGTAATTGGTGCAGAGCTCTTCCGGGGATGAGACATTTCCGGGTAACAAGATGACCCTCTGAAACCCAGAAAAATCCCACCTCCCCATAATTATTCTGGTTACTGGGAAAGTCTCCAAGAATCTAAACACTATTTCATCCTCAGAATTTGCTCCCGAACCTGAGAAAAAAATTGGGAGAGTCTTCGGAAATTTTCTCGGAATTTTCCAGAAAATGCGCGATTTTCAACCTTGGAATTTGCTCCCAGACTCTTACCTAACTTCCTAGCCAGATCTCAAAATAAGTACAGGGTCTGACCCCCAACTAGAAAGTTAAGTAAGGTTAGTTAGGTTTCTTTGGTTGGCTATATCAGGTTCTTTTATGTCTAGTAAATTTCGCCTCTTTTAAAATGCTTACAGTAGACCCTTGCCATTTGTGGGTTTGCAATTCGCGATTTCGACGATTCGCCGCAAGCAGATGGTGGCTGTGGTGGCTAGCTTGTCAGCCTTTTCCCACAGCATCTTGTCTTGTACTCACAAAACTATGTTTCTGTGTGAAATGGCCCTAAAAGACTGCCTAGTGTCAGTGCTAGTGATGCTAGTGGAGTGAAATGTAAAAGGCAGAAGTCAATTATGACCCTGACAAAAGAAAATGGTTTTCTTTTTTGTGTGAGTTTTACTCAAGATTAACCTCCATTTTAGTGCAAATTATATTTGTTAAATTATTTAAAAAAAAACCGCTAATTTGTACAAGAAATGAAGGTCAGATTCGAGTAAAACACACCGAAAAACGTAAAAAAAACTATTCTCATACCAAAACCTGAGAATAGCCAATGGACGAATATTTACCAAAAATACATTAAAGAAACATTTTGGAATAAAACCAAACTAACCTTACCTCTCAGAAGGTTGTGGGTTAGTTGAGCTTAACAGTAAGTGAAAGTAAATAAAATAAGGCTACTTCTATCTGAAATGGGAACGTCAGTTAAACCAATCTTAACCGAAATTTGATGAAAAAATTAATTCTAAATTCTATATTAGAACCCATTTTCATACTGAATTCCAGGTCTGTGCTAAACCAAATGATTAACTTCTATCCTTCAACTATGATGTAACTTACCCCATTTCTCTATGAAACCTCCTTTTAATCTTTTAGGGAGTCTAATTTTCCAAGGCCTCTTAACTATCATAGAAGACATCCCTCGTACTGCCGTTGTAAACATGGTTGTGGTCCTGCGCCTGGCAGTGATGGCACATCTTAACTTAGGATCTTGCCTGTCTTAAGATCGTACAGTAAAATTTTATTTCCACAAAGAAATTAAAAGTACGTCTGTAAAATTTCAGAAATTAACAAGAAAAAAAGTAATTTAGCTGAAGGAGATTTAGGGAACTGGAAACGTCGACAGGAATAAAATTTGAAAATTAAAGCCAAACAGATTTGCAATATTGTTGGGAAAGCCTAAAATAATGTAAATACGCCTGCATACCTAACTCATTAATTTCTAATCTTACGGTGACGTTATTCAACACTAAAGCAGTGAGCTATGACTTCAATCTTGAGCTGTGACCCCTTGTGGGGCGAGCGTCCGCCAGCTCCAAGTAAGGACACTCAACTGAGTAGTGCCCTCTGAGATGCTTATGCACCTCAACTAGGTCACCCCTTGCCTGTCTGTAGTATAAGGTAGACAAGTTCAGGCGCTCCAATCTCTCAGGGTAGCTGAGGTGCCGAAGTGCAGGCACCAGTCTGGTGGCCCTCCTTTGAACATTTTCAACCAACTGGGACCAGATGGGGGAAGCACTTCTCTACTGAAGATCGTCACGAGGGACGGACCGTCTAGATATCTGAACAACCTTCTTATAAGACCCAATAATTTATTTGCCTGATTTACCTTCTTCTCACAATGGCCCGAGAACTTCAGCTCATTGTCAACACACCTAGGTCCTTCTCACATAGTCTCAACTAGTGCAGCTCCATCATCCCGTTGGGACATATGATACGCCTCCTTACCGTTGGTACGCCCCAGGTGCATCCTCTTACACTTCGTGACATTGAATCTCAGCAGCCATTTCTTCGACCATTCTTGGAGCCCACAGAGGTCCTTCTGCAGCTCTTCACAGTCCGGTTGGTTCTTAATTTCCCGAAATAACTTGCCATCATCGGCAAACATTTGTATGGAGGAGTGTACAACGTCAGGCATGTCATTTATGAAACAAACAAACAACAGCGGGCCCAATACACTGCCCTGTGGTACCCCACTTGTTACAGGTACAGATGACGATTTCGTGCCATTAATCACCACACTGTGCTTGCGGTCATGTAGAAAGTCTTCTATCCACGCTAGGACATTTCCCCGAATTCCGTACCTTCCAGTTTGATTTTCAGCCTTTCGTGGGGTACACTGTCGAAAGCCTTGGCAAAATCTAGGTAAATATTGTCGATATTACCACCCCGTTCCAGAATATGGGTCCAAATATCCAATACCTTGAGCAATTGTGTTAAGCAAGAGAGCCCCGGCATAAAACCGTGTTGGCAATCTTTTACAAGGTTGTTTCGTAGTAGATGTTCCATCGCGGCATCTCTGATAATACTCTCAAGTACTTTACATATTATGCTGGTCAGGCTCACCGGTCTATAGTTGTTCGAGGAGTGACTATCGCCCTTCTTGAAGATAGGACTCACATAAGCCACTTTCCATTCACTGGGAACCATTTGTTCATCCAGGCATTTACAAAACAGGAGCTTCAGGGGCTCTGCAAGCTCGTTGCACAGCTCTCTTAGCACTCTAGGATGCATCTTGTCAGGTCCGGGACTCTTATGGACCTTTAGCCTGGACAGTTTATTTCTAATACCCTCTTCTGTGAACACAATGTGGGTCAGTGCTGTGTCGAACCATCTGTCCTCAAACGCAGGAAGGTTAGTTGCATCCTCTCTTGTGAACACTGAGGAAAAGAAGCTGTTCAATGCCTCAGCTTTATCCTGGTCAGAATCTGCATAACTACCATCTTCAAGGAGTGTTAGTTACAAGACTAGCGAGGTCATCTTAAAATTATATCTAGCGCTTGTGAGACCTCACCTGGATTACGCAGTTCAGTTCTGGTCACCGTATTACAGAATGGATATAGAATCCTTGGAAAGAATCCAGAGGAGAATGACAAGACTAATCCCGGGCATTAGGAACCTTGAGTACAGAGACAGGTTAAAGCATCTTAATTTGCACTCCCTCGAGAGACGTAGAGTGAGGGGCGACATGATAGAGGTGTACAAATGGAAGTCAGGGTTAAACAAAGGGGACATTACAAAGATACTCGAACTATCCAACCAGGAGCGAACTCGTAACAATGGTTTTAAATTAGACAAATTTAGATTTCGGCGTGAAATAGGTAAACACTGGTTTGGAAACAGAGCAGTGGATGAATGGAACAAGTTACCAAATATCATCATTAACTCGAATACGCCGGATAGCTTCAAACATAGGTTGGATGCTTATATGAGCAATAGGGGTTGGGTATAAACGGGACTGCCCAGGATGGGTCGATAGGCCTGCTGCAGTTTCTTCCATTCTTATATTCTTATCATACAACTTTGGCAGTTACTCCGGTTCGCTGGAAAACATTTATCATTTACTTTTCTTGTCATAAACACATGATCAGCCACCAACATCAGTTAAATAAAGTAGGTTTAGTAAAGTTAGGTTAGGTAAAAATTAGGACAGGTTAGGTCAGGTTTCCTTAGGTTTGATTGGTTCAGTTTTTTGACAGATAGCTTATCGTACTCATTTTTAACCTTGAGTTGTACAGTACTTTAAAATACTTAAGGGTACATCTTGGGTCACTTTCCCTTATTCCCTTGTTTTCCATTAAACTCAACCCTTGCCATCCACAGTTTTTGCCAACTACTGTAGAATTTTGAAATATAACCCCTGCAGTTGTCAAGGGATTACTGTACTCTCTGACATGCTTATTGAGGATATGGATCCCAAAATTAATATTGGGGCAAATTTTTAATTGCTGACCCTTGAAAGTTTCACTTGTCATATGCTGATTAACTAACTCATGAATATGACTCGTTTGGACATACTGTATTGGAGTCTGGTACCAAAGGATGTTGGGAAATTTAGTCTTGACACATGTTTTAACCTTGCAGGAAGAAACACGCTACAAGAATAAAATTCTCAATACTGTACAGTATTTGCTTGTTTCCTTTGCTACCACACTCCCATAAATAACATACGGTATGTTAGTTTTATAGATAGGAACTCATTAACCTTACTTGTTTTTTTTTGTTTTTTCAGACACCCCCGTGACAGTAGAGAGTGTTCATCAACTATGTGGAATAAACCCATCACACTTCCACCTGTATGAATGATATGATTCAATACTGTAAGGGAATGATGTGAAATGGCTATTTCCAGTTGTTTTAATGATAAAGTAATATTATACACTATATACTATCATCTGTATCAGCAACTTACAACTAGTTAAAATTTTTATACTGCACTGTACTGTATTGTGCTGTAATGTACTGTACTGTACTTTGTTTTCAGTAAAGATAGGAATGAATAAAAGAGTTTAAGGGTTTGCATTTGTTTCCATAATTATAATTGGATTAGATTAAATTTCCTTTTGTTTACAATTGTCATGAAATTTACTTTGGTTATACTGTACAGTAATGATAATAAGTCAGGTTGTATAACCCTTTATCCCTTCCATCCTTTAACGATGCACTCTAATTGCTAGTGACTAGAAGTTAAGCTATATTTATCATATTTGCTGGTGTATGGCACTTCCCCCACCCCCTTCAAAAATGTCCCCTCAAATCACTCTTCATGATATGCAGTACACTGAAGGTATATGGCCTTTTTTTGAGAGATAGAGAGAACCCTATCTTGTACAGTATTTTATATAGTAATTATTTAGGGTTCTTGAATAAAAAAAAATTACCCTGCGCAAGGTTATGGAGTACAGCTCCTCCCCGACTTACGCCGGGGTTAGGGACCCAAATCCAGGTCGTAAGTAGAAAATGCTTAAATAATACCAAAAATCTAAAATTGGTCTCTTTTTCTTCTCAGCACCACAAAACTCTCACTTTTAAGCTTGCCAGCCATTTTAAAGTGAATTACAAACGAAAATTTTGTCAGTACACAGCACAATCACTGACGTTGGGACTCGAAAATACGTAATTTGACAAAATATTGGTATGACTGAGGCGGTCGTATGTCTGGGTGGTCGTAAGTCGGGGAGGAGCTGTATAGTAGTGTCTCAAAATATACGAGGGTTATATATATACATATACATGTACATACAGGTTGTACCTCTCTAGTCCGGCATTCTGTGGTCCGGAACGATTTAGTTTGTCCAATAGGTAGACAGGCATTTTTTTTTGTTTTTTTTTTTACTTATCTGAATTATTATTATTATTACAGGAGTATTAAATTTTTGCCCCTCAGGCCCCAATGTGGGTCAGTGACCTATGCCCGGGTGGGCTAATCCCCTTAAAAAAAAAAAAGCCGCGGGAAATTAAGGTTTGTTTACATCCGGCAGTTCGGCTGCTCTCTCTCTCTGCTTGTCTATACAGAGTACAACATTTAACCCTTCAATATATATGAGCAGTAAATAAGTGTTGCTTTCATATTCTTATGTAGAGTAATGACGATATATTTTCACATGTGCGCACTTACATACGAGCAGTCTCACTTTTTTTTTTACCATTAATGGTTAGCTACTTATATTGTTCCATTTATTAACATTAAATAACATTACAGGTACTTCAAGCAACCATATTCATTTTTTACATTAATTTTACTACAGCTAAACTCAGGGTCTTATTTTCTTCAGTTTTTTATGTAGAACCAATCAGTCACTGGTTTCGTAAGCTTTAACATAAACAATGCCGGCAGCCGTCTCGTCTCTAAATTGTATTGTTAATTTTGCACACACGTACATTGATTCAATAAAAACAAATTCAGAAACATTAATTAAAATATATATGAACAGTAAATAAGTGTTGCTTTCATATTCTTATGTAAAGTAATGACGATATGTTTTCACGTGTGCGCATGCGCACTTACATATGCGATCTCTCTTTTTCTTTACCATTATCGTTAGCTACTTCTATTGTTCCATTTATTAACATTAAATAACATTACTTAAAACAACCATATTAATTTTACTACAGCTACAACCAAGGTCTTATTTTCTTCAGTTTTATATGTAGAACCAGTCAGTCACTGGTTTTGTAATCAACGAAAACAATGCTGTGTCATTTCC